TATTCAAACCAGGGCTGCTTGGTTTCCAAAGAGTTCTAAATAGAACTAGCTGTCTGTTGCTCTCGCATTTTTTTTTAGAAAGTAAATATTTGTGTTCGGAATTGGATAGTTGAATGAGCTTTATGCCAAGTATTGTTATATTTTCTTGACATTGGAACACAATTAAAGTATGCTTTTTTTTAAAAAAAATGTAGGAGAAGGGTTGACAGGTATTATGCCTGGCTGGGAACCCTGAGACAGCTCAAGAAGCAGGCCAAGGAGATGGATAAGGTTTTCAAGGAGACCCAAGGGGAATGCAAGAAACTTCAGGAGCTAAAAGTGAAAAGTCCCTAGATAGCAGGTGGAATTATAAAGTCTGCTATAGGGGCTGGTGCTGACTGTTCTTCGCTAGATATGCAAAGCTGGAGCAGGGAAGAAAGGGCATGCCTACTTCGGAGGTTGTGGCTGTCATGCTCTTAGCCTGTAAATCAATCTTCCAATGGAGAGTAGTGGATACTTGGAAATAACTAACACGTACAGTGTGTGCCAAAGAACCAAGCAGTGTTAATTTGTGCTACGCATGCTCCACGGTACCTGGCCATGTTAAGGCAACTCTCCAAGCAGCAAAGAAAATAACTGATTGTACACCTTGGAGAATGGACTCTTCAGAGTACAAAACATTTGCTGTTGTAACACAGATTTTCAGACTGGCCTTCAAACATGGGAGGGGCCCTGTTTGGGGTTTTGTGAAATATGGTATAAGAAATCAGAACCCAGTGCTTCAATGTACACTTTCTCTTTTATTTGTTCTTATACTTCAACCCCAGTGATCTGTTCTGGTCATATTTATTAGGTCACAGTGCCTTCTTCTCTTGCAGTCAGGGCTCTTTGTAGCTGGTGTCTTCTGAGAACCATCACTTATCCTGAATGTTAAATAAGCTCATTGATTTTGGGGTAATGTGACCTTCCCATCTTCTCTACTTCTGTCTCCAGCCATTCAAGCCCATATGTGAGTTCTCTTGAGTAATTCCAATACTCAATCCTCTGTGAGCCACATCCAAGTTGTGCCCATTTTATCTGTAAGTATCTTTCTGAGCTCGGTGTCTTTCAGGCATCACTCTCTTGGATACCGTGTGAGCCTCCTCTGTGGTCCAGCCCAGGATAGAGCTAAATTTCCTGAGGCTGGACAGGAGGAATGATGCAGTCATTTGTGGGCCATCATCCATTCTCATGCAGTGCTCTCTTTTATTTAAAAATATGTATGTATGTATCTGAAAAACAGAGAGATAAGAAAAGAGAACCCTTATCTACTGGCCCATTTCCCAAAAGCCTGCAACAGCCCGGGCTGGGCTGAGCCTAAGCTGAACGATTGAGTGGAAGGCTGTTTGAGTGATAGGGAGTCAACTCCTGCCATCACTATTGCCCCCCAGGGTCTGTATTTGTAGAAAACACCAGGCAGGAGCTGGAGGTGGGAATCAGACTGGGGCACTTCCTTGTGAGAGGTGGCCTTCTTACCTGGCTCATTGTCTTCTAGGCTAAACATCCACCTTCTAGGAAGTGATTTCAGTGGGATAGGTCCCGAGGCCAGAGAAACTTGGTTTTGGCCAATGTGACACTGAAGGAGTACGTACTCAGGTGAGAGGCTGGGCCAGGATGCCTCTGGCAGAGGCAAAGAGCAAGAGGGAGAGATTAAAACTGAGGGAACCATGTCTTGCATCTCTAGCCAGTGCTTCCTCTTTTCATTCCTTGTTGATTTGAATTTACATCTGACATCATTTACTAGCTATGCCATAGTTTGTCATACAAATTTTTATTTTACCTTAATTTCTGTTTAGTCTATTCAGCAGGTAGTAGTTAGAGAAGGTTAGGTTGATTGTTTGGTGTTTCCTTCCCTTCTTTTTCTTTTCCTGCATTTGTTGTTGTATTTTAAAGGTCTTGCTCCAATGTTTCTTGCCTCCTATGCTTTATCATGAGAAGTTTTGTGTTATTCTCAGTTTTATTCCTCTACATATGATTCATGTTTTCCCCCCTGCTTAATTTTAAGATACTTTTTTTTTGTTGTTGTTAATGTATTTCAGCAAACAGTCTCTCCTTTCTATGGTCAGTCTTTCAGTTGAATTCTCCAACACATGGAATATAAGTTAATGATGGCTGTCTTGTCTAATAATTCTTCCATCTCTGTCACTTCTGGGCTTGTTTTTATTACCATATTTCCCCCCTCTAATTATTTGTCATATATTGTCACTTCTTTAAATACTTACTAAGTTTTGATTGGATACGAACTGTTGTGAATTTTATACTGTTCAATAATGTATGAAAGGTTCTGACACACTAGTAAGTTATTATAGACCGTTGATTCCTTTGAAGCTTACTTTTAAGTTTTATTAGAGTGGATCTAGAACAACGTTTAATCTAGGATTCATTTCACCTTGCTGCAAATGTAAGAGACTTCTGAGGCCTCTATCTGTGCTCCATGTATTACAATCTTTTCCTTCCAATTAGTGGGAATGAGAACCATCTCCAGCCCAGGCCAAGGCCTGGAACTATTTGGCCCCTGGCTTCCCCAGGGGCTCCTTCCCCAGGCAGTGACAGAGTGCTGCTCAGCCAAAGGCCAGGAGCAGCTGTCTGTGACCCAGTCCCTATACAACACTCTTGTAAAGTTCTTCCTCACACATACTAGACAGCTCAGCTTCTTTGAACATCAGTATCTATCTCCTCAATTCAACAAGATTGACAGTTTTCCCAAGGCTGAACTTCACCGTCAGTGCTCCATTCCAGGAAGAAGCTGGAGCAGTTGCAGAGGCCTCATCACGTTTTCCCTTCTCTCTGGGTCACAGTCTCACACAGCTACTAGACAATGCTTCAAACCAGCACTGTTACATATGGGGATATAATATAAAATATGTACATTTACGTACAGAATATAGAACATGTATACAGTAAATAGTGCAAAGATGTACATGTATAACATTTAGAAATGTAGCAGAGCACAAAATTTCCCATATACATAAAACATATTTTAAGGGGCCTGGTTTTCTACTTGTTTATAGTGGGAGAACAGTTTCGGTAACAGTAATTCTTTGTGGGTTGATACAAAAGTCCTTTGTTGTGTAATTTTACATTTGCTTTTCTAGGATCCCAGACACTGATTGTTTTCATGGGAATTCTTGGCTTGGGTTTCCGGCACCATGTGGTGCAGCACATGTGGGCCCCATGTGCACAGTGTAGTAACTGACATCAGCAATCCATTCCTTTCTTTCTACTCAGAAATACCTGCAGGCAGATGGGAGGCTTCCCTAGTCTCTTGGGTCAGTGGGTGATGTTTTCATTATTCCCATTATCCTTTTGACCAAGGCTCCTTCTATGAATCCCAGGTTTATACAGAGATTTTGTATACCTTCAACTACCTGAGACCATGGCTCTTATTCTGGTGTCAGTGTTAAGAACCCATTCTTAGCCCTGAGGCCTATAGCTAGATCAAGCTAGTTTTTTGTTTTGTTTTGTTTTTGTTTTTAAATATGGGGTCTGTATATCTTACTATTAGGTTCTGGAATATTTCAAATAGGTTAATTTAATCTGAGCTTTTCGACTCTAGCTTAAATATTTAATTGTTTGTGTTTTCATCTTTGTCCTATTAAGGTTATATATAATAAGAGAATATCAAATTGTTCAGTAGGTGAAGCTATTTAAGCTACTGAGAAGTTTTAGTCAGACAACAATACTTAGAATGGAAAGGGAATATATGAATTGATAAATGTAGTTTAATAAATGAAAGAAATTTGGTTATACTCTAAAAAGCAGCCTTAAGTTTTTCCAAATGCTAGATTTTTGAATAAAAAAAATTGTAAAGCTGAACTTCAAGGACTTAGGAAGACCTAGGTTTAAAAAATTATCACCTGACTATGTTATATATTTATTTTATAAAACAAAATTTTGAACAGCCTTTTTCTGTCCCAGTATGTTCCAATAGCTCACACTCAGCAGGCCACAGGTTTATAAATTCTTTTGTGTGAGAAAGTCCTTTTATAGCAACACTGAACGGATGGATGGATGGTTTGGTTATTATTATCCTCTGTAGAAACAACAGCTTGTTACCTGGTTTTCAAATCATAATGTAGCCAACTTAGTTTAGTAATTATAATGGCTGAAATGGTTCTCATACTATACAGGTCTCTGAATACAGACAGCATTTTTCTTGCTCACTGCTACCATGTCCCATCAAGTCCCTCTGCTGGATTGCTGAGTGGTAGGTGTCTTCAAGAGAACATACTTTGACTTCATATTTTCATCCACTTTCAGAATTTACAACCTATCGTTGTTAGGCTTTATGTTCCTCTGTCTTTGCTCTCTCCCCATCTGGGCTGCAGTGGGACAAGTGCAGGAAGGGGCACATGCTCTGTTGGCACCCCTATTTCTCTCACACTAGGTGCCCTGCTGCCAACTCTTAGGAATTACTGTTACAAGACTTTGGAGGATCATAGGGGTCTCACCTGTGCAGTTCCTGGGCAGGAGTGACCTGCTACTGCTGTATCTCCTCTTCTCTTTGGCTTCCCTGCAGGTACCTACCTGGACTTCTTTCCTTCTGGGTTCATATGTCCAGAGGTGAGCTTCTTGCTGAGACAGGGAGAATTGTGGGTTCTCCTGGCCAGCCACCTCCCCCAGGAGATACTAGATGCTTGGAAACACCATTATCTTGCTCCACCCAAAAGCAAGCATACGGCATCTAGGCCCTGCTGGCTCTTAGTGTCTTGGCGACAGGTCATTTTCAGCCTCTAATTTTGCAGAGAAAGAGGATGTGTAGGAATCCTGTACTTTGCTGCTATGGTTTAAATGTCTCCTATAGGTCAAGTATGGGAAACTCACTCCCCAGCGCACCAATTTGGGAGGTGGGACCTATGGAGGGCTCTGGCCTTGTGAATGGATCAGTGTTGTTACAGTACATGATGGGGATGTCGAGGAAGATGCAGCAGAGGCCAGCCCAGTCAGGATTAGAAAGACACTTAAGGGGCATGGGAATGGTATGAGAAGTGTTTATTCAGATAGAGGAGGCTCCAAGTCACAGGCTGCCAACAGAAATGCACCATACTATGGTAACAACATAAGGAACACACCCATGGCCTCAACAGTGGATCTCTTTGATTGTAACCATGAGAATTTACCACCGAAGCTTCATTCACTCCAGACTCTGTTCCATAAGACCTTCTTCCACTCTTTGACCATCATTCAACATCCCTCTAACTTCCTTCTGATCTCCTCCTTAAAACCATCTCCTAACATTTGTGCTACCAGTGCTATTTTCTTATATATAACTAGTTGTTAAGAAAACCCTTAAAGTGTTGTTAGTTGGCATTTAAAAAAAAATTAGACGATTGAAAGATTTGACAATCCTACCTCTAAGCCAGCACACAATAGGGAGGACAAAGCACCAAGACTTTCTTATATCTGCAGCCCAAACCATTTGCACACAAACAGTCCAAGTTGGCTTGGCTGGTCTCAACTTGGCACCCCTCTGCCCAGGATTGGGTCACTTGGACTTGTGGTTGCCCTTCTGGGTATCCGACAGGGCCTTCCTGGCCTCCTCCTCTGGGATAAACACACTGACCGTGAAGTCGCTGGTCTCCGTGCCATACTTGTTCTTCACAACGAGCCCGTACTTGCCCGAATCAGAGGTGCTCACACCGTTGATGGTGAAGTAGGCAATCTTCCCGGACTCGAACCTCAGGTTGCAGTGGTCGTCAGAGGCCAGCAGCCTCTCATTCTTCAGCCAAGACACCTCTGGTGTCGGGTCGCCCCACACGGTGCAAGTGAGATTAAGGGCCTGCAAGGCAGGTTTTATGGGAGAAAAAGACATAGGTCAGACATAATGTTCCAACCCCAAGAAGCCTGCTGGCTGGTGGTTTGACATAATCAGATGGAGAATAAATGCAAATTTTCCAGGTCTGGGTTTAGAGCTCTACAGAGCTCCTGGGAAGTAACCCCTGGGTAGGGCCAGAGCTTTCCAGGTTTTGGAATGCTTATCATCAAAGACAAACTAGAAAAGTTCTGTCCATTCCTCATCTCCACCTTCATAAACATTTAGATGCTTTTTGCTCTCACATGGAATTTTGAGTCTACCTTAGAAGAGCAATCTCTTTGCCATTACCACCACCTGCTCACTTTCACCTTTCCCTGGCATCACAAAGCCCAGAGTGGTTTCGGAACAGTTGCTTCAGATAAGGGACTTCATTTTCAAATGCCATTCTTCCCTACTTGACTTCTTGCCCCAAAGCCCATCCAATCTGCTGCGGTTGCAGAAGTGGTCCACCAAAATGCACTCCTAAGTAAAGTGCCCATCAATGTAGGAACTCTCCTCTTACAAAAGATCAATGTCAAGGCTACAGTTTTACTTTAGCTTTTTCAATTGAAAAAAACAACTCAACCAACCAACCTAGTCAATAATAGATTCACAGGCATGCTGTTAGAATTATTAGAACCATCTGATATACTTCTGCATCATCTCCAGCACCGGAATATTTCATAAAACTACCAGATGATGTTAGAACACTGAAAACAGCACAGTACACTGAAAGCAGCACAATGCACTGGTTTAATTTGGCTGTCCCTCGTTTGACTTGGACTCATTGGGGTCTGTGTGTGCTTCCTTCTATTAAATTTTGTCCCCTGGCCAGGAAGTGTGTCCATCCCCACAGTCAACAGAATATTTCTATATCAATAAGGACACCTGGTGTTACCCAGTCACAGCAACATCAACCTCTCCCTCCAAATGCCCAGCCCTTTTCCTAATCCTTGGCAGCTGCTGCCCTATTTTGATTATAAAATTTTGTCATTTCAGAAGCAGTCATGAAGAATAGTCATTAACTTATCCAAGCAGGCCAGGTATATAACATTAGTGACTGTGATTACTGGCAGTTAAAACTTTGAACAAAATCAAGCAAAAACTCCCAAAGACTTTATGTATCATGATGAACTCTTACCCTTTATATTTAAGTTTAGATTAAAAGTACTTTCATGTACACTGTCTCTCTTAATTCTCACTATGACCCACTGATCTAGATATTTTTAACCTCATTACAGGTGGGAAACAGAAAAGAGAGTTCGAGAACAAAACCAATCTTTCCGTAGCTGAGCTTACAACCAATGGTGATGACATTTTCCACCCACAAAGAATGCAGCTGAATGAAGCCTCCCTCGCGCCGATGTTCTTCCTGGCCCTGCTTTGCTGCCTGCGTTCTGTCTGCCTGCTGTCTGTCTTCCCTACTCTGAGGTGGGGAAAGGTTTTGTTCTACCCCAAATATTCTCACCCGTTGCACTGATGTATTAAGCTTGTTTTAATGAAACACAAGGTTGAAGAAAGTGAATTCGGTATAGCAATTATGTTTATTCCCTTTGGGAGAGGTTATTAGGGAGAAAGAAAATACCAGTTTGAAAGCAAATGGGAAGAAATTTCTCCTCAGTAGCAGCAGAGTCTATAGAAATGCACACAGCAGCTATTTCCTCCAAGGACAAGGCGTCTCCAGAGACCATCCTTTGCCCATTGTATCTGCTCTAGAGTTAGGACTGAACACTTGTGGGTGACTCTGGGAAGGTACTAAGTGGCCTGTATATTTCCACACAAGACAAACTGTCATCCTGATGCTTGGTTTATCAAATATTAAGACTGAAAATTTCATTGCAGTTTTAAATTTGTATATGGCCATTCTGATTAAGGATTGACAACCACAAAATAAGATGAAGTGGCAGGTTAAGTATCTGAAAGTGGCATCTGGAAAGGATGTTTGGGGCAATGGTTCAGGAGTACTCCCTACTCACCTTGCCCTCCTGGATGGTGACCACATCAGGGAGACCGCCCACCACCCGGGCACGATCTGCAAGGAAAGGCATTCATGGTTAATCACTGTAATCATGGTGGCCAGTGAGCATACTCAAAAAGCCACCCCAGGGAACAGATTTTTCAATGATGGCTTTGCTCTCTTGACAGTTCCATCCTCTGTCTGCCGTATACAAAACAAAAAATGGCCCAGTGATTCTGGAATTAATCCTTCTCTAGCTATATACTGTGTACAGACAGGCGCACATAGCTTGACCTAAAATACCAGCTGGAAGTCCCTTTGCTCATATTAAGGATCACTCTGTAATTTGCACGGCTTTTGTAAACACAGGCCCTTGTGTTGCTCAGTGAAGCAGAGTTTAAGCAGGAAGAGAATATCTCTAGGGTGAGTCTCACCCAAGCCTGGCTTGGCCACTGTGTGGGTTTCCCTCTGATGGAACAGGGAGCTGGCTGGTGAGGGGCTGAAATTCAGAGCTGGTGTCTGCAGCCAGGGCAGCCCTTGTACTGTGGTGTGAGTGCCTGATCTCCAGGAAGTTAAAGAGTTCATGAACTGGAGGATCAGGCTCCTTGCCCACAAAGAAGCTCAAGAATTGAGCAAGACTGCATGTGGACAAGGGCTTTGCCTGGTGTGTCCACAGTGGGAGGGGCAAACTCAACACCAGCTAAGAAATGTGCCCTCTCGCTCTGACACCTTCTTGAGCCAGCTTCCCAGCCCCAGTGTAGCATCTGTCCTTTTACTACTACCTGCAAGCATCATAAATGAAAGTCCTAAGCAGTGAAAGGAGAATGGGCTGGAGAAGGCAACAGTGCAAGAAAAAGTTTTAAAGTTCTACCAGGAAGGAGTTGGGGACACTGGCAGGTGAAGGATGATGTTTCTCACTCCTTTCCTGAGTTCTCTCATATTTCAACTTGGGATCAACTCTACAGTTTAAACCACAACAGTTTCAAAAACCAGCTCCCCGAGAAAGAAAGTGCTTCCATATGAGGGATTAGCCAATGACTCTTGGGATTCTGTGAGACTGGCAGATTTCTCTAAAAACTTGCATGTGAAACGGTTGACCTAAGTGTCTGGGCTAGGCAGGCGTACCCGTCCTAGACAGCTTGGAGTCTGTTCACAAGGGCTGTGTCTAGTTTGGTAAAAACAAGGAAGGCTGGAGTCAGCTCTTTCATAGGATCTCCAGAAAATGCTCAGTACTTCTTGGAAGTTTCAGGGCTTTGTCGCAGATCAAATTTACAAGGCTTCTTTTTCTTTTTTTTTTTTTCCTGACAGACTGTGCCTGCAAGTGACCAGTAACCTATTTGTTATGTGAGTTTCAGCCAAAAGATTTCTCTACATATCTGGCTAGCAGTTCAAGTTGAGAAATGAATGACATTCTTTTTAATGTAATCTGAGACCTTCTATTTGTAGACATTTTTACTTGAAAGGCTAAAATAAAAACATGTAGAATATCAAGATTTAGTAAAAAAGTGGGGGGAAAACCCCAGTTTCTCTCCTTATCTGTAATCACAGTGGCAAAGAAACTTATAATGGAATCTACACCAGTAGTAAACATGAAACCGGCTTACTTACTTTTCTCAGCAATGGCAGCCTGTCTGTGGTTGAGAGAGACAAACAAACACACAAACAAAAAAGAATTTCGTTTTAGTATTACTTCAGAATGGCTTAACCTTGACGGCAAGTCTTTGTCTCAGAGGCATTTTGCTGCTAGGGTAACAGCGGGAAGCACTGCATTGACTAAGCACTTGATGAAACAAAACACTTTTTCTAGAACTTGGCTGGGCCATGCAGAGGTCCAGAGAAATTCAGGAAGGGAGGTGGCATTTGGTAGGAAAAGGGACTTACTTTAACCGTTGGAATTCAGCAAAGGCTTCATCATATGCTGTAAGAGAAAAAAGAAATGTTAGAGTTTTCTTCCTCGGGACTGATTAGAATTCACAATGCTAAGTCCTTGTGACCCATCCAGACACAATGAACTGACTTTGAAAAAGAATGTGCCTGTGTATGCACGATACGGACTAGTGTACTTAACAAGACAAGCAAATACTTTCTGGGCTGAAAATGTGAAGTAGGAGATGTTAAAAGCTTTCAGCTCATTAAGGACCAAGAAAAATTGGGAATGAAAGTCTGTTTCAAAGAAAACTGAATGCTTATTGTCTAAGAAGCATCCTAAGTATCAGAACAGCTTTCTCCTATCAGATTGTCTCCGACACCATAGCCTCTTTTCTGGGAAGTTAAATGTTTGTGTCATGGTGTCTGGTGAGACTCTGTGAGGAAGAACACAGTGAGTCCAGAAATCAGTGTGTGCCAAGCCTGCCCAGAAGCAACGCTTCCTGGCTATGACAGAAATGAGATGAAAGGCGAGGGAGCCAAGGAAATGAGAACTATATCATTCTAAAATAATTTCTTCACCCTCCCCACCCCCCGGGGCATGAAGAGTAAGTCACTTTGAAGATTTCAGGTACAACACTGGCTTCAGTTTGAAATCCCTCTACTCCACCTTAAAGCTCCTCTGTCGTCTAGGAAACATCACATATCAAGCCTACAGAATCCTTAGATAATACTTGTCCATCCAGCTCGTTTTTACAGCAGAAAGAAACGAGTCGATGTAAAGCCAGGCTGAAAGTCATTGGCTTTTATGTGTCCTCATCTGTAAATTGAAGAGGAGACCAGTTGGACTATAGCAGACTGAGCTTATAGCAGACAGGGCTTGTCCTTGTGTGTCCTTGTGTGCACTCCATACTGAAGAGAGAGGCACAGCTGAGCTCGCCTATTTGAAGGCAGTGGCAATGCTGAGACAACCCATGGTCTTTTCCCTAAAGGAGTGGTTAAATAAGCTTTGGAGGATCAGAAAGTAAAGTAAAAATTTAGGGGCCAGAATTATGGTGCACTAGGGTAAGCCTGAGTTTGAAACATCAGACTGCAGCGTTGCTGGAGTCCTGGCTTACTCTACTTCCCATCCGGCTTTCCACTGCTACCCCTGGGAAGGCAGTGGAGGATGTCCGAGCACTCAGGCTTCTGCCACCAAATGGCAAACCATGACGGAGTTTCTTGCACCTGGCTACTGCCACCACTTGGGAAGTGAATCAGCAGATGAATCTCTCATTCTGCCATTCAAATAAATGCATAAATAAACCTTTAAACTAGTCCATTTTTGTGAAGTTGCAAATTTACCTACCAACTTATTGCTTCCATTCCTATTGTGCTTTAGATGGCCAGATGCACTATGGGGAAAAAAATCCCCTTCTCTGTGCGTTTGTAACAGAATCAAAATGTGGCCCAGCAAGCGTAGGTTTCTGTAGATGCTCTTATTGCCAATGCTTTGGTGTATCTCTGCAGTCACGTAGGGCGGGAGGAGTGAGTGTGAGGATGAGGGGACTCAGTCCCTAAAAGGACTCAGTATTGGAAATCTGCTCTCCTCTCTCAGAGGATGGAAAGAAAAACCCCTAATAATTACTGACTACGTAGATTGTATTTTAATATGGGAAGAAGTGGTGGAAGAAGTCAGTCCACAGCCTCCTTTAGTTACTTTAATATAGGCTATTTTATTTCTATGGGAAAGACTAGGATAAAGAGTATAGTTCCAGAGAAGGCAGAAATGTACCTTAATTTTTTTACTCATAATTGTTCATTTTTTTAACCTGTTAACTTTAAAAATTTAACTACATTTTATGTCATTTTTTATCTTTGCTCTTTGAAAAACTTTAAAAAAAATCTTTGTTATTTGAAAGGCATGAGAGGCAGGGAGAGAAAAGCAGAGAAACAGAGGGAGATCATTCTTCTATCAATACACTCTCCAGATTCCACAAAATCTAGGGCTAGACTGGGCTGAAGCCTGGATTCTGGAACTCAGCCTAGCTCATCTGTGTGGGTAGCAGGAACCCCCATGCCTGGACCAGCACTGTTGCCTTTAGGATGTATAAGAGCAGCAGGTTGGGATTAGAAGCAGAGCCAGGACTCAGACCTAGGCATGTGAGAGTGGATGCCTGTATACCAAACAGCATTGCCACCACTGCTGTCTTGGAGAGCATTAGCATGCATCTCTCACTATGTCGTCCTCCTCTGCTCTACTTGCACCAGAACCACCCTGTTGTCTCAGCAATAACCAAGAAATCTGATGCCCTAGAGACTTAGTCCCTCTAACTTCCTTATATTTTCATCAAGATTTGTTTTTGTTAAATCACACTCACTAGTTTTGAAAAAAGAGTTCTCCTTGTTCCATTCCAAAGTCAATGTTTTGACCTCTGCCCTTGGCCTTAGCCCTTCCATCCCTTAGCACTTGTGTATGTCAAGCACACTTCTCCAGTCACATTACCCACATTTGAAGTTCTTCCAAACACAGTTGGCATGTTGGACTCTGAACGTGCGGATTTCAACAGCCATAAAATGTTTCTTTGTCATGGTTCTTGTAGATTGTGATTGTAAATCAACTTGCTCTTTCTGTAAACATCTTCCCGAGTCAGTAGTGCTTTTTGCCCAAGTTTACTGTCTCCATATCACTTTTCACTGATTTTCTACCCACTGACTTTTTGCTCATATCATCACAAATAAACTAAAAGTGCTTTATTAAAATTATTGCTAGGTAAAGTTCATGGGAGGTTATGGCTTTAGACTGAGCTCCTGTCCCAGGCCCAGCAGACTAAAGCAAACCAGAATAGAATCATTTATGCTGGGTGCTATGTAATCAAATGGATTTCAAAATGTGTCAGTTTTCCCAAAAATGGGAGATTCCCATCAACGAATCAAAAGGGGTCCATCAACCTGAGCCAGCATGATAAGAGACTCCGCTCTGCTTTAAACCTGAGCAGAGTAACCAGATAGGTTTGCACTACCGCGTTTCCCTTTTCTTCTCAAACTACATTACAAAAACCCATTATTCTGCCACCCCTAGCAGAGTACCCTTCTACCTCATAAATGCGATAGTTTGATTCACGAATCATTAATAAAAACAATTCTATCTTCAAACTTAATTTGTTGGGATTTTGTTCTTTTGACATCACCAAAGTCATTCTTTTTAAAAGGTCCACTCCTCCATGATGAATTTTTTTCTGCACAGTGTCTATTTACCTTGTCCAGAAAGATCCACTGTCTTCTGGTGTCCAGTTTTGCCATCGAAGAGCTCCATTACATATTTCCCTTTATCATTAGGAGTGGGTTCATTGATCTGTAGCCAGATTTGCTCCCCGGTGACCCCAGTCTTAACTCTGTCTGTGTATTTTATACCAGTCCCACTGTTAAAACCAAAGAAAACATCATTTGTTTGCTTTCATCCACAGTTAGGCTTTACTTTGTCTCTTATTGACTGTTCTTGTCTTCATAACCTAGGGGATTTCCAAAACCATGAGAGTGACTTCTGTCATTTTGCTTCAGAGAAATTCTAAGTCTCAACACACAGAACTTGGAGTTCAAGGCCCTGGAGCTGGTAGTCCGGACCTTTATTTAGCACCTAATATCAGTTGGGCAGGGTAGACTGCAAACTTACACTCCTCAGAGGGACTGGTCATTTGTGCTTTTGCTTGGCTTTGTTTCTAGGGATAATGGAAGCCCTATCGCTACATAAGACTTTACTGTGTATTTCATATAGATGATATATGGGTATAAATTAGATTCTATAAGCTCACCTGTGCCTGACATTTATTGGCATACGTTGTTACAAAGTTATTTAAAACATGTAAATATCATCTTGGTAGCAGAGTCAAAAGTGAACAAAAGGCAGAGTTTCTGCCAAAATGAAAGAGGCATTTTCTCCATGCCTGGAAGTGACTTTCTCAGTATTATACTGTATGTCATAAATAAACCCACACATTGTATTCTCTATAAGAGAACGAAACAAGGTTAATTCTTATAGGTGAAGTAACAGACAGATAATACATATATCCTATTTATGAAGTTTGTAAAAATGTGATATGGTGAGAAAAAAGCAACATACAAAATCATTATTCATAGGAAAAAGACTGGAAGTGATACCCCAAAGTCCATAATTTTATGGTTGGAAAAGCTATGGTTGATATCATATTATGAATCTTTCCTAATCTGTAGTATATATTATTATAAATGTGATTTCTAAAAGCACCCTTTGTGGTCACAATAAATAAGATGAACTTGCAAAATACAAATTTCCAATGTTTTATCTTTCAAATAAACATTTAATATTTTATGTCACTACCTTCTTTAAAGAGTATTTATCTGAAAAGATGTAACAGATTCAAATGCCATTAAAGTAGGCCAAAGCATTCCTTTTATGTCAGAGTTTAGCATAAGTAATAGAGAATTAGACAAAAAGATAGCTTCCTGCTTTCTATAATAATCTGAATTCTTTAATCTCTGACTGATGTGCATTATATTTGTAGCTATAACGTATCACATTTGTAAAGCACTTCAAATAAAGTAGATATTACTGCTCCAATTTTATATAAGAGAAAACTGAGACCCAGAAAATTAAATGACTTGCCAAAGATAACAAAGGAAGACAAAGCTGAAATCTACTTCAAGCTTTTTGTCCTATATTCCATTTCCCTATGTACAGACAGGAAAGACAATCTGTGATTCTAGAATCTTTCATAAGTATACAAACACACAAAAGTTGTAGAGCAGGCTAGGCCAAATTATGTAAGAATTTTTTGACTTGCTAACTAATAGCAGCTTGCTCAAAACATAATTTCAATGCCTTCATTTTTTGAAGAACTAATGATTTCTGGGATGATATAAAGCTTTGTTGATTGATGATTCAGCTAATTTTACTTTTCTCATTCTTCATGCTGCACATTAGATCTCACCGAGATGTCCTACATGTCACAGAGATTTCCTCAAATGTGACCCATTTTAATTTATAATTACTTTCCTAAAATGTGTTTCAAAAGAAACAGAACAAAGGAATGAAATTCAAAGTGTTCTTTCCTGGAATTTTATGACTTCTCATTTTTAGAACTCACTAGGCATTCAAAAATAATAATAATAATAACACTGTATAACAGAAAAACCATTTTGAAGAAACTGCCAATGGCTGCTTTGCGGATCCAGCTCTGACGAGCTGCTGGATCTAGACTTTGAATGCAACCTGAGCTCGGAGCGGGTATGGTCAGGAGCAGCTGGGCTCTGCAGTGAGGTTGCCTGGATTCAGCTCTGAAGGTGATCTGAATTGAGTTTGTCCCTTCAGGTTGGAGTTCAAGCCCACAGTGAGGTAGCAAGGAGGCAGAGGCTGAAGCGGACTGTGGTGTTCGGAGGTAGAGCCTCTGGCAGGTGGGGAGGATCAGATAACCTCATCAGGAGCAGTTCTCATGACTGAATAGTGGTGACTTCAGAAGAAATAAGAGAGAATCACAGGACACACACAACACACACTGACTCCTTCTCTCTTACCATGTTGCGCCCTGCACTGCCTTGGAACTCAGCCACCAAAAAGGCCTCCTCAACACTATACCAGAACTCTTAGTCAAAGTAAGCCCATTTTCTTTATAATTCAACCAGCCTAGCACTGCATTTTAGCAGCAGAAAATGGATCATATTGCCCTCGACCCACTTCTTTGTGGCGTGATCTTGGGCAGGTCTCCTCCCTGAACCTGAGCTTCCTAATCACTAAAGGAAGGGGTACCTGTAACATAAAGTTGTGATTATGAAATGAATTCACAGATTGAATTCATTTATCTTGGGGAAGTGCTCAGTTTTTGCCCTTGCCTACTGAATGTATCACATAAAGGAACATTTTCTCTATCTTCCTGGGGTGCTGCATGACCTACTTCTCAGCTGAGCTCTTAAGAACGATGGAGCGTTTGGAAGGTTGTCTGCTTCCTCCTTACACTGGGCTGAAAATGGCTGTGTTCTAAAAGATTATTCATACCAGGTCTCGGCTCCCTCTCAGCTCAGGATTTTTCAAGGAAGTCAGAGATTAGGAAGGTCTGAGAGCAGGACTGTTTGACACAGAAACTGCTTAACTCTAGAATCCTAGACATGACCTTGAATGAAATCTCCTTTAGAACGCCACAAAGGTAGTGTGGGATAAGAACAGATCTTCAGGCTCAATTTTGCTCAAATACAGCAGCTCCAACCTCATCTTGAGATCTCCAGGATCTTCTGAGAGTGGACAAGAAACATGCTCAGCTATGCTGACAGTAATATACAACAAACATTTGAGTACTTCTCTGGTGAAAGACCATTTATTCAGATAGAAATTTAGTGCCTGTTTCTATACCCTGCTTCAGTGTTGTCTTGGACCACAGCACGCATTCACTACATGTAGAATGGCCCTCCAGATGCTTCACAAAGCTAAGATAGCCCCAATCAATGACAGACGCCCAATAAAACTATTAAATACATCTTGGTAATATGATGCTGGACTCTATGCTGTTGTTCCTACCCACAATGTCAGGATACACTTAAAAAACAGAATGATGGACTTATGACTACTTATGAAGGACTATATAATTGTGATAATATAGGGGAAATCAGTGAGAGGGAGGAATTTTAGAGAGGGAATGAAGGAAATTTTATTAATTTCTAATTAATAAAAAGAAGAAAGCTAGGACAGCCTAAACAATGATCTGGAGATGGAAGTCACACTGTAGAGATATCTGTGAATTATGATACTTCTTAGATCACAAAAATACACTGGAGCCATTACTGGCCTCACCATTCACGTGCTGAGGAAAAGAGTGAGCCTCAAATGACCTGGGTGTTTCTGTCCTTGTTGTCAGCTTCCTGCATGAGAATGAACGAGTCTCCTTACCTGACAGCAACAGAAGACCTTTTATTCTACTCCCATCCTCAGCTTAAGACATTCTACATAGCACAGGAAGTAGTTCCCACTTACTTACTTGTGAGACCAGTTAACTTTCAAGTCATCCAGGTAGTAAGTAACAAAAGAATACAGCCGGATGCCCTCCGCAGTGCTCTGGATTTTTAGATCTGAGGCAGACAGAGCTGGAAGAGGAAAAAAAAAAATGAACAGTGTAGTTCATACAACTGGGAACCCGTCCCAGTTGTAGAAGCATAAAGAAGCAGTGTTGTGAGGAAATGTCCGCTTACCTATTGTTTTGCATACTTCAGACATCAGTTCTTGGAAGGCTGCAGACAGAGATTCAGAGCCAAAACTTGAGCATGTAAGACTCCATGTAAGGTTAAATCTCAAACTGTGAGTACTGAAAAGCCATTAGACACAAGGTAATCCTGTTGACTAGCTGACAATAAGCGCTCTTTGAGGAAATGAGTCAACTTCTATCAGGTTTGAAAAGATTCCTGCTTATTTTGATATTTTCCCCCTGAGTCCTTGTGACTATCACTCTATATACATTTTGGAGAAAGTGCCAAAGTGAGATTTCCTGGAAGGTTCTTGGCCTTGGATTTCTCTTTGTTCTGAAGTCCCCAGGAAACCTTAGTTTTCACTAGGGGAAGTTTTCTTGTCTGCCTCATTAAGGATATGAATGAACTCTCCAGGTCCCAGGTCTTCCTCAGCTAATAGGTCAATAAACACTGTCAGCTCTCCCTCCACCAGCAGTGAAAAGGGGAAATCAAAGTCACACGCCTGCTGTTTGACAGCAGTGTTTTTAAACACCTTGTTCAGGAACAAAATTATAAGTGTGGGTATCACATGGAGGCTCTCATTATAACGATGCATCTGCCCCCAGCAGTGTCTGGAAAGTGGAAACAGCCTTTCTGCCCTGCTAGCAACCGTGAGACTTTGCTTCTTCTGCCGCCTCCGTGAGTAGGTTTTTTTTCAACATGTTTCTCATGAAGTTTTTGATTCTGGGACATTTTTATAGATTTAAAAATGATAATTTAAATGACATCATGTAATGGCCTCCTCCTGGGCTTTGGCCTATAAATTCTCTGACAATCAAAAGTACACTTCTAGATTTCTAGGAAAATAAGAGTGAATGAAGTGTGTTTTTGAATCATTGGAATTTCAATTAACCCAAAATCTGAGGACCAAAAAAAAAAAATCAGCATGACTGTAACTGTCATTAGCCCTGCTTCCATCACAGCTCTGAGAACGTGTATCCAGAATACAGAACAGGGGTCCCTGCGTTTGGCGACTGACCTTCATCCACAAGCTTCAATCTGCTCTTGTCTTTCCCTCGGTCATCTTTCAGGATAACTTCATAAATCCCAGCATCTTTCCTGGAAAACTGAGAGGAGAAGAGACACACCACATGGGAGCTGAGAGAGGATCTGCATTTTTATGGCTCTTGATTTATGAAACTGACATCGAAGCATTCACTGAACAAGTATCTAGTCATGCTAGAGATGGCCAGATCGCAAACACATGTACTCATTTTAATTTGATAGGCTGGTCTGTAATAATTTTATTCTCTAAGGCTATAATTGATTTGAAGCTTGAGGTATTTATGTTTTAATCTACCGTTATTTATTAAGAAATTATAAGCAAATATATTTGAAAGCTGTGCTCTTTAAGACAAAAAGCAAAATGTAGATAAAAATCTATACTATGAATATATATATGTGTGTGTGTGTACATATACACACGAATATTATGTCTGACTACCTAAACTTTCAGGGAACAATTTATCACAAGCTTTAATTACAGAAGAAGAACCCATAAAACTGCTCAGATATAAAAAAAGGCAGGGGGAGGCTCAGAAAAGCAAGCTTTTGTGTTCCTACAGTGGTTGGAAAGTTGGAAATAAGCTATTATTAATCTGAGCATGAAAGGAATATAGAATCACGTCTCTCTTTGGAGGAGAACACGGGGTCTGGAGCTAGGAAGTAACATTTCAAATGTAGAAGTGCCCGCCTACCTCTGTTATAAGCAGAGTGCATATACCATCCTTGAAGTCATGTTTCTCATCCACTGAGATCTCTCTCTCATCCTTGTACCACACAATCATTGTCTCCTTCTTAATGTTGGCGACCTAGAAGAAAAGTCACAATTGTCCTTCTTAAAATAAAGAAATATCACTCTTAGGAAACTAGATAGCTCCAAATGCAGCAGGTATCCAAGAAAAAGCACTCAACTTTCGAAAAGAATCAATTGAAAGCTATTTTAATCAAGAAAAGAGTTTATTATAGATATTAAACCAAAACCAATAGCATTTCTATTTCTAGCAATAAAACTTAACTCGGGCCCGGCGCGGTGGCGCAAGTGGTTAAGGTCCTCACCTTGCACGCCCGGGATCCCATATGGGCGCCGGTTCTATCCCGGCAGCCCCGCTTCCCTTCCAGCTCCCTGCCTGTGGCCCGGGAAAGCAGTCGAGGACGGCCCAAAGCTTTGGGACCCTGCACCCGCGTGGGAGACCCGGAAGAGGCTCCTGGCTTTGGACCGGCATAGCATTGGCCGTTGTGCTCACTTGGGGAAGATCTTCCTCTCTGTCTCTCCTCTCTGTATATCCGCCTTTCCAATAAAAAAAAACAAAACAAAACAAAAACAAAACTTAACTCTAAAAACACCTGGTAGATGAGAAAAGAAAGAATGTAAATCTACCTACAAACCTATACGTTTAAATTTAAAAATCTTAAAACTGAAAAAAGCATAAAATTCCACCAGATTAAAAATCAGTTGGTCTCCCAGAATCAAATGACTTCATTAAGGGAACAGGATGAGTAAACCCTTTGTCCATACCTAAACATTTCATAAAACACAAATGAAGCATGGAAAAGCGCCATGGCTTAAGAAATTGCTTAGCAATGTTAAATTTTATTTACATATGAATCCACAATTATTATGCAAATTTCAAATGAACTAAACGGCCTAATAAGGTTACAGGGACCTTGAGTATTATCTGCAAGGTTTAACTTGCTTTTACAAAGGAGAATATTTTAATTTATTTCTCACCGACAAAAGCAAGGAAAAAGATCCTAAATTTCCCACTAAATGATTCGTAAAATGTACATAAAATCTCTCAAAGAATAAATTCAACCATAAGACAAATAGATAAAGAAAATATTTATTGTTATTATAAATAAGGAATGTTAAATTTTTAAAATGTCCAAAAAAAGTGTCAGCTAATAAAACATAAGACTAGAGTGAAGCCATTACATACACATGCTCCTTATGGCCCCATTAACTGGGTCTTTATTCTAGAAAGTAACTGGTTACTAGGAGACATTGTTTATGACCAAAAAGGATCTCATGGGAAAGCAGCATGTGGCCTGGACGACCTGGAAAGGCTTTGGGCTTCGTGGGGTACACTAACTCATAATTTGACATGGTCCCTGTGGAGATCCTGGAAGCTATCCCTAGGGTGTTGTTAATTAAGTGTAGTGATCCTCCAAGATGTGGGCTTGTTTTAAGCCATGATACCACATGCCCAGTGTAGCCCGTACCTCCTTGTAGCTGAGCTGCCACTAGGGGTAAAAAAGGGAATAGCTGTCCACATGAGCAGAGAAATGCCAAGTGGGCTTCTTTTCTTTTTTTAAGTTTTGCATATTAATTGGTTGATTTGAAAGGTAGAGTGACAGGGACAGAGAAAGACTGTGATCCTACATCTGCTTGTTTGATTTACCAAATGTTCTGTGCCAGGCCAAAGTCAGGAGCTTGTAGCTCCCTCCCAGTTTTTCCCATGGGTAAACAAGGACCCAAGTTCTTGAGCCATCACTTGTTGCTTCCTAGGGTACAGCAGCAAGAAGCTGGCTGAGAAGTAGAGGCGGGATTCAAGCCCAGGCACTCCTAAGGCATGCAGGCATCCCATGCAGTGGCTTAACTTACTGCACAGGACACCTGCTCCTCTTGCATCCTTTTGAGTACACTAGTGCCAGGGGTTCCCTGATAGGCGTGTGAGTCTGCATGCTTAGTTACACATACTCTGTGAACAACACTGCAGTATGTAAAGTGCTAAATGTGCATAAAATTGCTATAATAATAAAACAACAAATGCTCATGGGAAGATAAAGGATGGCTCTTTCTACCTGGAATGAGAAGGGGCAGGCCTCATAGAGATAACTGAGATGGAACTTTGAGATGAAATTTTGTCCAAGAAGCTGGAACAGCATGAATACACTCTGAGTGAGTACCCATAACCCGTTTGGGGCTGCCCTTGGTCGACTGCAATCTGGGAAAGGGGCTGGTTCTCTATGAGAAAATCCATGGAAACAGTGTGACAGAGTTCACCTTCCAGAAGACAACAGGTAGTGCTGGAGGAGCAGGGGCCTGTAGGCCCCTGGGAAAGGGACAGCTTAAGGGGATGGGCAGTGTGCAGTTGAAAGGGAATATGGGCAACATGGCAGTGAGCAGCCAAATTGATAGAGTGAGGGTTGCAGCTGCTCTCTGAGGAAGATTTTGAAGCTCTATCATTTCCTGACAGGCTAAAATCTGGAACTGATTTTCTTAGATATTTCTGATAAAGCACACTTTCTTGTAATGCATTAGCCTTCACAGAGACTGGGACTCCTGGGTTTTTAAGAATAATTACACGTCCAAAGCCAAGTCTATGCTTCCACCTTGAGTCACTGTCAATCATATGGCCTCAACACTCCAAGTTCATCCAACAGATCCTTGTTGAAGACATTTTCAATGATTCATTAAACACCATATGCTAATGTAAAAGGTACTTCAAAATGTTAGCACAGACATTTTCTTTTCTCCTGACAATTCTCAAGAGCTGTGTAAGACCATTTCTGTGAGCTGCTGACTCATTCCCAAACCTCTCCCTGCCAGGGAGCAGAACAGTTCAGAATTGCAGCACCCCCTGCGAGTGCTCAAAGGGACTGCCATGCCAGTCCTGCAATTTAGGTAGAAAGTTCCTCAGAACAAGGTTGCAGCCAGGATTCTGGAGCAGATCTACCGCTCAGGGGGCACACTTAGCTGAAAACAAGAGCAATGTCAGAGTCTTAGAGGTTAACGTTGGTTGAGCGTTCCTAATCTGAAATTCACAATTGGAAACATTTTCAGTGCTGGCAGGATACATTAAGAGAAAAATTCTAAACCATGAAATTTTGCTTCATGTTCAAAATTATTAAAAATATTGTATAAATTACCTTTAGTTTATGTGCATAAGGTACATATAAAACATAAGTGAATTTTATGCTTAGACGTGGGTCCCCCAAACCAAGCTTTCTCATGTATATGCAAAAATTCCAAAATGCAAATAAATGCAAACTTTAGAACACTCCTGGCTCTAACCATTTTAGAAAAGGAACATTTGCCTGTAGTTAAAATAACAGTCTGGGTCCTTGTTTACTAAATCAGGGGTACTAAATATGAATAATCATCCTGACTACCAGCATTTCTGTGTTGTTTTATATGTTTCCCACCAGCCAGTGGGTATAGTAACCGTCAACATTAACAATGTGACCATTTGGTTAAAATGATGGAGATAAAAAAAATCTGTCTTATTTGTCATTACATTCTAGTTTGTTCTTATTTCATTTGAATTAGCCATTTCTTACCTTGCATTTCAGCAGTACATTGCATTCACTCGTCACTTCCCAGCTCAAATACTCAGCAAAATGTGGACCTATAAAATGTGAACAATACCAAGTAACCAGTCTATTTATCAATGCAAAATCAAAGCTCATTTTTAAATCTAAAGGTGGTTTATGTTTAAAGTTAAATTTTTTAAAAGATATATTTTATTTTTATTGGAAAGTCAGGTATACAGAGAGGAGGAGAGACAGAGAGGAAGATCTTTTGTCCAATGATTCACTCCCCAAGTGGCTGCAACAACTGGAGCTGTGCTGATCCAAAGCTCGGAGCCTGGAGGCTCTTCCTGGTCTCCCATGTGAGTTGCAGGGTCCCAAGGTGCTGGGCCATCCTTGACAGCTTTCCCAGGCCACAAGCAGAAAGCTGGGTGGGAAGTGGGGGTGCCAGGATTGAACCAGTACCCATATAGAATCCTGGCACGTGTAAGGCAAGGACTTTAGCCAGTAGGCTCCCGTGCCGAACCCAAAGTCAAATTTTTTTTAAATGTAGATTTTCTTTTTAAATATTTAACATCCACATTTTGCACAAAAATATTTTCAATTATTTTTATTGATTAGATATTAACATTGACAAGATTCATTTTATTTGCTATGGGAATTCTCTTAGAATATTTTGTAGTAATAACTGAAGTTGGTCAGTTGCCTACTACTTATTCTTACCTTGTTTCCTAATCCATTCCTGCCGCTGGAATTCAGCTTCTTTCTGGAGCTTTTTATAAACTGGAAATTGAAAAGCAAAGAAGTAAGAGACTGAGTTGAGCAGCACAGATGCAAGCGTCAGCCATTGTGCTAAGCGATCTATATTCATTATAACAAGAACACACATACATTGGGCCCTGCTGATTTTCATCTGATGGATGAAGACACAGGCTTGGAAAGGCTAAGTGACTCATCTGAGGTCCGCAAGGTGGAAGACTGTGAACTAGTACTGGAGGCTTGAACAGAAAGGGCTTGCCAACTCTTCCCTGCTAGTTAAATGCCACATTTTAAAGCTTGGTAGTTTTCATGGCTGCTATTTGCTAGGATCCATTTATAACATATGATGAATAGGTTTGGCATATACTACTTCTACAGTATTTTTCTTCTCAATTTAAGTAATTTAAAGTAAGCACAAACATAAAACACTATTATGGCTCATTTCTGAGATATATACAGTGTTGGTTATATTGCAATCTTCCTCACTGGAGAATTTTAGTAATACTCATTTAATATATAAATGATGTGCAGTCTTGCCTGTGGCCAGGGATAAATCTTTTGTTATTCTAAGTTACCTTTCATGTCTATGCAATGAAATACTATGAAAAGCATTCATTGAAAAACTGTATCTTGAACACTAGAGTTCAGATAGAAGCTAACGTTCTGTTGAATACTCACCATCTCCAATGAGAACAAGAGTAGAGTGGCCAGTGGCTTTTCCATCTTGAATCTCAAAAGTATAGGTTCCCTCATCCTCGTCCAGTAGCTTTTCCATGAACATTTCAATTATGCCAGTGTTTCGGTCAATATGCATTTTGTATTTCTTCAAAGTAAAAAGGAAAATACAGAGGGAGCGATATTTTACATTTATGACAATAAGCCTGATGAAATAAAATTAACCTCAAAGAGTTGTAATTTTAATCAAATTTATTGACAACTTTAATATTTTGTACTTGGGAAAAGGAAAATGCTATATAGAACAACTGCATATGATCCAGTTTATAATTAATGAGTAATATATCTGAAATTTGATTTCTCAAATCTAAGGAAAGTTTCATTATCCCATGTCACAAAGCATCAAACATTTTTAGATTCTCATTTTACCTTGTGAGTCACATTAAAAACAAAACAAAACAAAACAAGACAAAACAAAACATTTTATTGGGGTTGGCCTCCCCCTCTGGTGTTGGCATCTCAAATGGCCACTGATTCTAGTTCTGGCTGGTTTGCTTTCTTTCTTTTTTTTTTAAATTTTTTAACATTTAATTCACTTATAATCAGATTTTTTTTATAGAAAAGTGGGTATGATTATTATTTCCATATTGTTTCCTTCATGTTTAAAGTGGGGTATTAAGGGAGAAGGCCCACCCAATTTCCCACCCTCCCCAGGTCCCGGATGTAGGGTATGCTCCGAGGTTCTTGCTCAAGTGGTTTTGATATTTCAACAGTTATGAATCACTGCCACTCCAAGCACTATGAGGTCTTTGAAGAATCCACTGATTGACATAGTCCATCATAGAGTCCCTGTTTGCTCCACATGGTTTGCTTTCAATCCAGCTCCTGGCTAATAGCCTGAGAAGGTGGAAGGGATGGGCCAGATGTTTGGGCCCACGCACCCACAAGGGAGACTAAGAAGCAGCTTGGTTTTGGTTTTGGTTTTGGATCAGCCCAATTCCAGCTATTGCAGCCATTTGGGGACTGAACCAGCAGATGAAAGATCTCTCTCACCTTCTCACTCTTTAACTCTGTCTTTCAAACAAGTAAATCCTTAAAAAAAACCATGTTACTGATTTATTTTCATACTATTTGAAAGTGAGAGAGAGCATGCGAATGCCAGTAAAAGATATTTTACTTTGTAGTTCACTTTCCCAAACATCTGGCATTAGCAGGGTTGGGTCAGGGCAGTAGTTCAATGCAAGTATGTATTCTTTTTAAAAAGTGCAAGTATGTACAAATGTTGCACATCAAAATAAGGTTATTTTAAAAGTGTGTTTTCCCATGAAGTCCCCTTGAATATACTGATAAGGAACATAATCATACAGTCCTACTGTTTATGTTATTCATATTCATTACTAATGAAGCCTCAGATGTTTTAAAAACAGCTTTTCATGTATATCCATGGTAGCACAGGTGAGAAAGAGAGAGAGCCCACAGACCCAAACCCTCCAGTTATACTGCATGTTGGCCTGATTGTGGCCTTACAGATGTCTGTGTAAAGGACAAGCAGCTAAGATGACATAACTCCATCGAAAAATGGGGTTTTTGTCAAAAACAAAGGAAAAAAAAAATATATATATATATATATACTCATCTAGGTAAATAGGACACAGGTATGTACACATTGAAGGGTAGAGAAAAGTCCAGAAGTATATGCTAACATGTACATAAAAAGTTGTAAGAATATGTTTTAGCTGAATCTTTATCCTAATCTTTGTAGTTTTTTACAGTAGGATATACTACATTTTTATCCAGAGAACTGTTGAAATACATTCATATTGCGTTTTCCTTAGCCACTGGAACAAGAGGACACTTTTTCCACATACTATATTAAGTTTCTGTTGGGATTTTAGATATCAACAAACTGCAACTTTCTAGCAATTTATTTTGAAATGTACAAAGCTCTGGTGTTTTAGAGGACAGATAACAGTTCACCGTGTTTACCAAGATGCAGGGGTATGCCGTGAATCCAGGGACAGGGTAGTGGCTCATTTGCCCTCCTGGGAGAGCAATTGTATTTTCATTAGTGGCCATCAGAAGGAGAATTCAAATTATTCACAGGAAGATAGAATTAAAAGATGGGTTAATTTGAATTATGAAACCTTATGCTTCAATTGGCTGATCCTTTCTGCCTGCAAGCACCAACATCCCATATGGGTCACAGTCTGTGTCTCAGCTGCTCCACTTCCCAGCAGCTCTCTGCTGGTGGAAAGCAGTAGAGGACAGCCCAAAGTCTCGGGACCGCGCAACATGTAGGAGACACGGAAGAAGCTCCTGGCTCCTGGCTTCAGATCAGCTTAGCTCTGGCCATTGTGGCCACTTTGGGAGTGAATGAACAGAAAGAAGAGGTCTCTCTTTGAGTTTCTTTTCTGTCAATTTACCTTTTCAATAAAAATAAATTAAAACATTTTTTTCCAAAAAAGGACTCTTACTCTATTCCCTTAGCCAATTGCCCTCAAGATCACATTGAAGGATCCTGGAGAGCAGAATCTGTGACAAAGTCATTGGCAATAAGATATTTACTTAAAAATATTATGAAACACACATAGAGTTTTCATAATACACATTTTCTATGAACTTTTTGGAAATTTTTTGTTTGCATGGATTTCAGAACTTCTCTCATTAAAATAAATTTATACTTTAAACATTTTATTTATTCCTTGAAAAGCAGGGAGAGAGAAGAGAAACCTTTAATCTGCTGGTTTATTCCTCAAATATGCACAACAGCTGACGTTGGACCAGGTTGAAGACAGGTGGCAGTGACAACTCTGAGAGTCACAGCCGCTCCTTCTTGGGGTGGAAGCAGCGAGCTGGAGTCAGGAGTGAAGTCTGAACTTGAACCCAGGCACTCTAACTTGGGATGCAGGCATCTCAAGGGGCCATCTTTATCACTGTACCAAATGCTTGTCCTAAACTTACCTCCAATTCCATTTTCCATAAATATTTTTAAAATATTTATTTATTTTTAAATTAGAAAGTCAAATATACAGAGAGGAGGAGAGACAGAGAGGAAGATCTTCCACCCATTGATGCACTCCACTCCCCAAGTAGCCGCAACTGCCGGAGCTGAGCTGATCCAAAGTCAGGAGCCAAGAGCTTCCTCTGGGTCTCCCATGTGGGTGCAGGGTCCCAAGGCTTTGAGCTGTCCTTCACTGCTTTCCCAGGCCAGAAGCAGAGAGCTGGATGGGAAGCAGGGCCGCCGGGACATGAATTGGTGGCTCATATGGGATACAGGAGTGTGCAAAGGTGAGTACTTTAGCTACTAGGCTACTGTGCTGGGCCCATTTTCCATAAACGTTTGAAGTAACCTCACACATCTTAGTTTACCTGCTTGATTCATGACTGTTGTCCTGGGAAAATTAACAGAATCCCCTTTCATTTTCGTAAATGTTCCAGTTTTAATGATAGGATATGGAAAATTTGTATTTTCCCTTCACATCTAAATTTTTTTAAATTTATTTTTTATTTATATGAAAGGGAGAAAGAGAAGGATAGAGGAAATGGGGGATGGAAAGAAAGAATGAGGAGATCTTCCACCCACTGGTTTACTCCCTAAATGCCTGTACCAGTTAGAGCTAGGCAAGGGTGAAGCCAGGGACTCTCTGGCCCTGAGCCACCACCTGGTGCCTCCAAGGGTGCACACTAGCTGGAAGGTGGAACTGGAAGCAAAGGATCTGGGATTCAAACCCAGACACTCTGCAATGAGATTCAGGCATCCTAATTGCTGCACTGAGTCCCTGCCCCACTTCACTTGTTTTTAACACGTGAAATGAGATGAACATTCCCAACTCACCGCTGAGTGTTTTTGATAATTTTTTCCCTTCTAACACAGCTGCAAAACAGTATATTCCACAATCACATATTTAAAAATGCAAAGCCTAAAACCTACCGGCCCTTCAAAGATCTCCTTGTCATTGAATATGTAGGTGACTTTTGCGTTGCCAGAGAGTTTCTCAGCTTGCATCCAAAACCGCACTTGCCCTTTCTCCATGATTTCAACTGCCAATTCTGATTTCGCCGGAACAGCTAGGAGAAACAAAAAGAAACAGAGTAAGCAATGATGCTGATGACCAACTCTATTGGCACAGTCAGTAGAGATGGGGTTGTAGCGCCTGCTTTTTGCAAAGCCCCCTGGGGGTGACAGCATTGCAGGAAAGGTGAGCCACTGAGGGACAGACCTGGGCTCTCATCCTGAGACTGGCATTTGGGTAAGCTGATTTTCAACAAATCACAGTTGCCGCAATTCTAAAAATGAGGAGGATGAATTTACTGCTAGGGACACTTAAACTAACATGACTTTCCATGGTAGCTTTGGTTAGGTATCTTCAGAGGCAAAAATCAGGTTTGATGAAAGAGTTCTAGCTAGAACCATGAGAGATTCTAGCCCAGGGTCTGTAAGTGGCAAACTATGTTATATGAGGGAGGTCACGTCGTATCGTTGGAATTAAACAAAAGTAAATCACTTTCCAACTCTAATTACTTAAAATATTTAGCAAAGACTTAATTTTTATTTTTTACCCCAAACAATTCACCTCTGTTTTACAGAGTTTTAATGAATTTAAATCAGAATTTTGACTAAACAATTAATCCTTCATATCTATAGTTTTCACTTCTCCAGTTCAACACATCATGGGGTGAAAATATTGTAAAAATATTTTCATATGTACAAACAAGTGTAAATTATTTTTTCCTTGAATAAACACCATGTTGCAAGCATTTATAGCATTTGCTTTGTATTAAGTATTAAAAGTACTTGGAGATTATTTCAAGAATATGAGGATATGCTTAGACTATATACAAATTGAGGAACTTGAGCATCCAGTGTTTGGTAATTGCTGGGAAGGTCCTGAAATTTCTTCACGATCCCAAGGGACAATTAGCTAGTCACTGAAACACTATTCAATCCAACACTATTCCAGTTCTATTTAGTTCCAAAACCAAACAAATTTTCAGAGGCAAGTAAGGGAGTCCTACAAAGAGGTATATTAAATACAGCAAAGGAAGCACATTGTATCTCCGATCCAGGCCTGTATCACTTAAGGTATTCAAATCTAGAAAAAATTTTAAAAGTTGGTTGGTATCTCTCAAAATTGGCTTGTAAATTTCTTGTAACTTGAAAATATTTTAGAAAGGTTCCTTCGGGTCTGGTGCAGTGGCCACGTGGCTGAAGTCCTCACCTTGGGCGTGCTGGGATCCCATATGGGCACCTGTTCTAATCCCGGCAGCCCCACTTCCCACCCAGCTCCCTGCTTGTGGCCTTGGACGGCCCAAAGCCTTGGGACCCTGAACCCGCATGGGAAACCGGGAAGAGTTCCTTGCTTCCGATCGGCGCAGCACCGACCTTTGCGGTCACTTGGGGAGTGAATCATCAGAAGGAGGATCTTCCTCTCTGTCTCTCCTCCTCTATCTATATATCTGACTTTCCAATAAAAATGAATAAATCTTTAAAAAAAAAAGTTCCTTCAACCATGATTGTGACAGAGATGACTGCAGCGTGTACTTTGCGGGGGGGGGGGGGGGGGGGGGGGGGGGAAATAGTTGTTTCTCCTATTTTAGCAGTCCTTCACTTCCTTTAGGAGAAATGATGGATCCGTTCTGTTTCAGAACTGAGAGGGGCCCCCCATCAGTCACGGGGGCTGTGCTTTGTAGCCCACTGTGATCCTGGGCAGTCACTCTGTCCCTTAAGCCTTGTGCCCCCCACATGCTAATATGGCTACCATAGGTCTTAGAGGGCCATCAGTAAAAAAACAGTACGGTGGCAGGATCCATTCAGATGTTCTGAATAGTGACCAGGATTCAAGGTTAGTTCCCTTCCTCCCCGGGTTTCCCTGTAGAGAAGCCTGGGCATTGCACATTCCTCTTGGCCCTAGTAGTTCACTTTGCCGAACACTGACGGGTTTCCAGGTGAGTGCGGTGTTTCTTTCAGTCAAGAAAAGAAAGGGCACACCTCAGGTGCCAAGAGTACAGGCGAAGCTTTCTACCTACGGGATATTCATGCTTACTGCAAACGAGTCTTGCGGAGACTGGGAAGTACAGTCTCTTCTAGAAAAGCCTGGAGATCCCATTCTGTAGCACCTAATGTACTAGTAATATTGTTACCTAAGAAGTCTGCAGTGGTGATGGAAAGGAAGGGCTGGGCTCTCCTGGAAACTTCCAGTCTCCTTAATGTTCGCCATCCTCCCTAAGCTGCAAAAACTTCATCTGGAGAATGCTGGCCACTCTGAATCACCTCCGAGGCAGAGAACAGACAGAGCAGGAACATGTAGACAGCCCAGGATGTGGCAAAAGCAACAGGCTCCAGCCAGTGTCAGGTCACCTGAGCTGCATCCCTGTGTGTCCTGATCTACTGTCTTTTTTTTTTTTAAGATTCATTTTTTTTTTTTTTTTGGAAAGTCAGATATACAGAGAGGAGGAGAGAGAGAAGGGGAAGACCTTCTGTCTACTGGTTCATTCCCCAGGCAGCCGCAATGACCAGAGATGTGCCAATCCAAAGCCAGGAAGGAGACTGGAGCCTCTTCTGGGTCTCTCACGGGGCTGCAGGGTCCCAAGGCTTTGAGCCATCCTCCACTGCTTTCCCAGGCCACAAGCAGGGAGCTGGATGGGAAGTGAAGCAGCAACTGGTGCCCGTATAGGACTCTGGTGTTTGAAGGGGGAGGCTTAGCCAGTTGAGCCTTTGTGCCCGGCAGAGCTAATGCAGTTTAAATATGCATTGGAAGCTTGCCCCTTGCAGCTTCAGATGGCTGCTGGCACTGCTCAGCTGGCGGCGGCATTGCTCTCATTGTCCCTCTCGGCACTGCCTCCTGTCTGTGGTGTCCGTCAGCTCTCCCTGTCTCTGCAAAGGGTCCACGTGACCGCATTCAGGACCTAGCCAGGTAACCCAGGAGAATTCTGCATATCCAATGTTTGGTTTAAGCACTTCTGCCAAGGCCTCCGCCCCCTCCCCGCTTGCTGTCTTAGACACCGTCCACAGGTTCCAGATGTCTGCATGTGAGCATCCGGAGTGAAGTGACGGGGGAATTGCCACATGTTGAACCGATTTTTAAAAAAAAAAATCCGGTTGTAAAGACATGGTAGCACTTAACATCTGTTGTCAATGGCCATACTGTTTCAACAGTCACTTTCCACACTGAAGGGATTTTAAAATGCCTCATTTAAAGTCTGATCCAATTGACAGCAGGGATGGTGAGAAAAGATGTCTTCCGGCTTCAAGCCTGCGGGAGGACATATCGGAAACTCCCGAGAGTTTGTGTCTGATGCTGCTTAAGCTGGAGTGCCACACACCTGCACAGCGGTCAGGTGCGCCTGGGCAGCCAAGCTCCAGCTCCCTGTGTGGCCTGAGCAGGGCTCTGCTGCCCGAAAACCTGGTCAGCCATCTGTGGGGAAGGGAAGCAGGGTGCTGGATGGGAAGTGGAGCAACTGGGATTAGAAGCGGCGCCCATATGGGATCCTAGCACATGCAAGGAGAGGACGTTGGCTGCTAAGCTACTGTGCCGGCCCCCTGATCTACTTTTTTTAACCTCTCTGAGCCTCACGTTCTTTACCCCTGAATTCAAATAATCATGGGACTGACCATTTTAAGGCCACTGTGGAGAGTTTATTTAATTACCCTAGAAAGAGCTTGCCTATAACTAATGTAGGGCTATTAATAATTTGGCACCTTTTTCTTCCTCCAGTTGCTATAACAACATCCCACAACATCAAACTGTAAAATATAATATGTTGACAACTAAGGGGAAATACAAAAACATCTATGTTTGTTTCTGTGTTCTTGTATATGTTTGCACCTGGATAGTATACAAGGTGAGCAGTGACCAATGTCTACCCATGCGGAGGGATGATGTAGGAGGTTGACAACACTGAAGTATACCTTTTGCTGGCCGAAAAGCTTCCTCTTCACACGGCGCTTAGCATCCATGCTGGCAACACAGACCATGTAACTTCCTATTGTTAGCTTTCTACTCCTCCACTCTTTTTCTCTGCTGCAAATTTCTTTAAATGCTTTTCTTTTGGCAGTTAATTCGCTCCAGGGAAATACATTATTTGGAGGTTACGGATGTGTTAGGAGCTTTTAAAATAATTTTGAAAACAGCTTATCCTGAGAGAATTTACCATGCCAAAGGATAAGGGAGCACCAGACTCTGGCGTTTGGTAAGAAATGAGACTATTGAAAAGCTTACAGTCTCGAGAGAATCACTTCGCTTGGCAGCATTTACAAGGAGGAAGTGGGTATAAATTGAGGATTAGTTATGTCTCTTTGATCTTATCATCAGATCTTTGAAAAGCACTGGAACTGTCATCTCTAAGATGTTGCCCCAAAGGGCAGCACTAGGTGGGGAGATCCACATCTGCCTGTCAAGGTTTTCAACATATTTTTGGGTTTTTCTCAGTGCCTGCCATACTACTACAGTGGGTCTCTTACACAAGAACACCTGAGTGGTACCCCCAGCCCCAGGACCAGCAATTAGAGTCCTTAGATTTATGAAAACTATAATACTGGCATTAGGCAATTATAACCGCTTTAATTAATCCTGTCTCCATGTCCATGAGATCATTGAACTCCAAGGAAGTTCTGAGTTCAACACTGATAGGCTGTCTTCACTCATCTCACTCTAAGCAAAATATGGATGTTATTTGAACCAGTTGTTGCCTAAACACTTATCTGTGCTTATCTAAAAAGACAGTGGTTCATAGAAACTGCTGCTTCTCTCCATTCACCCCATGTTGGAGAGCAGACTCCACGGAGCTTTGGGATGGTCGTGCTATGAGCAGTGGCTTCTTCTGGGATCACCACTCTAGCCTAATTAATGTTAAAGTTTTCCTGAAGAATTCAGGAATCAAAAACCTATTTATTATCTTTTAACGCCATGGTAGGCGCTATGAATTATTGCCATTACCTTTCCTGGAAAAAACACCAATGCACAGGCAGATAGAAGTGAGTTGTTCAGTTTCACAGAGTGAGTCAAAATTAAGGTACTTGAAGAATTAATGAGAAAATAAAATTAAAATATAAGCTTATTTTGGTGCAAAAACATTTTGAAATCTATGTGTAGCATTTTTCAAGAACCTTTTGAAGGTGCCTCATACAGAACAAAGGAAGTATAAATCAAGCTTCTGTTTTCTATACAGTTTTTCAGAATTAACTTTTAGAACATTGCTAATGGCATTACTTTACCAACCTAATGCCATGGGATGTTTCTCCCCGAGAATTCAGAAGTCCATGCCCTACGCTCATACCACATAGGCATACCATGCTCTGAACAAAGTGAATTTTGGTAACATTACAGCTGAGGCCAATGTTATCCAACATGTGGCCTCACCACCAATGAGTCACTCCTTCAGAATGATGCAGCAGGCATGATTTTTAATCAGCCTCCCCTCTTCCTTGAAAAACTGCAGATATACAAAGATTTCCTTACAATCTGGGATAGAGTTATATAGCTTTCTGGGTTCTTGAAATTCTGGTATTAGTGAAATAGTTTATGAATTAAGAAATTCTTTAAAATTCTTGCTTTATAAGAATAAAATGCTATATATGAAAGAATTTTCTCAGTTTTTGTTTTCTCAAATTCTAGAGTGTAGCTTCTGGATGCCTCACTAGCGGCAGGAACTCTATCAGGCCAATGGAACCTTCCGACACTCACGTTAGGCTCCTTCTATTCTCTTAGGTGTCAACTGTGCAATTAATCTTGCAGGTGGAATGTGCATCATTTAAGGGTTTGTAGATAGTTGAGAAGGTTTGTTTTTCTGACTGAGTCATCACCTTATTTTCCAAGAAGGCAAAACAGTAGGTACTATCTCTGGCTGTCCTTAATCAGAAATATGACTCTTCTTTTAAGTGCCAACATTACTTAAGAAGAAATTAGCTTGCCAAAAGACAAGGAAATGAATATATCTAGAAGATGTTTATACAGCTTCAGAATATGAAGGCAAGAAGTAAAGAACTTAATTATGCAGATGTCATACTCATGTAAGCCTGGCACTTCTCTATATTATGAATTCTGATAATATATTTCTATGTTTGTTTCTGTGTCTGAGAACTATGGCAAAGAAAGAAGCTTCACTTCTAGAATGTGTATCTGTGGCTATTGCCTTCTTCTCTTACTCCCATCAGAGTTGCCATCTGAACATTTCTAGAGGTTCCCTTTTGCTAAGGCTCCTCAAATCTCTGAAAATATTATAAACACTTACTTGGGAACTTGTGATCGTGGCTGAGAGCAAGCAAACGTTTCAGCTCTATAAGGAGAAACAAAAACAATTAAGCCTTAAACTACCAAAAAAAAGTCACTTGAGAATTACTGAGAAACTAATGCAACATTAGGCTTGGGAACAAAACACCAAACCTACCTTGCTCGTCTATTAAGTAGCTTGATGCTATTCCATCAGTCTCCGTCACATCGCAAGAGTAAATGCCCAAGTCATCTTCCCCAAGGTCTTTGAAGGTTATTTTCGTCCTTTAGAATAAAACATTTTCCTTAGATTTGAAGCCGTGTAGGGTCCATGGACCTGTGTTCTGCCATCTCTAGGCATCTACACCAGCTACTGCCTTGATTTGCAGCACTTGCCCCCCTTTTCCGAGGACAAGTTAAAAGCTTGTTCATTCTTGGAATGTCAGGTTAAATGTCATTTCCTCTGGGATGATCTTCCTGATTTCCTCTCAGGGCATAATCTCCCCAGGTTGGTAAAAACCCTCTCTTACCCACCTATGTCACATATGTCATATAAACATACATCTATTTAATGATATATAACTGGTCCACCTTTGATTTTTTTTCCCCCCATAGGTCAGGTTACACAATGTATGGAATGAACATACGAATGGGTTAATGACTTAGTTTGTGTTTTGTAACTTTAACAGGTTATCTCACCAGCCAGTATCTATATCAACTAAGCATTTAAATATTAAGTATACAAACTGTTTGACTGTCTTTTCTTTGATCAAACATATTTTTACCTCCGGAATTTTTAAGAAGCAATTTCTTCTAAGAATTTTCATTTTTAGTTTATATTGGTTATGATTTTTACCCTGTCAGCCTTTATAATTTCATCCTGTATTGAAAGTGACTCATCCACAAAACAGCTTCCTGTCATGTTTTTATAGTGGAAAGGAAATCCATCATTACAACGAACACAGTCCTTACTTGTTGCCTTTGCTTTCAGCTTCCAGCCGTGGCGAGTCCTCGGTGGGTACGTAATCTTTGGACCAGACAAACTTCGAGTTTGGAGTCATCTGATCACATTCAAAGTTCAGTGAAATGACTCCATCATCATCCACATTTACAACAACCTCTTTGGTTCCTAGGGCATCAAAGAGAAGACACTGAAGCTCGTGGTGGATATCAAGCAATAAGACTTCATGTCATTCTGAGACCCTTTAGCATGACATAAAAGGGCTTTGAAAGGGGCAAGATAAGAGTTACAACCGCTCAAGGTGTGTGTGAAGTATCCGCAGTCAACCTTTATATTGTTAAATGGACTTACACGTGCCACATTTTTTAAGGAAACGCCATAGACAACACTGTTTAATGGCTGAAGAAAAATCGGCTGATCTGACAGCTTGCTGAAGAAATCAAGGCAGTCTTGGGAAAAAGAAAGCTGGGTGGTCCTCATCAGGACCTAATTCTTGTCTTCTGCTTCAGTAACGCTCACATCCGAGAGACAATGACTGAGTTCCCAGCTCCTGGCTCTAGGTCTAACCCCAGCTGCTGTGGGTGTTTGGGGACTGAACCAGTAGATGGGTGACCTCTATTTCTCCCTTTCTCTGTCACGCTACCTTTCCAATAAATAAATAAAATTTTAAAGGCTAAATTTACTCCATGGGAAGTTGAAGATCACGTTTCATTTCTATTCCTGATGACACATGACCAATTCCTACAGAACACTGTTGTAAAATAAACATTGAACAGTATTCTTATTGAAACTTGAGACTAACCCTTAAAACTGTTGAGGTTTAGACAGTGCTACAACACAGTTTGCAAGGCTGTTACCAGGAGAATAAAAATGGAAAATTTCTGTATGTCTGTTTTGTTAAGAAGAAAGGAGAAGTGATAATGCTCATTAAACATTTCTTGCTTATTGTATTAATCTATTCTGTAAACAGGACTGATTATTCATATTAACTATTCATTGTTCAATATATAATCATTTTGATTTTTTAAAGATTTATTTATTTTTATTGGAAAGGCATATTTACAGAGAAGGAAGAGATAGAGAGGAAGATCTTCCATCCACTGTTTCACTCCCCAAACATCTGCAACAGCCATAGCTGAGCCCATCTGAAGCCAGGATCCAGGAGTTTCTTTTGGTTCTCCCACATAGGTGCAAGGTCCCAAGGTTCTTGGCCATCCTCAACAGCTTTCCCAGGCCACAAGCACAGTGTTGGATAGGAATTGGAGCTGGAGGGATATGAACTGGCACCCTGATGGGATCCCGGTGTGCAAGGAAAGGACTTAGCTACTAGGCTACTGCACCAGTGGCCTGTAATCATTTTCTAAAAGGAAATGAATTATCCACCCCTTTGCTGTTTATTATATTGGACTTATGACTTAAGTTTACAGCCAGAAACCCATTGCATAGGCTATGGATATTGATTTTACTATAACATAATATATTTGACTTTTTTTCAAAGGAGTTACAAAATGAAACCCCATGGACAATTACATTAGCTTTGCTTTTCTTTTACTTTTGTAAATAACCTCTGTACTGTAACACCTCGCCCATTTGGAACTTTGCCCAGAAGCCAAAACTAAGAAAAACATGTCTCTAGGCGTCAGTGCTGATGTGACAAAGTCCACTCATGGGTGTCCTGAACATGCTCTGGAGATTTCCACTCGGAGTCTATTTATACTTCCCTGCAGACAGTTCCAAAAAGCCTACAGGCTGGTTTACCTCCGTAAGTCAGACTAACAAAGACAGGGAGGTTAGAAGTTCCTACCAGAGGGCCCACTGAGAATCAGGAAAATAACAGCAGGAGGAGAAGCAGTAAAACAAAAATGCAGGCACACAGACATTATTTAGTAAAGAGCTCTTCACTCCATAATGACATCACCGTGTCGCAGCAACCTATAGTCAGAGAAAGGCAAATAAGACAGGATACTGCACTCAGGCCTGCTGACAATCTATTTACTGAAAGGTGTAATCTATTTTAAAGGAATTTTATCAGGCAGCCTAAAAATCAAATTTGAAAGTGTAGCAGTAAATGTACATGTAAGTAGGGCAAATAATCAAATAACAGTTTGTTCAGGTTTCTGAATGTCCAAATTTGGTCCCAAGTCGGTGTAACTAAAGGATAGGAAGGCGCTGGGACTGGCATTATGCAGGCATCCCATATGGGTGCTAACTGGAGTCCTGGTTGCTTCACTGCCAATCTAGCTTGTGCTCCTGGGAAGACAGGGGAAGGTGGCCGAGCTGCCTGGGCCCCTGCCATCCACATGGGAGATCCAGAGGGAGTTTAGTTTCCTGGCTTTGGTCTGACCCAGCCCTGGCTGTTGGGGAGCTGGAAGCCAGGAGCTTCTTCCAGGTTTTGCACACAGGTCCAGGGTCCCAAGGACTTGACAATCCTCCACTGTTTTCCCAGGCCACAGCAGGAAGCTGGACTGGAAGTGGAGCAGCCAGGATACAAACCGGTGCCCATATGGGATACTGGTGCTTGAGGGTAGAAGATTAGCCTCCTAATCCATTGCACTGACCTATGAAGGTTCATTTTAATAAAGCACTTGAAGATTTTGTTTTGAAAATATGAATTGGAACAGAAGATGTTGCTTTGCCTTTTAAAAGAAAACATGTTAGCTTTAAGCTCCAAGAGCGGCATGTGTCTTTATTTCAACCCATCAGTCTTATTTCGTTATCTTATAGCTGAGTTCTAGGCTAAGAAATGTGATAATCTCTACTTTCAGAAAAAAAAAATGTAACTTTTTAAGGTCATATTAAAATTTCGAATTTAGGGCCCAGAGCTGTAATTTGTGGAATAGCAGATAAAGTGTCACCTGTAACACCTGCATTTCATATGGGTGCCAGTTCAATTCATGACTACTCTAGTTTTGACCCAGTTTCCTGCTAATGTGCCTGGAAAATCAGTGAAAGACGACCCAAATGCTTGGCTGCTTGCATCCACTTGGGAGACTTGGAAGAAACTCCCGGCTCTGGCTTTAGCCTTGTCCAGATCTGGCTGCTGTGGCCATTTGGGGAGTGAACCAGTGGATAGAAGATCTTTCTTCTCTGTCTTTAGTATCCCTTCCAAATAAATAAATAAATCTTGAAATGAAATAAAAATTTTAACTTAAAATTAAGAAATTGCTAGGAGAAAGATCAAGTAAGATCGGGATAAAAGCTGTGAAATCAACTAGGATTTCAGAGAGCTGTGCCTATTTGTGAAGCTTGTTGCTTGATGAGTCCCATCAAGTCAAAACAGCATTAACAATATCTACAAGGGTAGAAAGAGAGGCTTTTCTTCAACTCATACATAATTTGAGCTATGATGGGTGCTACTGGCTGATTTGTAGGCAGAAAAAAAAAAAAGAACAGCATAAAAACAATTAGATTCATGTTGGCCTTTGGTTTTAGAAAACATTCATTAAACAAGCATTTGATACTGGTTAGTTAGGTTGCTGAGTATAGGAATGGATTCTACAAAGGTAGGAATTGTGTCTCTAGTATTTTCTATATATAATTACATGTAACAGTGGTTGAAAACAGCTTTGAAAGAAAAATGCAAATTTAAAATTTGGTAGGGTTTATATTATTGAAAGTTGTCTAACTGAACAGCAAGAACAGATCAATATTTTGTTAAGTAGGCAAGATGAGATAAAAGTATCAACAAAAGGAAGCAGTGGGCTTCCTATTCATTTACATCAGAATTTGGAACTGAGCTTTCCCGAAAAATCAAGAATGTCATTTTTTAGAAAACATCCATTTATTTACTTATTTATCTGAAAGACAGGCACAGAGAGATAGACAGCGAGAGGCAGAGATCGTCCATTAGCGAGTTCAGCCCTCTAATGGCTGAAACAGCTGGAGCCAGGAGCCTAGGATGGCCTATGGGTCTCCCACATGGGGAGACCAAGCACTTAGGGCGCTTCCTTCTGCTTCTCTATGCAGCTGGGCCTCGAAGTGGCACTCATATAGGATGCCGGCACTGAGGAGGCAGCATAATCCACTGCATTACCATGTAGGTTCCATTCAATGATGCTACCAACAGCCCAAAGAATCTCTCTAAATGCAATAATTGGAACTATAGTGATGCTATGGGAAGTTAAGACACATCCCTGGGATGTCTACATTGCGTCCAGGAGTGCTTGGCTTGAGTTCTAGCTACTCTACACTTCCAATCCAGCTTCAGATCCACCACCTGGAAGGCAAAAGATGATGATCCAAGTGCTGGGATTCCAGCCACTCCTGTAGGAAGACCCAGACTGAGCTCCTACTGTTAGTCAGGCCCACCCCTATCAATGCAGTGAACCAACAGATGGAAGATTCTCTCTCTCTCCTGTAACTCTGTCTTTAAAGCAAACAAATGAACAACCCAAGTAATTCTCTGGCTTTTTGAAAAATCAAATTATTTTAAATGCTAGTATTTGTGAATATTTGTTGAGTTCTATAACAATTCTCACTGGAAAATAATGCTTGTAAAAATAACTTACCATTGCAAAGAAATAATGCATTTTGAAACAAAATTATTATGTAAATATAAGACAAGTTTGATGCCATCACACATTCGATATCACTTTTCAAAATCCAACATTTGGTTTTAATTAGTAACATAATTCTTTGAATGAAATTTTAAAGAATGATTTTGTAGAATAACTGCTTTTTACAATAAAACCTACAATGGGAAATTAAATTGAAATTGGCCTACATTCTGGGCATATGAAAGGAGTAAAAATGTGTTGCTGAAAAATATTTCAAATAAATATTACTTAAATAATATTAAATTAAATAACTAAAATAAATTAAAATGATTTAAGTTAATTAAATGAAATAGTTTAAATAAATATACTTGCGAGAAAGCAGGAGCTTAAGATAAAAACCATCTTTTGGAAAATTTAAAAGCACTCAAAACAGTTAAAAATCAGCTTGATGTTTTCTTGTATCTGAAAAGCAAAAACATGCTGCAAAGTAGAATTCTATTCAGAATAAGAGGAAGTAGGTGTGTTTATCTGGCGAACCGATTTTTTCACATATTAAAATCTAGGAGCAATTAATGTAACTGTAAAACAAAGGAGCAGAGAAGATATTTGGCCTAGTGGTTCCAATACAGGCCCAAACCCTTGCATTTTGTGTTGGGATTCTCTAGGTTTGAGTCTGGCTCTGGTCCTGGTTGTAGCTTCCTCCTAATGTACATCCTGGACAGTAACCTTAGGGATGATTTAACTGGTCTAGAATAGAGTCCAGATATCAGGATTTCTAGACTTCCTAGTGTGATTCTCATGTACAGCCAAGGTTGAGAACTACTATCCCACTAGTTAAGAGAGCAGTTAGTAAGCTTTCTCAATCAATCCGTTGAGTTTATCTTTGAGAAGCAGCTTAGTTTCCTAACTTAGAATCCTCCAGACTTCACCATGCAATGAGAAAGTACATAGCTGTCCTCACAGTCTACCAGGTTCTGGGTCAACCAATTTTTACATACTGGCATTAGGAGCATTTGTATGCCAGATTGTCAACTCAACCCAAGCTTTATACTTTCAGTAGTGCATTCTCCTAACCTGCCTTAACCCTCCTGGCCACGCCTGGCTTCCTGCAACCCTGTCCTGCTTGGGCTGGAGTCTGTGTTCTCCTGCCTGCTGCTTCGTTCTCAGGGAGGGATATCTGCATCCTGGACCCCTAACACTGCTGCCTCCCACATCACCTCCCTGCCTTGGCAGTTCTCTGTCTTGTTTTCCATCTGATCTGGTTCATCTGGCCTCCACCTCTACCTCAGGCTTGATATAATCAACCACAAACACTGTTTGAAAACATTAAGTATCAAGAACACAATGTCATTTTATGTACCAAGAAAACTACACTAAATACTTTTCTTCTGTTAGCTTATCTAACTAACGGAGTTCTCAGTAAAGCATGGTACACTTAGTCCATTCCTCGCAGCCTTGTTGTTGGCACAGTTGCCCTTGGCAGTTGTGGTGGGCCCTATATACTTGAATATATGTAATTTTTAACTTTAAAGGGAGACTAGTGATTCTACTAACCATGACAGATATGGTTATCTTTTAACTACAGTTCAAATTACACCTGAGGTATCCTGTTAGTTTTTAATTTGTGCTTTGCTATTACATGATAGACTTTATTTTTAACTGAAATTTTAACAATGCATCCCCCAAACGTTCTTTTGAAACATTATCCAAGTTTCACAACCAAAATTTTGAAATTGATATACCCTACCCCATTCCAAAATAAAATAAATTGGTGAGTAAATGAGTATATTTATACTTAATGGAATTAATAACTACAGCTACTTTTAGGCTATATGAAGTTTTTTTCACAGGGGTTTACCTTTGACAACTGTTTTACAAATGTTTTAGGACTATATATCCAAGCTCTGATCATATCAGGTCATAAGCTTTGGATTCTCCACTAACTACTAAGCTTAGTATGCAGTGATGGCATCATGACTGTGCTCTTAGGGTCTGCACAGCACCTGCTATGCATTAGGAATTCAAGAAACATGTGTTGAAAGAACGGATGTGCCTGTTGTGTATTAAACAGGCCAGAAGTCATCGGAGTTCTATGAGGGGCAACATCTGACTATGTGTGTCCCCAGATTCTTTCCTGGGCCGTGAGCCAGTGGTTCCTGAATGGGTTCATAGGACACTGCTTCGTGTGTCAATGTCTGCAGCTATTATTTGCAGTTACACAATGGACATGGAATAGCCACAAAAGTGATTTTTAATGGTTTATTCCAAATCACTGAAACAAACTCTCACCGAAGAGGTCACCAGTGCATCCTTTTCTCTTAGCGTTGAGTCTGTTAATGTCATGCATTTGCCATCTGCCACTCTGATGCTAGGCCTGAGTAATTGATTTAAACTTTTCCAGTCCATCAGATGTGGAATCTATGTCTTTAAGGGTGCTTTTGGTTTATTCATAATTAGAGTAAGAATTTACTTATAAGGCAATCTAAATGTTGAGACTAGACACTGCACCTGGGGCTTGCGCATGTCCATCAGTTTCTGCAATGTTGTCAACTGAAGGATCTGGAACCTACAGGAATATGTAGATATGCGCTAGCTTCTTTGTCACTTTTCCTGGGTATATATGTCTCTAGAACTTTTCTGCTTTCTCATGGAATTTTCATAAAGATAATTTATATGAAGAAAAGCTCTCCCTTGGACACCTATCACTCTTTTGTATAAGAAGGTCATGTTTATTAGGCCCACATCTACAGAGTAGCTGAAAATAGGTTATGAAGAACTAGGACAAAAGGTAGAGACATTTCCTCAAAGGGCACATCATATACACTTTGCGATAACTGGGCCTAGCAGCTGAGATGGCTGTGTCTCCCAGGTGGGGCAGGTACCTGGGCTTGATATACAGCTCTGTCTTTGATTCCAGCTTCCTGCTGATGTACATTTGAGAGGCAATAGCAATGACTTTGGTAACTGGGCTCCTGTTGCCCATGTGGGAGACCTGGGATGGGTTCCCAGCTCCTGGTTTTGGCCTGGGCCTAGTCCTGCCTACTATGGTTATCTGTAAGTAAACAAATAGTTAAGACTTCTCTATTAAATACAGTTAAAAAAAAACCTAGTTAATATTTTTATCCTTTTTTGCTTTTGGTGCTTTCTTTAACTTAAATAAGATTAAATACATGCTAACTTTAAAAATGATATAATTTGAACGATAAAATAAGTAAGTATAATCACGTAATGCTCTGGAACTCTGTGGCCCAGGAACACTGTAAACTTTGTTCTCATACTAAAAGGGAAGACTGTCCTCTCCAACCCAACCATGGAAAGTGGGTGGTGCCTGAGCTCCACAGAGCATTCAGTTGGAACGGCTGTTAGTTTAACCCACAGGTCAGCAAGCCACGAGTTGTGGGCTAAATCTGGACTGTTGCCTCTGCTTGCATGGGTCACAAGCTAAGAGAGGCTTTTATATTTTCAAACAATTGAGGAAAATCAGAGTTTATTAATATTTCAGGACATGAGAAATTATAATTCAAATGTTATAATGTATATAGTACATATTACATGCATAACTGCTTATGGGAGCACAGCTGTGTGTCTTAATTTTGTATTATCTTTGGCTACTTTGTACCATGGCAGAGTTGAGTAGCTGTGACAAGGATCATGGGGCTGTAGAGTCAAAAATATTTGCTATTTTGTCCAATATGGAAAAGGCTTGCTGAGTCCTGATTTAATTGAAGAGCCACAATTACATAGATCCTACATTTCTTTGAGGATTGTGCCTGCTACCTGGGCTGTTCCAGCCATCCAGATGATTGGAAATTGTGTGAGAATTATGACAAGGTTATAATATCAAATGTCATAGGAGTGTTTGCTTAGAACAGTTGGTCTAGGAAGAACAACTTGATTAAGAACTTCACTTTTTTAACACGTGAACAAGAAAAACCTCAGGATCACCACAAACTTGACTCACTTCTGTCCTGAGGAGCCTGTGAGGGAATAAATAATGGTCAATGCTAACGTCCTGCTTGCCAATTAGTCAGACAGCACATGTTCATGATTTTGAACATTAGCAAGTAATTTGGTATTTTGCATGGATAAGATTAATCTTGATGCGAAGGTGAAGGCTCACCTGGACGGGTTTCTGCCACAACAGGGCCAGCAAGGTCAGATGGCTTCCCAACTCCAGCCTGGTTGATGGCTCGGACACGGAACACGTAGCTCACACCCTCCTTGAGGCCTTGAACCTGCAGGCAGCAGTCATGGGAGCAATGGACATTTTAGAAAGCAATGTTATCTAAATGACTGAAAAGTGTGTGCCCTCCCTCTGTAGTAATGTTTGAACCCTACGGCACCAACAGCACAGGACTTGTGGTAACGGCCTGATTCTAGGTGAGTGCCTTGGTCCTGGACCACCACCTTTACCTCTGGACCAGAATCTGTAAGTAGATAGGATGGACTTTTTCTAAGATCTCTTCCAACTCTGAGGTACTCCTTTGTTAAGGTGGTTTAATGGACACCCACATCAGAAACAGAGAAATACACATGTGCCTTCCTTAGACGAGTTAGCTACCTTTTTCTTTGCTCAAAAAATGAAATATTCTTACAATAGCATATGTTATAACTTATCCCCTGATATTTTTGAGAAAATCCATGAATAATTTCAAATGCCATTTTTGTCATTAGAGAAAGTACTAGAACAAAAACAGAAATTGTACCTATAAATTTAATATAACTACTTTTACTAAACAGATAAGAAATGAACATGATTGTAAATTGAACTTGTTAATCATCAAAATGCATTAAAATTTTAAATCTTCAAATTTTTAGTAGTCAAACAGATGCCTGTTGAAAATATATCACATGTGTGCCATGCTTCAGAGTTACAGAGTTGTAAAAAAAAAAGTATAATCCATTTTCATGACAGTCTCACTTTATAAGTTTTCTGTGACTTTCTTTGGGTTCTGCATGGTCCTATCATTATTATATATACTGTTAACATTTGATAAAATTATCTTTCTACTTTAAAACACGTTAATTTAAAATTTTATTTTATAGGAAAAGAGTTATAGAGATAAAGCAGGAAAGACACAAAGAGAAAGAAATCTTCTATCTACTGTTTTGTTCCTTAAATGACCACAACAGCCGGGGCTGAGCCAGGCTGAAGGCAGGAGTCAGGAATTCCATCTGGGTCTCCCCACATGAATGGCAGGGACCCAAGTACTTGGGCTACTTTGCACTGTTCCCCCTGGTGTCTAAGCAGGGAGCTGCATTGGAAATGCAGCAGCCAACACTCCGTCTGGTGCTCACGTGAGAAGCCAGTGTTACAGGAGGTGACTTGCCTCACCTGCTGCACCGCAATGCCAGCCCCCAGGGCATGATACACTCAAAGAGAGAATTTATTACACCCAGAGGTGATGGTTTTTCCACATAGTTTTTTTGTGTTGAAGATCAATGCACAAAATGTGATTTAAACCAAACAATGGGGGAATACATTTGTTCAGTCAAGTGAAGTGCGTGTAACCATGTATTCAAATAAATTACATATTAAATTAAGATTTTAATGTTTTATTGTGTTTGTTAAACAGAACAACACCATTTATATAGCAATAGCTTTCGCTGTAGCTAATGGATTTTTAAAATGAATTTTAATCTAGAAATAATTTTGAACTTAGACTGAGCTTAAATGCATAGATTTTGACATAGTTAAGTTCTAAAATGACACAAAATGATCCCAACTTCAGACCATAAGTTCAGTGAAATAAGCCAATACCAAAAGGACAAATATCACTTGTTCTCTCTGCTGTAAGGCAACCTTTATGCAAGATACAAGATCAACAGATAATATTGGTAAACATAAATAGATATATAATCATCTAGGGGAACTGTATAATAGATTATCATATTGAGATGTGAAGATACAATGCAGTATGCATCTCTACTTCCAAATCAAAGATGGACTCCCAATGAAACTGTTAAATATATATATAAATATTTGTTTATATATATATATTTAAATATATATTATATATTTAAAGATTTAGTTTATTTGTATTGGAAAGTTAGATATACAGAGAGGAGGAGAGACAGAGAGCAACATTTTCTGTCTCTGTCCAATGATTCACTCCCCAAGCTGCTGCAATGGCTGGAGCTGAGCCAATCCGAAGCCAGGAGCCTGGAGCGTCTTCTGAGTCTCCCATGTGAGTGCCAAGGCTGTGGGCCATCCTCGACTGCTTTCCCAGGCCACAAGCAGGTAGCTGAGTGGGAAGTGGGCTGCCAGGATTAGAACCAGTGCCCATATGGGATCCTGGTGCTAGGCTATTGCGCCGGGCCCTAAATATACCTTGATAATAGGATGTTGGACTCTGTCATTGTCCATTCCTTCAATGTCAGGATACCCTTAAATAACAGAATGTTGAACTTCTGACTGTTTTTGTAGGACTGTACTATTGTAATACAGGGGAAATCAGTGAGAGGGAGGAGATTTGGAGAGTAGGAAGGGAAAAATCCCAGAACCTATAGAAATGTATCATAAATAAATAAATAAAAAATCTGTATGGAAATAAATTCTATGATTACAAATAATGCCAAGAAACTCTGGTTCCTAGAAGTGAACACAAAAATGTTTTTGTTACGACAAAACTAGGCCAATTGTCGGATGCCTGACTCTGAAGCTGCCACCTAAGTAGTGTGTGCTTGTGAGTCACTGCTGTAACAGGTGTTCAGTCACGGGGCTGACAGGATCACACTTCCACTGTTCTGTCACCTCAGGGGTGTGGACCAACAGCTCCAAAGCACCCTAATTATGTAATTCATATTATTTAGACACATGTATTTCCTTTTCTTGAGTTTTTCCTCCTCTCCATAATTTCTTTGCTTTCTACATCCTTGTCCCTTATCACTCCAAATATTCTTATCTCACGAGATTGTAATTATCAACAAAGAAATCAAGTGAGGAATTCTGAATTTAGCCTGAGCTTAAATTCAAATTCATTTCAGAAATCCATTTGCTCCAATGAAGACGACCAATACATAAATAGTAGTGTTCTGTTGTCATAAGCACAATATAAATCAGTCCCTTTGACTGATTAGTGAAAGTGATGCATCCTTAACTCTTTCTAGGAACCCCTGACATCAGAAGTTGGAATGGGGCCCAGCACGAGAGCTAGTGGTTAAAGTCCTTGCCTTGAATGCACCGGGATCCCATATGGGTACAGATTCTAATTCCAGCAGCCCTGCTTCCCATCCAGCTACCTGCTGGTGGCCTGAGAAAGCAGTCAGAGGCAGCCCAAGGCTTTGGGACCTTGCACCCACGTGGAAACCCAAAAGAAGTTCTTAGCTCCTGGCTTCAGATTGGCTCAGCTCCAGCCGTTGCGGCAGCCATTTGGGGAGTGAACCATCAGATGGAAGATCTTCCTCTCTGTTTGTCCTCTTCTCTGTATATCTACCTTTCCAATGAAAATAAATAAATCTTAAAAAAGAAAAAGATGCCCGAGTATTATCATCTGCACAAAAAAAAAAAAAGTTGGAATGAGTGTTGGGGCTTCCACAGAAACTGTCCCACTATGTTGCATTTGCAAAAAAGTTAAATTATCCTATTCTTGGAGCTCTCTCTCATGTTTTCACTGGGTTTATTAGACTGCACTTTTTAATTCATAAATTTCTGGCCTATAATAGGATTGACTTCTTTTTAAACAGAAAACACCTAAAAGAATGAATATGTGTCAAACTGCCTATGGAAACTAGCAGGCATTTTACTTTATGCCTTGTTTGAATTTTTCATCAAGAGTAGGTGTTAATTTTACATTCAGAAAAGCAAAAATTCTATTTTTACTTTAAAAACTGCTCGTAAACAGGGGCCAGCATGGTTGTGTAGCATGTTAAGCTTCTGCCTGTAGTGCTAGCATCCCATATGGGCACCAATTCCAGTCCCAACTGCTCCATATCCTATCCAGCTCCCTGCGATTGCCTGGGAAAGCAGCAGAGGATGGTCCAAGGGCTCCGGTCCCTGAATCCTCCTGAGAAACCTGGACGAAACTCTTGGCTTCAGACTGGCCTAGTTCCGGCTGTCTCAGGCATCTGGGAATTGAGTGAACTAGTGAATGAAAAACCCCTCTATCTCTCCCTCTCTCTCTGTAACTCTGCCTTTCAAATAAAAATATATGAAAACTGTTCATAAACCATAAGGTCATTTCCTTGTAGAAGTTCACCTCCAGGTTTATGACACACACACTCAACCTCAGTCTCTTCAAAATCTGCCTTTATTAGTTTTCTTTCACAGGTACTATATGACACGCAGATGAATGAAATAACATTCGCCATTCTTCAATAGGTTAAACTCTGTTTTTGTTTGTTTGTTTGTTTTTCTTACTGTTCATTTTTTTTCTGGACTGTCGTTGCTTTTGCATGGCTTCTTATCTTTGTCTTGCTTCACCTGAGTTAGGTCCAAGTTCAGGCGCTTGGTATCCTGTGCTGGGCAGGTTGAGGATCTAGAAATGTTTGGCCATGAGAGTTTCTGACCTTTATGTTACACCATCCTAAGGCAGGGTTTTTTTTTTTGTTTTTGTTTGTTTTAGTCTAGAGGCTTCCTGACTCATCTGAACACCCAGATGGTATCCTGGGCTCCAGTTCTTCCCTGACCTTTTACCTTCCACACAAAGAGTTCCTTTCTTATTTCCTCAGAGCTTTGTAAGGTAGGTGGAGGGGAGACTGGCACATACTAGACTGAGTTCATCTCCTAGAGGAGATACTTACATTGCAGGAACTATAAAGCCTTAACCCCACAGAATGGCTGACAAACAGTAGGTATTTCAATTAGGATAGCAGACCAGTGGGAAAGATCTGATAGGCGGGGTATAATCTGAATATCCTCTAAGACCTGCCCTATAGGAATAGCCTTTTCTGCTGAAAGAAAGGGTTGTGTGAATGCAGTGTGCAGCTTTCTGAACTAGTGAGGTCATACTTTGTTCAAGGTACTAACCAACAGAACCATGTTCCCCACAGTCTCTGAGGCCCTACTGAGGCTTCAGGTTCTCCAGGTGCTACTGTTAACAAAAAATGTTAAAAAATTTTATTTTTTCTGATGCTTCTGTTTAATACAAATAAGATTCAGTGGCCATAGCCCAGCAGGGTTTGGAAAATAGAGTTAGTAACTGGCTCTGTTAGCACATTCTAGAGGCTTCTGGAAGGCAATACCATGGATAAAGGTGAGGAGAAGGTCAAGCATTGAGAACAAGCGCTTATGTGAGCACAAACAGGAAGGAACAGCTCAAGAGAGGCAGGGCCTGACTCAAAGCCCAGCAATCGGATACAGGTTTCCTGGTGTCAACTCTGTACAACCAGCACCTTCAATGCAAGCCACCTTCCAACAGAGCCAGAGGCAGGCATAATAAACAGCATTAAAAAAAAAAAAAAGATTTATTTATTTATTTGAAAGGCAGAGCTACAGTGTGGAAGAGACAGTGAGACAGAGAGATCTTCTGTCCACTAGCTCACCTTCCAAATGGTTGCAACAGCCAGGGCTGGGCCAGGCTGACATAAGCGGCCAGGAGTCTCATCCAATTGTCCTACGTGACTGCAGGGCCCAAGCACTTGAGCCATTCTTTGCTGCTTTCCCAGGTGCATTAGCAGGCTGCTGGATCAGAAGTGAAGCAGCCAGGATGTGAACTAGCACCCAAATGGGATGTGGGTATTATAGTGCCACATGGTACAAAGGTGCTGGCCCAAGCATTATTGTTTTAAGACTTCAAGTAATAGAACTGTGAGGTGGCTAAGCTAAGATCATGAGAAAGCTGGTGAATGCTTCTTAAAACTCAGCAGGGGAATTCCGGCACAATGTAAGCAAATGTTCCAAGCATCAGAAGCTTTCCCCCACGCTACAGGAGCGTGTTACATACAAGCCAGATGAGGATCAGAGGTCTCGGTCTCCGGTTTTATCCTGCTAACTCTGACATTCTGATCATGAGCACAGCCTCTGGAAACACCTTACCTTGAGGTATGTGTTCGTAATCGCTGCCTTATTGAGTCCTCGCCACTGGTCTTCCTTGGCATTGGTTTCCTTCAGGTCCACAAAGTAGCCAGTGACTGGAGTCCGCCCCGAGTAGACTGGAGGCTTCCACTGTAGAACCAGGGAGGTTTTCCTCACTTCGCTGTACTTGAGGCTATGTGGTGGTCCTGACAGAAACCGTGATGCAGAAAAAGAGTCAATGTACAATCATACTTAAAGTCTTTAATTGGAACTGATGCTGGATATATACATGAAAATAGGAATTTTGTGATTCCTTTTGTGATCTTTCCCTAACCGCTCTACCTACCTCAGCCCCTAAACTTAGGGTTGCCCTCAAGCCACAAAGTTTTAGTAGCAAATTATTTCAGATTATTTTTCAGTGATAAACTAAACATTTCCTTTAATCTCAAATAGCCTGAAGAAAGCAGTTCCCTGTGATGGCATATGAAGATAGGTAAGCTCCTTGCATTCTTGGGAGGATGCAATGATAGTCTGTATCTTCACTTAATCTCCAACTGCTCTGCAGATGATACAGCCATGGTTTTATCTCCCCCCCCCCCCGCCCCACTTTTTTTTTGCCTTGTTATTTTTGAAATAACAATTGATTTCTGGCTAACCAATCAAAATTGCTCCACATGACTCTCAGTGGCCTGAGAGCCAATTACAAACACAGATGATAGGATGCCATGCTCTGGCATTTTGCAATTTGTACTTCAATATTTGTCTGGCTCTTTACCTGGGTTTAACAGTTACAAATACCTGTGCCATCCTAGTTTTCTAACAGGATGTTTTTCACTGACATGAGATACCTCATTGCAAAGAGCTTTTATGACCATGACCTTGCAGAATCTTTCAAACCCTGACCCTACTTCACAGAGGAGGGATTCGTTTCTGTTGTTTTCTAGCACCTTCAGTCTGGAACAGGAAGACTTGATTTCCAGACAGATTCTGCCACTTGTTATCTTGTGACCTTCCTTGAACTTGGTCTCCGTTTCCTTAACTATGAAATGAATGGATGACAAGCTATCCTCACTGCTCTCTCCCACAGGAACTTCCTTGGGTTATGTCTTGTGCAACACTGCTCACTAAGTCGAAGAGGAGACAGAGGAGACAGATGGTAGGGTGGGTGGAGGTCTGTCCCTTGGGTTCTCTCACCCTCCCTGTAACCTTCTTCATCTACAACATCATTTTTTATTGAAATATTTTATTCAGGCCAGTTCAGAATGTCTTAGTCTATGGCCATTTGCATTTAACTTGCTTCAGGAATTCCAAGAATTTGTAAACAGATCTACTTTTACGTGGGTGGCAGAACTTAAGAAATACTAACTGGCTTCAGGAAGGTACAAAAGAAGACTGTGTTTGCCTCTGTCCTGAAATGAGCACTTGAACTTCTTTTAAATTTCTTTTATAACTTTTCTAGTCATACTTTGGAGAAAAGTGATGCAAATGGTCACTCACTAGATGATGATGACATGAAGGTTGTTCAAAGGTTTCAGGTACAGGAAGGGGGTGGCACTGGGCTCTAAAATGGCCAATGATGGTGCTATGCCGCTTGTTACAAATGTTGGTAGGGGGATGGCGTTGTGCAGTATCAGATAAAGTTGCTGCCTGCAAGGCCAGCATCCCATATTAATGCTGGTTCAAGTCCCAGCTGATCCACTTGTGATCCAGCTCACTGCTCATGTGCCTAGGAAAGCAGTGAAAGATCCAAATGCTTGGATACTTGCTACGCTGTGGGAGACCTGAATAAACTTCCTGGTTCCATCTGGCTCAGCCCTGGCTGCTTGCAATCATCTGGGGGAGTGATCCAATGGATGGAAAATATTCAATCTGTTTCTCTCTCTCTGATTTTCAAATAAATAATTAAAGATATATATTTTAAAAGTTTAGGAGTTTTGTGCTATAGTGAGTTAAGCCTCTGCCTACAGTGCCAGCATCCCATACTGGTGCTGGTTTTAGTCCTGGCTGCTCTACTTCTGATCCAGTATCCTGCTAATGGCCTGGGAAATCAGCAGAGGTTGACCCAAGCACTTGGACCTCTACACTCACAAGAGAGACCTGGAAGATGCTCTGGACTATCAGCTCTGTCCCAGCTCAGCCCATCATGGCCATTGTAGCCATCTGGGGAATGAACCAGCAGATCAAAGATCTTTCTGTCTCTTCCTCTGTGTTTTTCAAAACAAATAAAATAAATCATAAATTCAAAAGTTTGATAATAAACCCAAGTAGAAGAATTTACTCATCCTGTGACACTTAAATTGTTTCAGTCTCTGAAGTCAGTACCACAGATTAACGTTGCTAGCTTGAATCCTAGTAGCTTGGTAAATTTGTTTGAATCCCATTTAAAAAATCGGTTTCATACCTCTATAAGAGTAATTAATATGACAACCTCTGAAGGAGATTATTTGCCATCCAGGTTCCAGAATCTTTTTGAGATGTGGAATTTGGGGAATACGGGAAGAGAGACAGAAAAGAATGGACAGTTAGTAGAGAGAGGCAAGAGCAGAGAAGCTGGACTCAGGTCTAGAGAGAGAATGCATGAGAATGAAGGGATACAGAAAACAGTTTTGGATGCGCTTTATTGGCCTTGAAAAAGTTAAGGCAAAGACCAGTGTGGTCTCCTGGCACTCAAATTGTGTGTTTCTCTCAATCTCACTTCAACCAGAGGGTGAACGATGGAGGCTGTAAGATTTAGTTGGAATACAAGCATCAGGGACTTATACTATTTTAAGCTGTTATTATTATTGTCTAATATTATCGTTAAAGTATTTCAGGTGAACACAAGGGGCCAAGAGGATTCAAATCCTTAAAGAGTGTCTGTGTAGCACTGCAGTGCAGTTCCGAGTTGTGAGTGCTTTGTGACTAACTCTAGGGTTTCAAGGTTGGAAGGGCTTTCATGGCTTACCTGGAACGGCAATGGTCCACTCTTCACATTTGAAGCATTCGCTCACTGCGGAGGGTGCTCCCAAGCCAGCAATGTTCATGGCTGCCACTTGGAATTGGTACACCATGTTTTCCTTCAAGTCACTGATCTACAACATTGACAACATCACAGATTGTGAATGTTTCAGCTTTGTTTTTCCTGGTTGTTCAATATTCTTTCTACATCCCCTGTTGCACACACCTAGGGTGACCTTGTTTTATTCTAGTTGTTTAAACATTTTACTTGCTGACCTCCTATGTTGGCTATTCCCTGAGGGGAACTTCAATGAATCATTTTATAGTCTCTTTTATAATCATTTATAAAATTTATAATATCTTCCTTGAGTGTAAGTGAAACTAAACTGCTTACAGTGTAATATGGTAAATGTATTGGAAAATCAGTCTTGTAATTGTGCTACATGATATGCCAAAGTGAAATGGTATTATAATTAAGGTCACTAGTCAGTTAATTTCAGTTCATCAAAAATGAAATTATTCTAGCTAATTAGTAACATTCCTGGTAAGAACTGTCAAAATGGAGCTGGGCCTTTTCTGAAAAGAAACATTATTTTGATGATGTGGAAGAAGTAGATGCCATGTTGTGAACTTCCCAGCAAAATTCACATTTGGAGAAGGGCAGCAGCCCCTGAGCTGCAGGGAACTGAATTCTGCCACAACCTGAGTGAGTCCAGGCAGAGGAACTCAAACTCAGATGAGAATTATAGCCCAGCTGCCACCCAGTCCACAGCCCGTGTAATCCTGAGATAAACTGATATAAATGGATATGTGATAGAACAAATGTTTCTTTAAGTCAAAATATTTGTAGTAATTCATTGTATAGCAGTGGAAATTAATTAGTGTACAACTTGGAATTAAATGAACTCTAACATGGGAATTAAAATTTCTATATTCTTACAATGTTTCTTCTGTTTTCTGAGTGAGCTAGTATTTCCCGTATCCCTCAAAAAGATTTAAGTTGTGGTTAAATATACGTAATGAAATAATACATGCAAAGTATTTGCAAAATAAAAATGGTACAATATATTATTAGTGCGCTAAGTTTTCAAGAGATAGCAAACTATAAAATGTATAAAATGTGACCTACAAGAAATGAAAACTACAGCAAGGAAAAAGTATTGGATGTGTTCAACAGCAAGAAAAGAAGAAAGAAAAGAAAAGAAGACCTTACAAATGATAGAAAGTCAGACATTATACAGCTCACAATGCAAAACAACACAATGATGGGAAACAGAGATCAACAGACATGAAATAGACACTGAGTACATCAAATAAACATTTAATTAGAGTTTCCAGAGAAGAGAAGACAGAGAATGGGATAGTAATATTTTAGTTGACAAAGAATTTTCTGGAAAGATCTTCCTGAAAAGTCCAACCATAGATGGAAAAATCTTTCCCCTAAGTCTGAGGCATAAACACAGAAAAATGTACACAATAGTACATATGATATTACTTCAAAACACACTGTTAGCATTTAAGAGACACTTTATATGCACATAAAACATTAATTCAAAATTAATAACACAAGATTTTAAATGTAAATTTTGTGGTGGGTAAATTAGATCTCATAAAGTGAGGCTATCCCATAGTTTTTTCCACCTGTACTCTCCTTGTCAGAAATCTGTACAAATTAATTCTAGACTCATTATAATCTCATTCATAAACATAAAAGCCAAAATTCTAAATGATAATTGGCAACAAATTTAACAAATGTATAGCAAGGTATGAATTTCTCCTGGGAACGTAATCTGTTTTGACATTTAATAGTTACTAGAATATACCACATTAAATTCCAAAGGAAAATCATGTGATCATTTCAAAACTCAGGGGAAAAAAAACTGATAATTTTAATTAACTCTAGACAACCTGGAAGTAGAAGGAAACTTTTCTTAACTGATGATAAGTTTCTACAAAACACCTGTCACACTTAATGGTTCATGATGAAATGATGAAAGCTAGAATGAACAATATCATCACTTCTATTGACTATGTGTAACAAAAAGATTCTAGGCACAAAGAAAGGTAAGGAAATAAAGTAAAAGATATAGAAGCTAGAAATGGAGAAGTAAACTATCATGATTTACATAATGACTATAGATGTGACCAAGGGAATCTAAAAAAACTTACAGATAACTTATTAAAGCTGTTAAGAAAACTTAGCAAAAAAACTACATATAACAACAGTATTTAAAATTGGTATATAAAAATGTAGTAATATTTCTCTATACCAGCAATAAAACCCATATAAAACATACTATTGATAACATTGAAAATATATAGTGCCTATAAATAGACAAATGATAGATCTCTGCATTGAGTCAGGAAACTTGAAAGAAAAATTTTAATTAAGAAAAATAACATTAATTGATTAAAAGATTCAGGTTTTTAAAAAACATCAATTATTCCTCACTCAATATTTTTTTTTAATAGCAACCATTCTTTATTCCTAGACTCAATGTAACTCCAATGAGAATTCCAATGGACATTAGTTTCTTTCCTTTTTTTTTTGGTCTATGCTTTTTTTTTTCCTTGTGTGTTTTTATTCTTGATAAAACTTGGCAGTGCAATTCTACAATTTTTATCAGAGTGCAAACAGCCAGTGGCATCTCTGGAAGACGCAGCAGCTGGGAGAACTTTGTTTATTACACTTACTGTAAAGCCATCATAACGGAATCACAGTGGTTTGCAGCCAGAGTAGACAGACCAGCGGAACAGAAGAGAGAGGCATCGTCCAGTGCATATAAGGAAATTGGTTTATTATACAGATGGCCTAGCAGGACAGCAGGGAAAGGACCAACAGGCGATGCTGGGAAAACTACATCTCCACTGGATGTGGGATAGGACTTGCTTCACAGCATTACACAAAAATCTAAAGATAAATTAATGACTGAAATCTAAGTGAGCAAGCTATAAAGCTGGTTTGAACATAATCTAGAATAGTTTCTCCATGACCTGGAATGAAGAAAGCATTTCTTCAAAAAAGCACAAAATTATCAATGATAAAGGAAATGCTAGTACACATGACTATTACTAATTGGACACTAAAATTAATGTGATCTCAATAAAGAGGAAAAACATGCCACCAAGTGGTAGAAGATAAACACAATTTACAGTCATACAGTATTCATATTAATAATATATAAATAAGAAGGCCTTTAGAAAAAATGGGTAAAAATCTTAGAAGGCATGTCATGAAAAATACCAAAATGAATCATTTACAAAGGAAAAAATATTTAAAATCATTTGATACTGAGATCGCCAAAACTGAAGATGTGTGAATATCCCAAATGTTGACAAGAATGTGAAGCAATAGTTATTTTCACACTCCCCAGGAAATGACATGGAATTATCTACTAAAATGGAAGGTAAACTCTTATTCACAGAATTATACTCTGCGAATAATCTACAGAAATGAAATTCATATATGAACAAGCACATGGGTATAAAAATATTCCTAGCTAACCTATGTGAAAATATCCAAATAGCACTCAATAATGGATGGAAGAGTATACGGGGATACAGTTAGATGATGAAATACCATCCAGAAATAAAAATGAATTATTGAATTATTGTTACATACATAGATGTGAAAATGTACAATCACTATGCTTATGATATTCCATAATTTATAAATATTAAGTCAAAAACATGTGGCATTGAGCTGGGAAAGCTGGACTCCCCTGGCCCCACCCCGTGCTGAACCCTCCACGCGAGAGGGTCTTTGAGTGCGGGGAGATGGTCACTCGGGCTTAGTTAATGACAGCAAGGGGCAGGACCATGAGTGAAGGCAACAGTGTCAGGTGCCTGAGGCAGGCCATCCTACAGAGGATCACAGATGTGAAGCACCTCTCCCTTGCCAACAGCACCTCCTCCCTAAAAGGGGCACTTGTTAGAAAACAGTATAGTTATCAAGCCCTTATCCCTTTGTCCTCTGCGATTTAGATACTGAGAGTTAAATAACCCAAATTCTTTGGATGCCAGAACTCTTGAAACTAGCAGCATTCTGGATATACATGTTTCATAGATTTTGAAAGAGACATTCATTTTCATAATAACGATACACTTTATGGTATATATTTTAAGAAATTTCTATATGTATGAATCAGAATATATAAATGCTACCTGGTTGATTAAACTACTGCATTTACCTAGGTTTGTTTTGTACAAACTCATGATACAGCAGACAAAGGGCACTGGAGAAATGGCAGGAATCCTTGTAGCAGGTGCTGGGTGTGTGTGTGTGTGAGATCACAGTTTCAGACGGAGGACAGAAGCCACAGGCTTACCTTGTATGCCTCATCGCTGACAGCCTTGATGTTGGCTTCTCTCCATTTTCCGGGTACCCCACCAATTACCTCACGATAATTCACATAATAGCCAGTAATTTCTGTTCCTCCAGCCTTATCTGGTGGCTTCCATCCAAGAACCATTGAATCACGAAAACTCTCAAGACATGTGATGTCATGGGGCGGAGAGGGTGCCGCTGTTGCAACAAGAATGGCTTATGAGTAACACAGAAATATATTTATGACTCCATATGTATCAAATTTACTTAACTGGTACCATGTATGAGAGCGCTAAATCCTGAGGTATGAAACTACAACTTGAGCCTGCTGAGTTACTTAGCCTCTGACTTGGTGTATGAGAGGAAAAAACGGACATGAGGTAAAAATAGCACAGTAATTATGCCAAAAATAAAAAGAATCAGCCCAGCCAGATGGTATGATATGCTGTAAAGAATGACTTTTTTCTCCACAATAGGAAATATTTTTCCAAGGGACATGTTTCTGTTTCCTGCGTGGTTTTGTTTTTATTTGCTCCCTGAGGAGAGTGGACTGTGTACATCAGCTTCTGCTTGAATTCATTTACTTAGAATCTCCATACATTTCAAATGGTTGGCATTTTACTTTTCAGGCTCACTCATCCTTGGGGAGACTTTACTGCTCCGAGGCTCTACCTTTAGCAGGAGACAGCTTATGCTGGATCTGAACTTAATAACAACTTCCAAAAACACTTGTAAAAAGCAGGTGCACTAGCCTTGTGGCTTTCTCTTAGTATATGATACTTTTGCTGCATTATTTTTAACCTGACATTGGAATACTATTTTTGCAGGGCAGAATACTATATGATTGACACTGGCTGTTACTACCTAGTTAGAAAAAAAATATCTGAAGACTCTTCAAAAATCTTCCTTCATTTTGTGGATTTGCTGATCAACTTTTCAATGAAAAACGGACATAGTTTTCAATGAAGAGGAGAATGAGGTGATGAAAAGAAATCCACCTAAACATGCAATAACATTAAAAGTAATTTTATGAGTTTTTATTTGGATTATAGGAGATAATCTACCTTATTTTTTCAATTTTCACTCATCAACCTCCCTTATTCCTTACAAACAAAAAGAGCGCAATTTCAGAATACTGTTTGAACATGAACACTTAAATGACCATCTAATATTCTGAGATGAAGGGGTGATTAAAACAGCAAAAATTAGAAGTGGTTTCAGAGTTGAGGTCAGGTAGAGATAGGGCATGAAACAAAGGCAATTAGAAATTTATCACTATGGGTTGGTGCTGTGGCACAGCAAATTAAACTACAATCTACACTTGGGGTCTTGCCACCCAGGTAGGAGACCTGGAGGAAGCTCCTGGCTCCTTGCTTCATTGTGGCATTTGGGGAGAGATTCAGTGGATGAAAGATCTCTTTTTTTTTTCTGTCTCTAACTCTCTGCCTTTAAAAAATACAAATAAAAAAAGCTTTTTAGAAAATTTATTTTTATCGGAAAGGCAGATTTATAGAGCGAAGGAGAGACAGAGAGGAAGATCTTTGATCTGTTCTTTCACTCTCCAAATGGACGCAACGGCCAGAGCTGAGCCAATCCGAAGCCAGGAGCTTGGAGCCACTTCCTGGTCTCCCACGCGGGTGCCGGGTCCCAAGGCTTTGGGCCGTCCTCGACTGCTTTTCCAAGCCACAAGCAGAGAGCTAGATGGAAAGTGGATCAGCCGGGGCATAAACTGGTGGTACCCATATAGAATCCCGGTGCCTGCAAGGTCAGGATTTAACCATTGGGCCCACAAATAAAAATGTTTTAAGGGAATTTATTACCATGCATTTGTCATTTCATTTTTTTATTTGATAAGAAAAACATCTTATGCCAGATAAATATATATGATGCATGATATAAATGGCTAATAGCTCATTTCTTTCTAGCAATGAATAATATTCCATTTTCTGAATGTACCAATTTATCCAGTTACCTATTGAAAATTTATGTGTATATATATGTGTGTATATACATATACTACAGAGATCTGGTATCCTAATTGAATCATTCTCAGCTTAAAAGAAATGTCTCTGGGATTGTGGATTTTATATCAGAACAGACAGGGATTTTTCAGTTATTTGAATTAAATGTAGCTCATCATCTGAAAACCTGAGGAAGAACAACAGAAGTTAACGACTATGACCCTGCCTCAATGTTACCTGTTTTTGAAATACCTCTCTGCAACATGTACTGAAACATGAATGTCTCAAAGGATTACATGCTGGCTTCAACTTTTAGGTCCTTCCTACTAATTCTGTTGGTAATATGAGCCTAGAGGTGTCTCTTGCTGACAAACAGCATCCAAAAAGCTCTATGACCAAATTACTGTAAGCATTGTCCTGTTACTAAGCCCCAAAGCCATGCCCAATTCCTTTCCCAAGTCATTACGCTAAAGTATTTCACATGGTGAGCTGAGAACACATAAGATCAAGAATCAACATTGATGAGAGCAAACACAGATGAAAGATGGCATCTGGACAACGAGAGATGAGGACAGGATGGAGACAGATGTGATGGTTTGACTTGGTCGACTCTCACCTAGGTCCTTCTTCTTTTTCAGGGGCTCAGACTTACTTTTCCCCTTAGGAGCTGCCTTCTCTGGTGATGGGGTCAGCTCTTCCTGAACTGTTTCACTTACTTTACTCACTTCTGTTTGGCCCGTGTTGTGGGAGCTACTGGGTGGTGAAGGTTTGTTAAGTTTGCTAGAGAGTAAAGCATCTTTCTGAAAGGCTGGTGAGGAGGCCTCATGCACAAGCCCCCTGGAGTCTGTTAGTCCACCGGGCGCATCACTCAGCTCAGGCCACACATCTGGAGACACTCCTCCCCCTACAATTTTCAAATAACAACAGAAATGCGGTAAGCCTGGACACAAGCGCACAATGCTTTTAAGTAAGAGAATAAGTAGAAAACACATCAAGACCACAAACAGAACAAAACAATCTTGGCTTTACAGAAGTCACTTGAATTTGCATGAAATAAAAAAAGCATACGATTCACATAATTTACACCAGAGGACATTTTGATGTCTCCATATTCTGGAAAAAGAAGAAACGAGAGCAACAACAATAGCAAAAAAACCACAGACGGAACAGGAACCATTTCTATTTGCAGAACCCAAATAGGTCTTTAGTTTACACAAGAAAAACAAATCTTAAGACATTTCTTGACAGATATAAGCACTATTATTCAACAAAATTTTCTTTAAAAGATTATAAACTGAGATACAATATTAAAAATTCTGAGTTTACAACAGAAATAGGTCTAGTACTACAACAGTAAAGATCTGCACCTCCCAGTTTCAAGGAAACACGTCTACTCTTGTCCATATTACAAGCAATGTTAAAAGGTAATATGGAATGCTAAGTGAATGCAAGTAATATTAAGTAATGTTATTTTAATATGTTGTCATTTCACATATTTAATTTTTGTCACTCTGAACCAACTGAATTCTTTCTTACTTTTCTAAGCTTGGTAGGTACAACTGACACACATATGTAAACCTGTGATTAAGCCATGGAATGTGCTTTGCAATGAATTTCACAGGCATTTACAAGAAGCGGGTTAATATGCTGTTAGTGAAAACAAGCCAGGCTGGTCACAGATGGAATGGCTGTTAGTACAAGATGATCTGTGTTATGAGTGCTGTCCCACTTCGTGGAATCAGGATGGCCCTTCCCGGTCCTGTGATGAAGTTAGAACCGAGTTTCACACAATGTGAAGTATCTGAGGAAACGTGGATGTGTGAAGATGAAAAGGTTCCAGGTGCCCAGAATCTGGATGAGTGATGAAGATCTGTAAAGTGACAGCTATAGAATGTTAGATATCACCTAGTCAAAGAAAATGACCCACTCAGGGGTAGCCATGCAGCAGTATTATGACCTTAAATGATTTCTGGAGGGAAAGATATCTTCCTTTAAAACTCAGGAAACTGTTTTCCCTCAACCAAGTCATGCATAAGGAACTCACCGATGGCGGCTTTGACCTCAATAGCTTCTGAATCCTGGGAATAGCCACTAAGTCCAGCAGCATTAACAGCTCTGACGCGGAAAATATAACTCTGACCAGTCACCAATCCATGGCAAGTAAATCTAAAGGGAAAGAAGGTTTTAAACTTTTTTTCCCTAGGAAGGTTAAATCAGGGAAGATGACTGTTAGCTCAACTAAATGATCTGGTATTGTGAAAATGATCTGGGGGCCAGCACTGTGGCATTGCATTTAAACCATCCTAAATAGCTGCTGGTTCAAGACCTAGCTGCACCACTTCTGCTGAAAGTGGCTGAGGATGGCCCACGTGTTTGGGTCCCTGCACCCATGTTGGACACGTGGGAGAAGCTCTGGGCTCCTGCCTTCATCTTGTCTCTGTTCTGGCTGTTGCAGCTATTTAGAGAGTAAACCAATGAATAGAAAATCTTTCTGTGTATGTCTTTCTTCCTCTCTGCAAATCTTTCAAATAAATTAAAAAGGAAAGAAAATATCTATTTTCCAAAAGGAAGAAACAGACAGATTCAAGTGACTTGTGCTCGTAGACAAGAAGGCAATTGAGGCAATTTTCTGAATTCTGCCAAAAATGGTTTCTCTCTGATGTTCGCAGTAAAATACAGACAATAATACCTACATAGTAATGTTCATGTATTAGTCATAAGTTATATAAAGGACCTGCTACTTAATAAATAATAAGGTGTCACTATTACTATTTTAAACTTTTTTAAAAAATCGGTTTTATTTATTTGAGAAACAGAGATCCAGAGGTAGAGACCATTCATTCATTGATTCATTTCCCCCAGTGCTTGCAACAGCTGGGGTTGGGCCAGACCAATACCAGTAGCCTGGAATTCTATCCACAAGGGTGGCAGGGACCCAACAACTTGAGCCATCATGAGCCAACTCTCACGGTGCACATTAGCAGGAAGCTGGAACTGGAAGTGGAGCCCATGTACTCCAGTATGGGACGCAGGTCTCCCAACTGGCATGTTACTAGCTTTGTCAAATGCTCACTCCTAATGCTATTACCAATGGCTATTTCAGGTATGCATTAAGTAACTGCTCCCCGTCACAGAGACCTAACCATTGTCTTTCTACACTTTGGAGAAGTTATAATTACTTGAGAAATAATACTCTAATTTGAGAATGAATTTCCAGAATTACTACTTAAACAGAAGGATCCTATAATGAGGTGTGAATCCACAGGTTGTTTTACAGAAAAAGCAATCTCATCTTTTAATAGGTATGGCTATAAAGAGCTGTTTCAGGAATAATTGCAGCATTTAAATCCACCAAAAGAACTGTACCCAGAGGAAATAACAAACCTGTCAATGAATGTATTATCATTAACAAGTTCAAATATTTAATAAAGACAACTATAATCTAGTCCAATCTCTTAGGTGTTCCATACCCTGAGCTACATATGGTAGATACAAAAATAAACATAGGGTGCTGTCTCTTTTATCATCTCCTATTTGTAGGGAAACAGGTCCTGCCCATACTCATGAATGTTTTTCTAAATGACCCAAGAACACTGAAAAACTGTAAAAATTAGTATATGTGCTGCTGAAGCGAGCACGAAAAACTGTAAAAATTAAATACAAACACAAACTAATAAACCTCTCACAAAACATACATCCTTGTCCCGTTCATTGGTATCCTATCTTCTTTCATGCTCTGCAAAATAACCAATTTCTCTTATTTGGGTCCTGGGACTTAAAGCAGTTCCAGCCAAAAGCTCATCTGGCAGTTTGGGGGAATTCTCCTGAGATTGCGTCTCGGTCAAAGGAGGCTCTGTCTGACCGCACGTTAGAACTCAATGTCAGACGGCAGAGCTGCTTGGTGAATAGTTGGAAGCAAGACAAAAACTTAAAAAAAAAATACCCAGCCCTTCCCACATTAGAACCAGATTCAAACAGGCACCAAAGTGTTCCATATGTCCTGGTTCGGTTGCTATTTATGTCTGCTTAGCACTGGGTTTAATGTCCAGAAATGTTGAGACTTCTCTATTCTTTTACAGTGCCTGGGAATTGCAAGCTAAGCAGAAACCGTTAGATCCCTGGAACCCAGGATCACATTGCATATTAAAAAACAGAACAGACGCATAAAAGCAGAACAAATATAAAACAGGAAAAGAATAAGGAAGGGGATAAGATGAATTCTTCAAATACTAGTATTATGTGTTTCTGAGTGTTTAACAAAACAAGGAAATATTTCTTTGCCCTGTGGGTTTGTATTAGACATGCCTGGTTTTCCATTTGGATATTTCACGTACAATGTTTAAAAAGAAGGGACAGAGTCCAGGTAAGTCTGCTCAGAGGTGAGGGTGACTGAATCTCCCAGCCATGTGGCTGTGGCTGGCAGAATCCACGACGGGCCAGTCTTCCTGTTGGGGATCCTTGCTCCCTGTCCACCACTGCCAAGCAGTGAGCGAATCCTGGGATTGTCCAAGGTCTGAGTATTTCCTCTGTCCACAATGATCGTGCTGTGGGCAGATCTCAGATGGCTCTGGGCATGCTCAGAATCATGGCTGTGCCCACTGCCGCCATGTTGGTGGGCAGAGTCCAGATAAGTCTGCTCAGAGGTGCAGGTGTCTGTATCTCCCAGCCATGTGGCTGTGGTTGGGAGACTCCACGCCTGGCCAGGTTTTCTGCTGGGGATCCTTGCTCTCTGTCCATCGCTGCCAAGTAGTGGGCAAATCCTGAGCTTGTGGGTGGCCAGAGCATTGACGGCGCAGGGTTTCACCTGCTGGCCACCCAGTGGTGAGCTCTGGGGTCTTGGGGGTAGTATTATTGCCTAGGGATATCCATTGATGAGGCCACTGTATGTGTAGGAGAGGAGTGAATCCTAGGGACATCCAACAACAGGGCCACTGTATTTGCAGTTAAGTGAGGGGACTGAAATCTGGTGGTTTGTAAGGGGAGAGACTGGGAGATCTGTATGCATCAGACTCATGTACCAGCTCACATGGGCTGGGCATAGAACTGACCTAGCAATTGCAACCATCAGTGTGTGCATAAGCTGATTGGGGCAACAGATTGCCGCACCCTGTATTGACAAGCACACACAAGAATCAGGTCTGGGATCACTTCAGAAGAAATTTCTTTGGGGAATCCCCCAACTGAACTGCTGGACTCAGAACCCCAATCATGGAAGAACATAGGTTCCATGGTCTGACCATGGAGTGTCTGTGTCAGAGCTGGGTCTCCTCAGTGGCTCAGAGAGAGCAGTGGACAGTATGTTCAGCTGCACATGGAGGATATAGCAGTACATTGGAGTCTACAGAGGACACCTGGTACCATAACCGAGGACAGAGGTTGGAACAAATTGACCAACTACCCCAGCCAAGAGTTGGCGGTGAATATCTGGGCAAACAGAGACTCTAAGGTAGACTATGTCAGTCAGCAGATTCTGGAGAGATTTCATCATGCTTGGAGTGGTGAGATCGGCAGTTATTCAGAACTGCTGAACTATCAAAACCTCTTGAGCAGGACCCTTGGAGCATGGCGCACAGTGGCATCCCTGGGGTAGTTTCAGGTGACCGTGGTGACTGTCCTCCATCTCACAGTACAAAGGTATTTGAGAGGCTGGGTGTGGCTTCTAGGAAAAAAGAATGTGGAAATAAGGTGGGTCTCACTCATCTTCCTGTAGCCCTTGACTCTTTTTGCCGTGATTAACTATGTGAAAATCATCAAAATAAAGATAGAAAGTTTTAAAAAATTTTAAAAATAAAAGAAAACCTCCCTCCTTCGGGTGTATTTGCTGTCAAGTGTGTCCATGGTGCTTCTTGGATGCTGGGGTGCCTTACCGTGAGCCCTTCACAGGGTTGTTGTTGCAGGGTGCCCACTCCCCAGAGCCAACCACACTTGCCTCGATGTAATACCCAACCAACTCTTTGGCGTCTTTGGACTCTTCCCAAGTCACCACCACAGAGGTATCTGTGTTTCTGCTTGGGATGATTTTGCCAGGGGGCTGAGGGATATCTGAGAGAAGAGAAAAAAAAAAAATTATCACATATCCACAAACATACAGTCAGAGAAGTTTTACACAAAGCATCAGGTCAAACATACTATACATTAAAATAGAACATTTTTTTAAAATGTTAGGCTGAGAACACAATGATAAATTAAATATCCCTGAACTCTAGGAAGGAAACAAATTAGCACTGCTGTTACAACTCTACACTTCTGGGGAAATTTACTTTCATAAGTAAAACTACTAATGTTTTATGTAATGTACAGACCATGCCTAGCTATCAATAAAACACATAATGAAAGAGGGAAGCCACTATTTTTACCTGTGATTATATATCTGTATGTACAAGACTATTTTTTAAAAGTTTGTTGGAATTGGGATTAAATGATACCTTCATTTTAGTGTACACAAAGTTGAAATTCATGCGTAGTTTTTTAAAATACAGATTTCCTTGAGCTCTTCAAAGATCCTTGTTCACATTTATGTGTTCGCTTGTATGTATGTGTGTGCTAATTAGATTTTTGCCTTGAAAACCTCTCTTCTCAGCTATAGGCAAACTGACTATGTTGCCTTGTACCTAGGCTGGGAGAAAAACATTCAATAGCTGGCAGGCAGTCTGAGCCTAGCTAGTGCCAAATCTCTGTTAACCATACCAGTTTGCCAGCACGGTTGCTTAGTCTTTTTTCATTCTTTCTTTTTTAAGATATATGGAGGGGGCTGGCAGGCCCCAATGGAAGATGACCCTGGGACCCCGTGCCATGAGGGGATGGGGCAGGTGCTGTAGACTACCCAGGGAAGGGGAGTGGAGGATGTGTGGGAGTAGGGACCACCAAGGGAGTACTTTATAGGTATACAATGACTTCTGGTGGCTTCCACAGACTGGGCTACTGCACTCACAGGTAAATGAAGGAGTTGAGAACAGTTGAGAAAGGGGAACTGGAGGCCATGTCTGGATAAGGAAAATGCACCTGCCCAATGGGAGACCTGGGCTGGACTAAACAGCATCACCTGCTGCCCACCAACAATCACAAGCCAGGGCACAGGTCTGCCTGGCAGGACTAAGCCACTATATCCACCAGTGAATATTGTGGCAGGGACTGGGCCATACAAGGCTGAGCCATGACACCAACTGGCACATGAGAGAACCGGGACTGCAGTACCCACAGGTTTGCAGGAGAGCTGGGGGTGGTAATGGACTGAGCTAGACATGACCACAGAACTCACTGATGCTCACAGAAACTGGGAATGGGAGCAGGCAAAGCAGGCCCAGTCTGTAGCACCCACAGGTGCACCCAAGAATCAGGTCTGGGAGTAGACTAGGCTACAATACCTGTTAGCTCATGCAAAGGCCAGGACGAGGGGTAGACTATTCCAGCATGGGCCTAGCATCCACCAGCATGCATAAGATCCAAGTGTGGGAGAGATCTGGTGGGGAAACTCGAGGAATTCCCTCTGGTGAGCACCAGAGCCAGGACTAGGGTGACAGGGCCAGGCAGGGCTGTGCTAGTCATCAGCATGAATGTGTGCTGGCTTCGAGATGGGTCAGGCTAGGCTGGGGCAAGCTTTAGCACCCAAGCATATGGGAACCAGGACAAGGTGTGGGCCACACAATGGGGACAGGCTGGGCAGGGCTAGGCCACAACACACACCAGTAAAGGTTGGAAGTTTGGAGGGATGGGGGTGTGAGGGTGAGGCCAGGCCAGGCCAGGCTGCAGCATCCACTGGCATGTGCCATGCTGCGTCAGAACACCACTGCAAGATCTGGGCTAGAAGTGGGCCTGGTAGAGGAATAAGGGAACTTCTCTGCTAGGCTGCAGTTCCCACTGGTGAGCTCAAGAGCTGGGAGTGGACAGAGCTGAACATGGCTGCAGTACACTTCAGCATGTGCGTGGGCTGAGTCCAGGAGCAGGCTGGAATGGACTAGACCCCTGAACCTACTGGTGCTTTCATGAGCCAGAGTGGGTGCAGGATGGGCTACGCTAGGTTGTGGCACCCACCAGTCCACAGGAGAGCTGGGTCTGGAAGCGAGTCATGTCAGGCTGGGTTGAGCACTCACAACCATGGCAAGATCCAGGGCTGGAAACTGGTCTGATAGGGGAACTTCCCATTAAGGCTGCAGCGCCTGCTGGTATACACACAGGAGCAAAGGCTGGGGGCAGCCCAAGCCAGGCTGGGCTCCAGTATTCATCAACATACATCTGGGATGGGTCTGGGGGTGGGCTGGGCTGGGCCATTCTGCAACATATGTTGGCAGGTTTGAGTCAGGTCAGGGTACAGGCCAGTTGGGGTTGGGCCATGACACCTGCCAAATCACATGAAGGTTAGGATTGGGGACTGGCCAGCCTGGGCAAGGCTGCAGCACCCACTAGCATAAGCTGACTGAGGGCAGGCCTGGCATAGCCAGGCTGTAGCATCCACCAACAAATGTCAAGGAGAGGCAGGTCAAGCCAGACTGGGTTGCAGCATCCACTGGCACCCACAAGACTCAGGGCTGGGTGCAAGCCTGGTAGGAGAACTTCAAAGGTTCCCTTGCTAGGTCACTGCTGCCACTTGTGAGTGTGAGACTGGGGGCAGAACAGTCTGGGCAGGGCAGAAACACCTATTGGTCTGTATGGATTTTGGGAGGGCTGGCCTAGGCTAGGCCACTGCATCCACTGGCACATGCAAAAGCCAGAACAAGTGTTGGCTAGCTGGGCTTCGCCACAGCATCTGCTGGCAAGTACTAGAACTAGGTGCTACACATTTCAGGCTGAACCACAGTAACCTCTCACAAGTTCAAATGTGGGGCTTGGAGTGGACCTAGGAGGAAAATTGTAGACACTTCTCTACTGAGCTGCAGCTCCAGTTGGTGAACATGAAAGCCAGAGCTGGGGGGTGGGCCAGGCTAGACAAGGTGACAGCACCTGTTGGCACTTGTGTGTGCTGGGTCTGGGGGTAGGTCAGGCTGAGCTAAGCCACAGCATCCATGGGTATGTATGAGAGATGGATGGATGGGATGTGAAATGGGCTGGATTAGACTGCTGTACATGCTGGCTGGCACACATAGGAACTGGGGCTGAGAGTGGGCCTGTTAGGAGTTACTGGAGCACCTCAACTAGGCTACGGCACCTGCTGATGTGCGTGAAGGCCGAGCTTGAGGTGGGCTGCACTGGGCTAGGCCACAGCACCCACTGATTTGCAGCAGAGATGGGACTGGGGGTGGAACTAACCCAGCAACTGCCTTCACTGGCATATGTATAGCTTGATTGGGGTGACAGACTGAACCAGACCCTGCACTAGCTAGCACACACAAGAATCAGGTCTAAGGATCGCCTCAGGCAAGGTTTCTTGGGGGACTCCCTAATTATACTGCCGGACTCAAACTCCAGCTACAGAGAAATTCACAAGATCTTTGGTCCAACCTTGGAGTGCACCATGGGCCTGACCCTCCTCAGTTGTTCATGTCCATGTAGTAGACAGTAGGCCATGATTACATAGGCCGGCAGAGAACATCAAGTCCCTCATGAGAGGACGAAAAGCAGAATGGGATGGATGCCTCTTCTGTCGGAGCTTTGCAGCAAGCATCCGGGTGCATGGATACACTGGGGTGGACTCTCAGCCAACAGACCTTGGAAAGAATTCTCAACCCTAGAACACTGAAACCAACAATGTCTCAGAGCTATCAAAACCACTCAAGCAGCAGCCTCTGAACATTCTTCCCCACATCAGGGTCCTGTGCTGATGTAGTGTGGCAGTGAGGAGCGGCCTCCTTCCCCTGCAGATAAGCGGGGAAAAGCAAAAATTGGAAATATTTGTCCCACTTGACTTGCTCCATACTTCGACCCTTTCCACCCCTAGTCAGAGACCAACATGAGGATACATCCTTCTCAACTATGTAAACAACATTAAAAATAAAGTCAAAATACTTTTTTAAAAAAGAAACAATCTGTGTTTGAAACTTAAAAAAAAAAAAAAGGGAAAAAATGCTCTTGAGGTAAGTAATTCACAGGTAGCCTAATTCTATACTTACCAAGTTTGTCCCCAACCACGGTCACTTCTGTGGCCTCTGAGGGCTCACCAACTCCTGCTGAATTAGAACAGCGCACACGGAAGCAGTAAGATTTCCCTTCGGCCAAGTCAAACAGAGCAAAGCGGGGAGACTTCACGGGCAGCTCCGTGTTCACCCGCTGCCAGTTTTCCGTTCCCGCTTCACACTACAGCAAGAACAGAGATGCCCACTGAGAAACAGGAGTTGGAGGCCAGGCAACTCCAACTGTTCCTTCTCTGCCAACAAACTGCAGCCTTGTGCCACTGGACCGCAGAACAGATTGGAGGGCATGGAGGAGCAGATGCCTGATGTTCACAGCGTTCTCTAAATCCCCTCTTTAAAAAATAGGTTTGTTTATTCATTTGAAAGAGTTACACTGAGAAAGGAAGAGACAGCAGAGAGTGTGTGTGTGTGCGGGGGTAGGAGTTGCAAGGCAGGGATTTCCCATCCTCTAGTTTACTACCCAAACAGCTGCAGAGGCTGGGGCTCCACTTCTGAACCAGCTCCCTGCTAATGTGGCCCAAGTGCTCAGGCCTGCATCCATGGGGGAGACTTTGAAGAGGCTCCTGACTCCTGGCTTCAATCTGGCTCAGCTCTAGCCTTTGTGTTTCTTTCTCTCTTTTTCTGCCTTTCAAGTGAATAAAATAAATCCAGTAAATAAGAGGGGGGAGGGTTGAGTGAAACAATAGATTGGAGCCTTCTTCTCTCTCTAATACATTTAGAATTTCTTTTAAAAAATATGTTCTTTCCTTCCTGCTCAAATTTTAGAATAAATAATAGGATAACAAATTTAAGGAAATTCTGTTTCTAAAAATCAAAATGAGCTAGAATTATTTGCAAACCCTTGAATGAAGGATGTGGCATGTGGTTAAGTTTGGAAGAGGATCTAGTAAGAAAATTGTCAGAAGTGTTTAGTCCTTCAGGATAACTGAAAGGTAATCCTTTTTCGTCCTCTTTTAAGTTCAAACAATGCCCAGGACCAGTAGGGGCAGAAATTCAGATATTCTTGCCTGATTTTGCTACAGAATATTTTAACAGCTTCAAAAGACTTTGCCAGAAATCCACATTGTGTGACAGATTGATTGGCGGACAGTGATGACACACTGTTGGAAACATAAATCCAGTAGCATACCATTCAGCATCACCAACTTGCCATGGAAAGCAACATGGCATAGTGCAATGTTCCAGTTATTGAATCTGATCTTGGCTGCATTCACAACGTGCCACACGACCTTCAAAGTCCCTTGAGTACTCATAATTTCAGGCCATAATCTGTCAAATGGGCATATTTGACAAGGGAACCTCTAAACGGATGTACAGTGTCTTTATGCTTAGGTATCATTTGTCTGGGAGAAGGATAGAAAGGGTGCTGCCCAATGAGAGATAAAATTCTTGCAGGTATTCAATCCATTTGCTCATGGTTTTGATTTGTTTTGACATATTCTCTCCTAGGAAATAAGCAATTACCAGTTGTTTAAACTGTTAATAGCAAAAAATAAGAGCTGCCTTTTACTGTGCTAAGCCATTATGACTCTTTGATTTTCTCAACTGCGCTGTGGAGTAGATATTGTGTGATTATTAAAGTTTCCCACAGATGATGTGGACTTGTGAAGATAGAAAGGCAGCCTAGGGTAAGAGCCAGTCAGCCTTCACTCAAATCCTGTTTCTGCTCATATCAGCTGCATACCATTGGAAAAATTATATACCCCATCAATGCCTCAATTTTATAATCTACAAAGCAGGCATGTGGAAAATCTCATGGGATTGCTGCAAGAACAAAGTGGGCTTGCATGTATAGAGTGTTTCCAGCAGTGCTTGGCCAGTGGCAGACAGTGGCTATTTTTATTCTTGCTAGTAGAAGGGCAGCTAACAAATGACAAAGTATTCCTCTGTGACATGAGAAAAAGCACAAAACAGGGAAAGGTTTGTAGCCAAAAGGAACAGGAAGTCTGGGAGTGCTGGAGGCAAATTTCCTGTATAATGAACCCCTCAATTTCAATGACTTTCAGGGTCATAGGTAGAGCACAACCAATTCAAAGTGTGCAGCTGTGAAAGGCAGTTTTGTGGGTTTTGCATCTGCAAATCTTAGGTGCACCGTTTTATGCAGAACTATGAGTGCAAGGGCACACGAGAGGCAACACCCAGTGCATGAGTGTTTTAGGGATGGAAACATGCCATGGGACCCGAGTGCATGAGCCGTTTCCCTCTAGGAAGGCCAACATATCAGGGATAGTTCATAAGAAATAATCTCCAAATGAGCTTGGAAGAGTGTGACATTTGGATAGCTATGTAAATTGAGCCCTGGGTCTCCTGATGTGTCTGCATTCCCAATACTCCAGCACTATGTGCGTTCATAAATGTGGACTGTGCTAAGTACAGCTTCTTTATTCAATGCTGTGCTGATAAATGTCCCCTCAAATTCCATTCCAATAGGTTTGCAGGTGGCAGAGCATTTAAATTTTAATCACAGGTTTGTATATATTTGGGTCTAGAGATGTTAAAGGCTTTGTGATGAAATCAGAGTTTTTGTGACTAAAGGAAAGGTTATACTGAAGCCAAAGCTGACTTCTGGGTAGAAAAATGCCTCCCCAACAAGCCTTTACATGTCATTGTAATAGGAAAGATAGTAATTACTGCCACAAGAGCTATTCAGAACTCTCTTCTTGTGGAGGATTTCAAAGAGATTTACTGGGGTTTTATTAAGCGTACCAGAAAAAGAACATTTATCTAACACCATTCATGCCATCTGTTAGAAGAAAAAGCTTCAAATGCTGCCCATGTTATAGTTAATACATAGATAAAACACAAATTTAATTTTAATCTTATTTTTAATAAAACCAGACTTTCCAGAGAGATGTATATGTTTCATGTGAAAGAGATGTTATATTTATTGTTTTTTTTAAAAAAAAACATTTATTTTTATTGAAGTCAGATATACAGAGAGGAGGAGAGACAGTGAGAAAGATCTTCTGTCCGATGATTCACTCCCCAAGTAAGCACAACGGCCGATGCTATGCCGATCCAAAGCCAGGAGCCTCTTCCGGGTCTCCCACGCGGGTGCAGGGTCCCAAAGCTTTGGGCTGTCCTCCACTGCTTTCCCGGGCCACAAGCAGGGAGCTGGATGGGAAGTGGGGCTGCCGGGATTAGAACCAGTGCCCATATGGGATCCTGGTGTGTTTAAGGCGAGGACTTTAGCCACTAGGCCACGCTGCCGGGCCCTATATTTACTGTTAATTTGCTTTAAGATAACCAGGAATTCTGGAAGCAAGAGGCTCAAAGATGTGAGCCAAGCTTGCATACTGAAGAAAAGCAATTAATAAGGGAAATCAAATTTTTAGTTCTGGTATAATTTTCTCAAGAGTCACGGATTTGAAGTAATTAAAAGTCCATAAGAAATAAACAGAGAAGAGAGGCCGCCAGAGAGTTAACTGAACTCCACATTTTTGCATAAAATTTTCTATGATTTACAGTGAAAGTAAATAATACCTTTCAATGCAATCACACAACTTTATAAAAATTCAAAGTGCAAACATTTGATCATTGACCTTTTGCTCTGAAAAATGATGAATTACAGTAAAAGTGCCAATGTTCTTACACAGGATACTTATTTTGTTTCACTTTTTCAATTAAATTCTAAAAAAATTTTCAAAAAATTTTAAGCAAAAATTTTCAAACTATCCTTTTCCAGGCACCATGGTTTCCTTGTTTCCTTTGGCTCTGGGCCTTGCCTTGCAAATGCTCCTGTGTTTCTATGCAAGCTCCCCTTAATAACGCCCCAGCTAAGTCTTGGACTCATGTCTGTAAGTCAGGCATGTAAACTCATCAGAACTTCCTTCAACCCTGGATGTGATTGATTATATTGTTTTCATTCTTTCCAGCCATCCTAGGTCTTCCTTCTATGTAGCACTCTCAAAGGTTCTAATCACTGACATAATTGTAAGATATTTGAGGGAAGGGCCCGGCGGCGTGGCCTAGTGGCTAAAGTCCTCGCCTTGAACACGCTGGAATCCCAGCAGCTCCACTTCCCATCCAGCTCCCTGCTTGTGGCCTGGGAAAGCAGTCGAGGACAGCCCAAAGCTTTGGGACCCTGCACCCGTGTGGGAGACCCGGAAGAAGTTCTTGGATCCTGGCTTTGGATCGGCATAGCATCAGCGGTTGTGCTCACTTGGGGAGTGAATCATCAGACGGAAAATCTTCCTCTCTGTCTTTTCTCCTCTCTGTATATCTGACTTTCCAATAAAATAAATAAATCTTTTAAAAAAAAAAGATATTTGAAGGAAAGAAATAGCCAATACTTTATGGCATTTTGTTATCTCTGATCACACTGCTACCCATACTTAGAGTTAACCAAGTGCCCTGCCATGTAAGAGCTTGCTGTTTCAACTCTTCAGCCAGCTGAAGTATTCCGACATCTCCAGTCCTCTTTCCCATCTACCCTCACTGTTGTTCATTCCCTACTGTGAACGGGTGAAAAGCCATCAACACAGCAAGGGAGACACAGAAAGTCTAGAACACGTTGCTATGGAGGCATTCTACAGCTTCAGAAAAAATTCTGTTCTATCAGGGTTATGATTTTGGTCCTTTGGACCTCTCAGCAGTATATGGGTGAGATTTGGGGGAATCTACACTAACCCCTGCACTTTCAGGCAAACTTCTGTGTGATATTTACTTTTCAATGAAGAGATTTCACAATTGACATCCCCCATCCACCTCCCTCACACCACTGTCTTCAGCAATGTAATCTCTACTTCTTTAATCTCTACTTCTTTAAGGGAATTTTATGAAAATATCATGAGATAGTGTTGATTCTGGAGTCTTACCTTTTCCACAAAGTACATAATGCCCTCGTGGCCACGCTGCCCAGGGGGCTTCCAGCTTAGCACCACATAGCTCCGGGTAGCCTCTGTGACAGAGAGCTCTGTGGGTGGCCCAGGAATAACACCCTCTGAAAAATAGCAAGGAATCATGAGAGACACCAACTCTAGGTAGCCAGGACACTCAGAAAGCGGTAGGATGCTTCTTTCCCCATAAGAGACAGAGATTACGGCTTCTCATATGAGTAAGTTCCTTGTCTAAAATTCTTCCTAAAATTTCATCCATGCATCCATCCATCCATTCATTCATTCATTCAATTATTTCAATTATTTAAATGCCATTGAGCATGTAAGGCACAGAGTTAAGAAACCTGGATTCTGTCTGAAGAGTTTACAGGTAAGCTGGTGAAAATAGAGGATGACCAGCACAAGCTAGAGTGTGCTTACGCACCAAAGGGCACCAAGAGCAGACCGCAATCAAGAGAAGATCACAAGATGATGGGGTTTGGGTCCCGTGTCAAGGTCTGCCAGCTGCAGTGACATAAGGTGGGATTATTCTGGCTCTATCTCTATCTCCATCTGGCTCCGTCTTAGTAGGAAAACATCTGGTACTTCAAAAATATTGTGGAAATGGTAGGATTAAAGTTAAGTTTCATGTTAGCATCCACTCAAAGGCCAGGTGGAGGTGTTAATCTGGGAACCCTCTCTGTAGGTATACTGTCAAACCTATTCTTATTCTGAATAATGATGGAGATCCACTTGTTGCCAAACGCTGAGGACACCCAGGCCAATGTCAAGGAGCAAAGGCATTTGAAAAGAAGGATTTTGAATAAGACCCATCTGACTGGTAGTGGAACTGCCCACAGTGGTATACAAAAGCAGCCCGGCACTCTATGTCTAGCAAAATGAACTGATGCTTACAGACGCTCTGAATGACCCATTCCACTCACTGAGCCAGACGCCTCGGAGCAGTACAGCAAAAAGCTCTGCAGAGTGATGGACTTGAGACTGTTGAAGAACTTTTACTATTATAATAATATAGGAGGAAACAGGGGGAGAAGTGTTACTGGGGAGGGCAGAAGGGGAAATCCCTGAGCCTATGAAACTATCATGAAAAAAAGGAGAAGAAAAGTGCTCTAACAGAAAACATAGAGGGGTTCTTCTTAGCTATGAATGACACTGCAGAGGGAGGGGTGATCCTGGAGAGTGGTCCCAGCAAGAGGAAAACTGGGTGGCATCAAGGGGTGATGATGTCTCCTTTACAGAGCAGACCCCTTACAGAGCAGATTCTGCAGTCAACCAAAGATCAGATCGAGGGTCACCGATTCACTGAAGTTCCCACGGATCCTGGTTCTACACCCCTCAAGAAAGTATGGGTGTCTGCTGTGACTTCTCATTCAATCCCACAAGTGATGTGCTCAGGGTCATCCTGGGTATCCCAAGGGATCCTTCAGTCTCCATTTCATCTGTAGCAACCTTGCAAAAACTCTCCCTAAACACTTCCCGTCTTCTTCTCCCTGTTTCTGCAGTTCTGGGAGTGAGGCTCCCAGCAAATGTGGGTGAGGGTCAGGGAAGCTGTACTGTCTAGGCTGGAGTGTGCACCTGGACTCTAACCTGTTGTTTTCTTCCTGAGCATCCATGCTCCTTGCTGATCAAAGCAGCAACCCTGCAGATCAAAGCAGCGGGAAGGATGTGCTGAGTATTTTCTTCCCTTTGCCATGACATCACTCTCATCCTATCAGAGAAATCTTTTCTATAAAATGAGAGAAGGTTGAGGTCAGTAGGGATGGATCCAAATTCAGCCACAGCCCGACTCACTGGGATTGGGATTTCCTCCCATTTCTTTTCCTGCCTGGTCTTCCATCGTGGATAACAGATCAGAAAGTGGCAGAGTAGAAGAAACAGTGATGTCACCTTTATTTGAGAAAGCTGATATAATGAACTCTCAACCCTAATTTAGCATATAGCTTCAAAACTGCTGCGATCTGCAATGGCTGATGGCAGGCAAATCCACCTCTCTGACAGTCACCTATACTCCACTACTACTGCTGACAGCATCTTTGCCAGATGTGTCCCCTCTGTGCCCAGGAGCCAAACCAGTCACTGGGTCTAAAGTTGCATTCTAAAACAAACAAAACTTTATTCTTGTTTTGGAGGGGGAAAAAAGTTTCTGCTTAAAACTGGGGAAGTACTGGAATGCATGGCCTGTGTTGACATGTTCTCTCTGTCTGCTGGGCTGCCCAACAGGCATGTGTTCCTTGGCTTCAGGACTGCCAGCTGCTGCCCGGCTCTCCTCTCTCTGCCTTGGTCTTGTACTGCAACAGATCACCTCCCCTCGACTACCTCAGTACAAAGAGAGGTCTTTCCTTTGCAATTGGATCTCCCCAGGGAGATGGGGGATGCAACAGTTCCCACTCTTGGGTCTAATTCTTCTCCTTGATCTTAAATGCTTCCCCTGAAAAAATATTCTTCATAACAAAATCTTCCTAAGATTTAAGAATCTTGTCTCATGCACTAACTGCCAACTTTCCCACACTTATGGTTAGATAATTGGGCATCTTTGTGTAAGAGGTCCATGGAGGCAGGAAATGTCAGCTGCCTTCAGGTGCTGCTTTGTCCAAAGAATGAATACAACAAATTTATTTTTCCTTGAAGAAGAAAAAGAAAGTAAATTTAGTTTAGTGCCAAAAAAAAAAAAGTTTGAAATTCCAGCATAGCTTTTTCATAATATGAATTTTCCATGGACTTTTGGAAAGATTCCATTTATATATTTCCTAGCTGAAGGACATAGCTGTCTGTTTTTCATGGTGGCACTGGGGCTGCCAGGGTTTCCCTCCCACCTTCCCACCCCTGAGCCGTGACCCCTGCTTCTGTGCTGGCCAGGGTTCTCGTTCCCTGTCTGCTAAGACCAGCCTTCCTGTAACTATTACTGCCCACCCAGTTCTGCTGGGATCTTGACTCTTGTTCTTTAACTCGTGTAACTCTGCCCCACCAGAGCTCTTCTCTGAGTACAGGGAATCCACACTATGGGGTGTTTGTCCCAGAACTGCCAGGATCTGGCTGCGACATCTGTCACCCCATTGATCGCCAGGGTTGATTCAGCTGATCTGGCTGGCTAGGCGGGTGTCCCCTTCCTCCCTCTCCGCTCCATGCGCATCCCTCCCAAAGCTGCACGCTCGGTCCAAGACCCAGCTCTTAAAGTACTGAAAAAAAAAATGTCCACTTATATACTCGGAGGAAATACATTTCAACAATGAGGGTGAAGATCAGGTGTTGTGGTTCAGAGAGCTAAACCATGCCTTGCCAGCAGGCCTTGCCAGAGTGCCAGTTCCAGCTGTCTGCTAATGTGCCAGAGAGGCACACATGAAAGCTCACGGATTTGAATTTCCACCCCCTCCAGCGGGCGTGGTGGGAGTTCCTGACTCTTGCCTTCAGCCTGGCTTACCCTGACTGCTTTGACTACTTAGGAAATAAAACAGAAGGTGAACGATCTCTCTCTTTCTCCTGTCACTCTGCCCTTTAAATAAACACATAAATCTTTTTTTTAATAAAAAAGCTGTTTTCCTGACATCAACAAAATGGATAAAACCTAAGTCAGATCGGTCAGATCAAAAAGAAGAAATCAGAGGTAACATTTCTATATATTCTGCAGATACTAAAAGCATAATCATGAAATATGAATAATTTTATAAATAGTTCCTTGAAACATGAAAACTGTATCAAAGCCCATCAAAGAAATAAATAAGAAAATTTCATATATATTTTTTCAGAAAATAGGCAGAATACTTTACATCTCATTTCATGATACCAAGATTATACTGATATTAAAACCAAAGACTTCACTAGAGAAAACTGCACATTAATATCCTTTATGAATAGATACAAAACTTCCTCACAAAATTTCAGCATAAAAATTCAACAATATAGCATGATCAACTAAAGTTCATTCCAAACACTTACTTAATAATGTATAATCAATCAATATAATTTGCAGTCTTAGTTTAGAAAGGATATGGTTATGAATTATGTATTTATAATATTAGTACTCAACAATGTAGGATTAGCAGAGATGTTTTTCAGCCTGATAAAGGATCCTCACTTTTATTCAACATCACAATACAGGTACTGCTGGAGCAATAGGAAGAAAAAAGTTACAAATAGCCAAGTTAGGGGCCAGCAAGGTGGCACAGCAAACTAATTCTCCATCTGTGGTGCTAGTATCCCATATGGGTGCCAGTCTTAGTGCCACTTCTGATCCAACTCCCTGCCAATGGCGTGGGAAAGCCGTGAAGAATGACCCAAGGCCTTGGGCCCCTGCACCCTTTGGGGAGACACTGAAGAAGTTCCTGGCTCCCAGCTCTGGACCAGTCCAGCTCCGGCTGGTGTGGCCATTTTGGGAGTGAACCAGCAGATGAAGAGCTCTTTGTCTTTCCCTCTCTCTTTTTCTATAAATCTGACTTTAAGTAAAAAAGAAAGAAAGAAAGAAAGAAAGAAAGAAAGAAAGAAAGAAAGAAAGAAAGAAGGAAGGAAAGAAAGAAAGAAAGAAAAAAGAAAAGGTAACCAGGCTAGAAAACAAGAGGTTATTTTATCTTTATTCATGGATGACATAAAAAATCCCAAAGAATCCACAAAAAATATGGAAGTCTAATGATCGTGAGATTAGTCAATCAGCTTAGCAATTTTTTCCAACATACAGGAGACAAGACAGTTGTATCTTTATATATTAGCATAAAATGAAACATAGAAGCACTACTATTTACATATGAAATGCTTAACAAAAATCCAATAACAATGTGCAGGAATTGCACATCAGTACTATTGAACTGAAGAAGAAAATGTTAATGGAGACGTGTGCTATATTTATGAATTCAAGGACTTGATATGAAAACATCCACTCATGTGCAGCAGAATTTTAACTGAAATCCCTACAGGATATTTTACAGAAACTCATAATAATGAATTTAAAATTTATATGGAAATGTAAAGACTTAGGCTAGCCAAACCATTTCGGAAAGATAACACAACCAAGAACAGAAAGCTTGTAACATCCAATTTTAAAACTACCAGGTTCAGGTTCTTTCTATTTCAGAGAGAAATAGAAAGAGAGAAGTGTATAAAAGATACAGCAGTGAAGTTGGCATGGAAATAATGCAGAAAAGATACAATTAGCCAATAGTAATATGCAAATAATTGTAAAGGAAATGCTTGTTTCACACAAAGTATAGAAGACATTCACTCGGGATGGATTACAGATTGAAGTATAAGAGCTAATCCTATAGCAGTTCTAGAAAAATACTTGCATTTGAAAAATATGTCAAATTATACGAACATGGTAAATAAGCACATCAAAAATGATTATAAATATAAGAGAAAACAAGTGAAATCACAAAGAAAAGCCACTACAAATTAGAATGATTAAAGTAAAAAAAAAAAAACAACACTGATCATATCAAGTATTCATGACAGTAGGAACAGCCAGAGCTCCCTAATGCTTGTGGGAATGCAGAGTGCTGCAATCATTTTGGAAAACAGTTGGGAATTCCTTTGAAAACTGAACATACACCTACTGCATAATCCCCCATTCACTTCCTAGGCTTATCCTAGAGAAATGAAAGCACGTGTCCACACACAAAGAACATTCACACAGGCTCTCAACAGTGAACAAACTAATAGGTTGGAATGAACTGATACACATGCCAACAGATACTTACGCTGATGGAAGAAACTCAGACAAAACGAGCAAGAGTCTGTTTATTTAAAATGTTGGAATAGGCAAACCACAGCAAAACACAAAGCAGATCAGTGACCACTGGGTGCTGATGGGGTGAGGGGTGTCTACTAGAGCCATGAGGAAATTGAAGAGATGGTAGATATGTTCATTAGTTTGGTCATGGTGATATTTCCTGGGCTGTGTAACACCGATGGAATTGTGTATTTTTGTATGTGCGTAATCTATTGACTGAGAATCTCACTTCCATAAAGCTTTAACAAGAAAATGGGATTCTTGTGGATAACAAAAGTTACTTTTTCATCTCCAGATAGTTTAAAATACTCTTACCAAAACATCTTCAATAATATACACTATAGCCCTGCTGCAAAGAAACAAAACTGTGCAACAAACTTTCAGCAGTAATATTTGACGAAACTAGTGTTTACCTGTCGGTTCCTCCTCAGTGACAATTATCTGTCCAGTCCAGGGTGCCGACGGGCGACCTGAGCAGAGACAAACACAGATCCACACATCGGTGTGAATGTGGGTTCATGTGTAATGATGGACTGATAAACAAGCCACGAGCGACAGCATGGTTTTGTCAGTAATTTATGTCTGTATTTTCCTAATTAGTTTATCAAACATGTGTTTTGGGGGATGGGGCACATGGCCAGTGCCTTCAAAAAACTAGCCATCTGCTAGAACTGGGATCTGCTTGGCCTGACAGCATCAACTCTTCCTGAATTGCAGTTCCACTAGAGAATTAAATCACCTGTGTGCGTAGAACTGTTCAACAGGGATCTCCTGAACTATGTAATCCTTCTTGTCCCTTGTTGGGAGGTACATTTCTAGAACAACTGCAAACCCAGCAGTTATTTTTCTGCCACATGAGGATGAAACAAGGGGCACTAATCAGGCAGTCAACCTCGAGGAAAGTCTTTCCTCTCATTTTGCTTTAAAAAGTGTCATCTACCAAGGAAATCAGCTCAGATCTTACATAAGGAAAATGGGTACAATGACCCATACAAAACAGAAAATGCATTTCTGTGATCCCATCAACATCAGAGGGGGAGGATGGTTCAATGCCTGCTTTCAGCAAGAACTATTTTTCACAAGTTTGTGCAAACACAGGAAGATGATAGAGAAAACAGCACCTTCAGTTCAGATTGTATTTTGACTTGAATTTAAGGGAAAAGAAGGAGTCAATAACGGTATAAGATGGAATTTTTAGGAAAGGAGGAGGAAAGTCGGAAGGCTGGTGAACAGTGATTGGAAGCAGACCCCAGAGATCCGGTCAGCAGGGCGAAGGCCCATCACCCTCCTGCTGCAGGAGAAGTGCAGCAGTAACCGACAGTGCAGGGCATACACGGGAGGCCAGCGGGCCGCAGCTACCTGACTCAGCCTCCCAGGGCACATGGGCCGGTGTCTGGAAGCAGGGCTGATTCTCTGGCCTGGGACAGGGTGGGCAACATGGCTATTTGGTGGGTACATGGCCGGGAGGCACAGAGCAGCCCATGCCGCACAGTACCTCCTGCCCCAAATTATGGAGGGCCATGGCTGAACCTGCTCACAGATGGAAATGTTCCTGTGCAGCGTTCTTGCACTGCCTCTTTACGACCCTGTCATCAGGGACGCCACATGGGCTCCTGGGAAGCAAATGCAAGGCGTAATTTGTGCATCTCGCTTCTGAAACTAAGATGTCGACACTAAATACACGAAAAGATTGTTTTTCACTAACATGAAAACTCAAACATCAATCACACACATGAGAAGTCTTTAAAAAGTTTCTGGAAATTTAGTATTATTAAGAAAACTATGGGCCTGGCGGCATGGCCTAATGGCTAAAGTCCTCGCCTTGAACGCCCGGGATCCCATATTGGCACCGGTTCTAATCCCGGCAGCTCCACTTCCCATCCAGCTCCCTGTTTGTGGCCTGGGAAAGCAGTAGAGGATGGCCCAAAGCCTTGGGACCCTGGACCCACGTGGGAGACCCGGAAGATCTCCTGGCTCCTAGCTTCGGATTGGCTCAGCTCCAGCTGTTGAGGCCACTTGGGGGAATGAACCATCCTATAGAAAATCTTTCTCTCTGTTGCTCCTCCTCTCTGTGTATCCACCTTTCCAATAAAAATAAATAAATATTTAAAAAGAAAACTATGCATGGATTTTAAAGCTTTAAAAAAAATTCCGTCTCCCATGAACTTCTGAAGTATCCATACAGTGTTTAAATCTGTTTTCCTTCCATTGTGCTGAGATATTAATGCTCTAAAGGCAGACTTTAAGATTCAGGAATCTGCCTTGAGCCAAAAATAAAACCACACTTGGAAGATACCAGCAACATGCATTAAAAATTTTTTTTTTGGTTGTGCATTTCATTCCACACATAATTCCTGGAACTCAGTTTAACATAGTAGTTTTTTGAAACATAAAATATAATGAAGTTCTATAGAGAATGGCTGAGTAAAAAACCACGAATACTTGTTTTTGTTTTTGGGGTCCCCTCTCCTGCTAGGGACAGGCGCATCTGAAAAGTTTCCTTGTTCACGTCTCCCTCTAGTGGAAGGGAGTGGAATAGTCTTACTATGAAGCCCAGGAAAACGCAAAGAGCTTACTTTTCAGTCTTGCCTTCTCAGCCGGATCCAGAGCAGCCACCGGCTCGGACACTCGAGAGGGCAGGCTTATTCCAGTTTTATTCACAGCTCGAACCCGGAAGATATAGGAACGACCTTCTATCAGTCCAGTGACAGGAAAACGAGCAAACTTCACAGGTGTGTCATTGCATTGAGACCAGCTGTCTGTACCCACTTCACACCTGAGGGGCAGAGGGAGATGAACAATAATATCAGAAGAAGTTTGGTTAATTCATAGCTCTAAGGATGAAGAGCCACGCAGCCCCTTCAGATCTTATTGGTGTAAAACAGTCAGGTGTGCACTGCACACACTCAGTTTCACTGGAGTACAGTGTGTCTTCCCTAACAAGTACAAGTCCCCACAGGGACTCAACCAGGACGTGCAGAGCCTCTCCCCCCTGGGCAGGCACTGCCATTGCGACCCAGGGACCCACAGGCAGAAAGGAGAAGGGCCACCATGCCAGAAACTTTTTCAGCACAAAGTGCACAAAAGTACATGGGTTCCAGTCCTGTGTGTGTGACCTTAGCTGAGTGCTTGCGCTCTCACTGGTGTGCGGTATTGGGCCACGTTTCTGTATGTGATACTAGCATCAACCTCAAGGCTGGTAATGGCTTAGCAGTTAGCTTATGCAAAGTGTTTACAACAGTACCATGAACATAGTACTTGATTATTATGTATTCACCATAAGGTAGTTATTTTTATTATGACTCAGGTAAGAGGAAGACAAAAGGTACTGATTATCTCTAGTTTTTCACTCACGTAAGTTTGTAAATGCCTTAAGAATTTGCCAAAGAATAAAACAGACACTGAAAGTACCAAAAAGAACCTTTTAAACCTTCATAATTCATCATTACTAAATGATGGGAAATGTATAATATACATAATTTCATGTATATTGGTAAACTGTATGATTTATAATAGATATTTCACTGATGCTATTAAGACCAATGGGCATGTATTTACCAAACACAGTAAATAGGTTTAAGATTACTTGATGCAAACCAATTATACTAGAGTGACACAGTTTAGCTGTTCTGGGTGGTTTCTGCAATCAGATTTTATCACCTAAACATGAAAAGAGAATTAGAGCAACTATCTGAACAGAAACTAAGTCAGAGAACAATATATGGAGGTCAAAAATCTAAATTTGTTGTCTGTACTCATACCATAAACTCATTATATAAATGACACATAAACCCAGTTCCAGTAAATATTAGAGCCTCTAAGTTTTGGAGATTGTAAACTACAAGAATTGATTTTGTTATTTCTTGTATAACTTGAAAAACTTGAATCCATATCTTGAAACGTAAATACAGTTGTGTTAACATCCCTAAAATCATCATCACTGAATTATCAAATACATAGAACACGATTTCATGTTGAAACTGGACTCTGTTCAGTCTACAAACAAATAACATTCTAATAACTTGTGTTGGGAGTCAGAGTCAAGGAATTCATCGTTGAGTTTAGGCAATTAGCTATGCAGGTAGATATGAAAACACAGACAGATGGAAAGTTCCAAGTGTGTATGTGAATAAACACTTGCAGAAAGAGATAAGAGAGGGAAGGAGGGGAAAGCCAGAGAAGAAAATACTTTACCTAGAAGTGCTAGAAATCAACCATGCATCTCTAAGATCAAACAACTAACTTGAAGTTAGACTAAGCACTAACTTATCAATGAAATATCCCAGGATTGGACTTCCACCGTCTATAGCTGGCTGCTTCCAGGAGATGATGATGTAATCTTTGTTGGCTTCCAAGCAGAGCACGTCCAAGGGCGCAGCTGGTGCTCCTTCAATCTCTGCGTCAGCATCTGTGGACACGCAGAAGGACCCATTAGCCCTTGTAAATATGTTGTCAGCTTGGGAAGCTGGATCAGTGCACCCATTTCTTAGCATGGCACCACGGTGGCTATGTCCTGGCTCCAACAGCAAGTTGCAGAGCTTGTAATTTATTTACCAGCATAACAATGTGTGTTTTCATTCTCAGTAGCAACAACATTATGTTAGAAAAGAGAAAGGATTGAGGAGGGAGTGGTATAGTGGCTCAACGGTTTAATCCTTTGCCTTACAGTGCCAGCATTCCATATGGGCACTTGTTCTAATCCCAGCTACTCCAGGTCCCTGATTCTGGCCTGAGAAAGCTGCAGAAGATGGCCCAATGTCCCATATGAGAGACCTGGAAGAAGCTCCTGGCTTTGGATTGGCTCAGCTCCAGTTGCTGCGGCCATTTGGAAAGTAAACCAGCAGATGGAAGATCTCTTTCTCTTTCCTCTCTGAAAAAGCAATACATTATTTTTTTTTTAAGAAAATGAACAGTATCTTAAAGAAACTCATGACCTCTAGTCCTTAAAGTCCAAAATATTGCAAAAGAAAATATGGAGATACTTGAGATTGCTATCAGACAAGTTGTGCCGGCAAGATTGTTCTGAAGATATTGTGCAATACTACAAAGAAACTATGGAAGCCTCCGCCAGGGGACAAATAACTATTTTGGTCCCCTTTTGGATAAATTGCATCTACAATAAAACAAGAACCTTGGAGCTTTGCCCATCCCTAGGCTGGACACTACCATTTTGAAAGAGAAAGAAAGCATTCATTATCATGAAATGCTTGTTTCCTGTGGAAAATACTTATGAGAAAATTGGTACAGTACCCTGGCTTGAGCCTAATTTATCTGAGTTCAGTAAAGAGTAAGATAACGCGAGAAACTGACTGCTGATGAAATGAAATCTCCGCCGGCATAACACTGGTGTTAGGTGTGAAAAGGGAAGGAAAATGCTAAGTAACCTTTCAAGAGGACCTCTTTAAGACTAGAAGCAACGGCCCTGGGGGTGGGCGCCCACACAGGGTAATCCCTGCTGGCATTTGCCCACCCCTGTCATAATCAGAGTTGGTAGCAGCAGAGGCTGAGGCATGTAGCAGCCACCCATCCATGGGGAAATACATGGTGACTGAACAAACACTTCCTTTCCCTATGGTTTATATTTCAGTGTTGCGTGTGAGTTACCAAGGCATTTGGGGCTCAAGTCACTTGGGTTTTGAGCATTTTGTTTCTTAGCCTATGAACTGGCAGGAAAGCATCTGCAGGCAAACATGTCCTACAGAAGGAGATATAGGAAATATGACTAAACCATCTGATTGAAACTAAGTGTGAGGTCCCTGCACACCACACCATGGAAAATGAGCTTTTTGGTGCAGAGAAATTTCTCTCCTTCCAGACCTGGAAATCACTAAATAAGGAGAGTAGTATTGCTGACGGTGAAGGAAGAGCAGTGCTAGCATAGAAGCAAGGATCCAAATGGGCCCAACTGGAGACCATTATGCTAAGGGAAATGAGCCAATCCCAAAAGGACAGATATCGTATGTTCACTCTAACATAAGAAAATTTCCATTAAAAACACACAATAATAATAACAACAACGGCGATAACAAAAAGGAGAACAGACACACACATGTAACCCCATAAACAAAGGATGTAATGGAGACCAGACTACCAGGAATCAAGGAAAATAAACAGAAAATAACTCTACTAAGGAATGAAGGTAGACTCCCAAAGAAACTTCTAAGCATACCTAGATAACAAAAAATTACAATCCCTACTACTCACCATGCCAACAATGTCATGACCCACATGAAGAGCAAAAAGCTGGAACCATTTCTCTTTCATCTCTAATTGTAAGTGGTTGTCCCCTGGTGATGCTGAGTGCTAATATGGCTATAGGTTATTTTGTTCATCTTCTTAGGGAATGGCTCCTTCTTGTTTTAATTTGCAGTTTTGAGGTGTCAAATATAATTATTTTTGCTGTGAATTTTACCTTTTTGCACTTCCTAGTTATTTGTATCTTTTTCAATAAGTTTTTGTGATGTATTAATTGATCATCCATAAGAGACTGATTACTTGTAAACGCCTGAGGTTGTAAATGTCCCTTTCGACACTGTTTTTGGTACATCTCACGGGTAATGATGTTCTTGTTTTTATTGTCACTTCTTCAGCGCCACATGGGTCATGCAGTAGCATCAATTTCTATAAGAAGGAAGAAGCTCCTGGCTTCTGGCTTCAGACTGGCTCAGCTCCAGCCATTGTGGCCGCTTGGGGAGTGAATCATCGGACGGAAGATCTTTCTCTCTGTCTCTCCTCCTCTCTGTATATCTGACTTTGTAATAAAAATAAGTAAATCTTTTTTTTAAAAAAAAAATTACCTATTTATTTAAATGGCAGAGTTAGTAGAGAGAGAGGGAGAAACACAAGGAGAGATCTTCCATCTGCTAGTTCATACCAAAAATGGTCACAATGAGTAGAGGTGGGCCAGACTGAAGCCAGAATCTTCTACAACTCCTGTGAGTACAGGGTCACAACCAAGCACTTGGGCCACTTTCCACTGCTTTCCATGGAAAACTGGCAGGGTGTTGTACTGGATGTGGAGCAGTGAGTCTTGACCCAGTGCCCATGTGGGATGCAGGTGCTTCAGGCAGCAGTCTGATTCACTACACTACAACATTAACCCCTAAGTCAATGTATAGATTATACATATACACACATACACATACTGACACACATACACACACACACATTCTGAAAGCAGAATATCACCAAAGTATCAGGCAATTAGCTGTTGTCAACCAACTTGTCTTTACATTGAATCATATGTAATTCTATAGTTAAGGGATCTTTTGCGCTCACACTCAGAACTTGTTGCTAGAAGCTTTGGTTCATCCTGCATACTCATATCTCTAATCTGCCTGTCTAAATGCAACCCTTTTGTCTCCTCTGTTTATATTACATAACAATTTCATACTTAATAAGATATCTTTAAAAATACTAAAATACATCATTTAAGCTAAAGTTGTAAGTGAATTATTTTCCTAAAAGGTGGAAAATTCAGAACACATTGCTGAAATTCATCTCTCAGTTTTATATTATCCATTCTCTGATAGCTGATAAATTTCAGTACCTTTTCATTTCCTTAATTTACAGATTTTAAAACTGGGTTAAGTCTAAATTTCAAACATCCACATCATCCACATATAAAGGGTATAACAAAGCTGTTCTGGAAGAACTTGGAATGCACTCTGGTTCAGATGGAAGAGCAGAGACAAGGACTTGGCTTAGTGCTCAGCCAGCCACACCTATCCAGGAGGTTTAGCCAGACAAGTCGACTTGCTGATGTGCTTGTGTGTCAATATTTATGACAATGTAAGCCAAAGGTGGCTCCTCTCTACCCTCTGCAATACCTGACTTTTCCTCTTGTGCTTCTGCGGAGGAGAGGGCCTGACACTGTTCACAGATGTCATGCGTGCTGGCCATTGCTAGCATTCAACATTGGTATAGTATACACTGTAGCGTGTTTCCAATGTCCCTTCTTCCCATTTTCTTTTTCATTTGGTACAAGAACGTCTGAGAAGGGCAAGGAACATTCCAGGCCACCAAGAGGTTACCAACCGCAGTTCCCTCTCTGAGTGAACTATGTGCACCTGCACAGAAGTGACTGAAATGACCTGTATCAGTTAGGAAGGTCAGTGCAAGAATGGTACCTGGGATGCTGAGTGACAACAATAGGCAGAACCATGTGGACCACTGCCTACCTTTGAATTGACCAAAGAGAAAGAATTTTTTTTTCCCATTTTAACAGCCTAGTTCATACTCTAATTAAAGTCCTGGATTCAAAGACTTGTCTAAAGGCTGGCATTTTGGCACATCAGGCTAATCCTATGTCTGTGATGCCAACAGCCGTAGGAGTAACAGTTCAAGTCCTGGGTGTTCTACTTCTGATCCAACTCCTTGCTAATGCCCCCTGGGAAAGAAATGGAAGAACACCTGAGTACTTGGTTCCTGGGCCCCTGCCATCCACATGGGAAACCCAGATGGAGTTTTTGGCTTCTGGTTTTGGCTTAGCCTAGCCCTGGTTGTGGTAGTCACTGGGAAGTGAACCAGTGGATGGAAGATCTCTGTCTCTCTTGCAGACATTTTATCTTTTTAACAAATAAATAAATAAATCTTGAAAAGACTGGCTGATAGCCTAGCTTAATATCTGCCTTTAAAGTACAGAACTGCTCCTCCTTTTGGAGCCTTCATTTCTGCATTTCACACTTAGGAGATGTGATTAATTAATTTTACTAGAAATTAATACACATATTCTGGGGAGTCTAGAAGAATTTTCAAATGACACATCATTATAAAGACATGTTTGAATAGATTGATTTGGCCTCTTTGTTGTAAACATTATGGGATATTCTGCTTTTTACCAGGCCTTACCTCGAACAAAGACATAAGCACTATACTCTTCATAATATTCGCCCATTCGTGCACGAATTGTATAGAGGCCTTCATCTTCTTTGTTGAGGTGAGAAAATGTCAGTGTTGCCCGCTCTCCACTCCAGTGTGTCTGTACCCATTTTGATGGAGAAACAGGTGCTCCTAAAAATATAAAATTATACACATTTACTGATTTTCCCCCTCCATTGCTTTCTTCTATTTCCATTCCCCTTCATTCTTTTCCCTTTTTTGTCTTCCTTTTCTATAATGAGAGCTATTTGATTGTTGGAGGAGGTTCCTGGAGTTTTAAGTCATTCTGCCATGGTTAAATTAGTAAAAACATAAGACCAGAAGTGAGAGAGCCAGAGTCAGGTACAAAGCTTGTAGGGCTCAGTACAAAATTCAGTTGTAAAGTTTCTTGTTCAAAGCCTGGAGAAGTAAAGGTGCTAAACTATCAAGATTTCCCTTTAAAAATATTTTATTGCTTATAAAACATAATGGGGTAATATAACTGCATAGAGAGCAATTTAGAGCTATACTTTTATATAAAATAATAGTTGACCAATTTAATATCCTGGATGATGACATATTTCTGGCTCATTTTTCTTAATTTTAAATACATTTATTAGATTTTCATCATTTATACTTTCAGCAACTTCATGCTAAATCAATATTGAAAGTAACCTTTATTTTGCAGATGCAGGTCCACTGATGAATCTGGGTAATTTTCTATTTGGAGAGAACTCTTTTGGCTAACATACCTGGTACTAGAGCTACTAAGTGTGTTCCACAAACAGTAACAACATTGGAATAATTTTCTGGTAAACTATTTTAAAAAATAAATTTTAGTAACCCAGAACTAATAATTCTTAAAGAAAAAAAATTTCAAAAAGATTTAATTCTGAACCAAGCAGATGGGAGCTTTTTTTCCTCTCTCTTCCTGCCTCTCAAACCAAAAAATAAAGAAAAAAACACATTAAAATTAAAAAAGAATCCATACAAATGAGCTTCAGTTAAGCTTCCATTTAAGTGTAAATTTTTTGCATTTTTTTAGAGTTCCTCTAACCTAATATTAGATGTGATTGTGTATGATTGATATGTAGTTTGGAATGCTGTTAATGCATCTATCATTTTATCTCCAGTTACATGAAGAAAACAGTTTTAAATCTATTTTTGTTGATAACAGGTGTTCCCATCATGCGTAAATATCAGGCCTGTTGCTTGGGAAGCACTTAGCCCACCACCTGTTGTGCTGGAATGCCTATGCCTGCTCATGCTGCCTGTCACTTGGCCTAACTCCACTAATAATGTGCATGCACCATAGTCCCCTTGAACTTCACATGTAAAGCACAAGTTCAAAGAGAAACGGATCATGAATGTCAAGAACACAACAGAGCATTAAACCAAACCGAGATCCTACTAAGATGGGCCTGTGGAACCATCTTAGTAGGATGTGCAGGTCCAACGAACAAGTCAGCACTGCTAGTCAAGACTCTCATTAGTGAATTATCCAGACAGTCACTGAAACTCACTGAGCATCATTATTGCTTGTTTGTAATGAATAATGTTGGACTATCATAGGATCCCTTATAGAAAATGCTAAAAAGCATCATAAGTAGCTATTTTTCTTTCCATATTTTCTCAAAATGTATACAATTTTTTTTAAAAAAAAGATTGTTTATTTGAACAGCAGAGTTACAAAGGGAGAAAGAAATCTTGCATCAGCTGATTCACTCCCAAAATGGCCACAACAGACAGAGCTGAGCCAGTCCAGAGCCAGGAGCCAGCAGTTTCTTTCAGCTCTCCCATGTGGGTGTAGAGAAGCAATGACTGGGGCCATCCTCTGCCAGTGTTTCAGGCTCATGAGCAAGGAGACAGTTCACAAATGGAGCAGCCAAAACTTAAATCAGAACTTTTTTTTAAAGGATAGAATAAGTTTTTATTTATAGTGTTATAGTAAAGAGGGAAGCCTTAACTTGGAAGACAGTATGTTCAATATACTTCTTATTTCCATGGAATGGAATCAAACATGAACTGAGACTACTGAGTATACTCTAGAAATCAGCAAATGCTGAAAATAGAGTAGGAAAGAAACAAAGGAATGAGACCTAAACACACAAAGCCCTTTCCTTGGACCTGCTGACCGCAGCCAGAACCAGGGCTGGGTCACACAGTGGAGACCGACCAGAACAGCAGGAAACAGAGTAGGCAAGGGGCAAGGAGGGGAGGGAGGCTGCACTCAAGCATGGGTTTAGCACCAGGTAAATCTCTCTTGGTATTTACATACAAAATCAACCGGCTCTATTCTTGCACTGCAGGCCACTACCCAACCCACTGTGCCACAGTGTCGGTTCCCAAATTTTAAGTGTGTTATAATCCAATCTTCCCTAAGAATTAACCTGGTAAAGACTTTAAGACAAATTTAAAAGGAGATGACAGTCTATTTGTGGCTGTCAGCAACATTTCCTCTATCAGCGAGGCCCTCTGGCATGGGACTCACAGATGAATATGTACCAGGATGAAAGTTCAATGTCTCAAATTCAGTTGTTTTTCATTATCTAGGCTAAAGAGATACAGAGAAGTCAGAGAAAGTGCAAAGTTTCCCTTGTGGCTTTTTTCTACTAAGTCTCACATTTCAGGATGCAGGAGGCATAGGATAATGAGAAGAACTGGGGTGGAGGGAGTTCAAGAGGTATAGGGCAGCAGTTTAAGCTTGTACCCCATACTGGACACTCTGTGCTCTGGCTCCCTGCTAATGCACAGGGAGAATGCCAATAACCGCTCCTTAGGTCAGAGACCCAGCTGGAGTTTCTGGCTCCTGCTCCCCAGCTGTTGAGGGCATTTGGTCAGTGAACAAGAAGACAGAAGATATCCCATTCTATCTGACTCCCCCTCTCTGTTATTCTTTCAAATAAATTAATGAATTAATAGGCAAATAAATAAATAAATACATTTTAAAGCAGAAGAAACCTCAGGCCTCATTGGAATGTACACCATGGAGTCTGGAGGTCTCATCTGGCCAGAATTTGGTTGTGTGAGTCGGAGCAACCCCTTTTCTCTCCAGTTTTAATGTCAGGGTCTATTGGATAAATAATCTGATAGGGAAACAGTATGCTTGAATGTAAGATTTAAACATTGTTTTAGAAATGACAATATTTCTTAAATACTTCAGCTAATCTTGTTCTGATAGCTTTTTTCCCCATTTGATCTGGAATATCACCTAGACTAAACAGACTTTATCTCAAACGGGATGAAAAAAAAGGGAAATAAAATCCTTATTTCTTTCTTACAAAAAATCAACACAATCCTTTAGAAGCAGAGTCAGGCATAATATATGTGATTTGAAGCCAGAGTCAGAAGAACTGAGAGTAGTTGGATTTTCTTTCACCAGTGTTAGCTATAATACGATGGACTCTATCATCTATTTCATGCCCTGAAAGAATATCAGTGTAGTTCAAGCAGAATGACTGTAAGTAATTTCAAAATCATAAAGAGCCTTTAACAATCTCAAGCAAAACTTCCAAGGTCTGAATTTCCTGTTCACAGTACTAGGAGGATTTTATTGCTTCATAAATGTATATGTATTATTTTTCTTCTTTTATTTCTTTTTTGTTTTTTATGTATATATGTATGTATGTATATGTATACATGTATACATACATACACATACACATTTATAGGTTTCATACAACTTCTTTGATAGAAATGATAAGCCAATGAGAAATGGTACTTTACCCAATAATATTCACTTACAAAATAAATAATTGTTCTAAAATAATTATTTCTCATATTACTTGGTGATAAAACATTATCTTGAGATCTGTGTAATGTCTCACTGGTATGTGGATACTTTTCTGTCTTGCTCCTAAGCGTGTGGCTCAGTAAGTAGAATGGGCCATTCCAAACACCCACAAGCATCAGTTCATCTTCATAGGAGCTGCTGGCCAGGCAAAAATAGAGAGCAGTGTGTTGGCGAGTCCACTGTCAGTCTGATGGGTCTTGTTGAAAATCTTCTTTTTAGGGTAGCACAATGGTTCAACTGGCTAATCTTCCACCTCCATATTCTGGCAGTTCCTGTGGACACAAGTTTGTTTTCCGACTGCTCTACTTCTTCCCTTCCAGCTCCCAGCTTGTGTCCTGGGAAAGCAGTGGAGGATAATCCAAAGCCTTGGGACCCTGCACCTAAGTGGGAGACCCAGAAGAAGCTCCTGGCTCCTGGCTTCAGATTAGCTTAGCTCTGGTCATTGCTGCCATTTGGGAAAGAAACCGATGGATGGAAGATCTTTCTGTCTCTTTCTATGTGTAAATCTACCTTTCCAATAAAAAATAAATGCTTTTAAGAAATAAAATACTATCTTCACAAATATCTTATGTTGCTATTTTTAAAAGAGAGACCGAATAAATCTTCTAACTAGTGGTCCACTACCCAGATGCCTGTAACAGCTAGAACTGGACAATTCTGAAGTCAGGAACTAGTAACTCCACCTTTATCTCTCACACGGGTAGCAGAGACTCAAATGTTTGGGCCATCACCTGCTGCCTCCCAGGCTGTGTGCATTAGCAGGAAGTTGGGGAGCTGGCATTGTGATACAGTACATTAAGCTTCCACATGCAATGTCCAGCATCCCCTATGGGCACTAGTTTCAGGCCCAGCTGCTCTACTTCCAATACAACTCCCCACTAATGTGAATGGGAAAGCAACAGAAAATGGTCCAAGTTCTTGGGCACCCAAGAAGAAGCTCCTGGCTTCTTCCAGCCCAGCTCTATTTGTCCTGGCAATGCCATTTGGGAGGTGATGAGCAGATGAAAGATATTCTCTCTCTCTCCCTTCCTCTCCCTCTTTCCCCACCCTGCCCACACCACCCACCTCATCCTTCTCTTTGTAATTCAGCTTTTCAAATATACAGACTGAAAGTTGGGTTGGAAGCAGAGGCAACTCGTTTCCAAGCACTTTAACATGGGTTGGGACTTAACTAGCTCCCCCACCTGTCCCCTCCCTCCCTGTCAAAAGGACCCAATGTCACTACTTTGATAAATATGTAAAAATTATTTAAGTAGATAGTGGGTGTTCCCTTCTAATTAAAGATTGTCGGCTCTAATGAACACGTCTGATCTACAACCTTCTGAGATAAAGACTCTAAGTAGGAATTCATCACAGAGACTCACCATTTCTGTACCACTGGATCTCTGGTTGGAATTGTTTGATTTCAGGCGTGATAACTACACGGCAGCCCAGACTCATTGTCTCTCCCTCTCTCCCAAAAGACACATCAAACTTGTCATCAAAATGGATATCAAACTTGGATGCATAACCATAAGGGGTTACAGCAACTGAGCATACAAATAAAACAAAACAAGTAGCAGCCATTTATTTTCTCATCAAAGGGACATGTACGTTTTAACAAACACAGGCAGAAAGCAGCTGCAACAAAGATTGATTAAAAATCAATTATATTTGGGTTAAAAAATCAAGTTTTACTTTAAATTTGTATGAGAATGTTTGCTTCATGACTCTTGAAAATAAAGTGTTTATTTTAATTACTCTATTAAATATAATTTAAATGGTCACAAGTAATGTCTTAAATATAAATTGATGCCATATTTAACCTGGACTTAAGAAAACAACTACAATATGTGAATCTTTCAGATTTTAGATTTTTTAATTAATTTACATTGTAAATTTTAACTTAGTTTAAGTTTGTATTCTCAGGAAAAAAATAGCCATGTAAATGTCTTATAAACACAGAATTTTCAGTAAGCTAACAATCTGAAGAAAACTTACCAATTAACTTTTTTTTAACTTAAGTTAAAAACCTAACAATCTGAAAAGAAAATGTGATTTGAAGGCAAGGAAAAAGTTTAACTATTACTAGTTTTAAGAGATTATAAAAAAAAGAGATTATTCATAGAGATACTTACAGATTAAATTTACAGAAATATTTATAGATTGAATTCTTGTATCATCAACTTTTTTCTCAAGGGGTTTAAGAAAATAATGTCCATTTATTGAGATGACATGTTGTGCATATGTTATACTAAATGATACGCATATGTACCAACAGTATGTGACGACAGCGTATATTGACCGCTTGTGTATTGATCTAGAGTGCACCGTTGGATTCCAGGCACTTCACAGCTGAAATGTCGGCCTCTGTGAGGCAATGACTCCACAGCACAGACAGTTTTCTCTTTTAGATTGGAACATGCCAGTTTACAAAGCTAATATACAGCTAATGGCAAGACTTCACAGACATTATATAAATTTAAAATTCAAAACCATTTCTTACCAACTCCAAAATTCATGTTCTTTCCCTCTTAAGTCTCTTTCCCTAAGACCCCTCAGTATTAAGTGGAAAATACAATCTTACATTTATTAAGTTCAACTTTTCCTAAATACTCTTGCAGGTTTTTGATAGCTATGAACTCAGGTAAGCTCCTCAACAATCTCAGTGGGTCAGGGTATGATCTCCATTTTACAGAAGAGCAAATGCGTACACCTGCAGCCTCATTCTTGGCCATACTTGTGGATAGAGCCAGGTTCACACCAACAAGCTGTTTTCAAAAGCTGTGTGCTCTCACCCAAGACACTGCACTGCCTTGTCAAACCTTGGCTTGTAAGCTAGACTGACAAAGGCAGGAAGTGGACCAATTGATTCAGATGTCATATATTACAGTTGCTTTACATAGAAGGAGGAAGATGGAGACACACGGATGCAAAATGGCCAATGAATGAACTGGATGCATTCAGAGGGTAAGAACTATTCAACAGATCGGTCCTGGGACATTACAATCTCAGAATTTCAGACTGTTCTAGCTCAGTATGAGTCAAGTGATGGGACATTTGAGATGTGCTCCTTCTTTGTTTCCACCTGAAAATTACTCCTGTCTGGAACTGATGCCAATGATTCCAACTTGGAATCTTAAAGTGAAGAGCCATTCCATCAGGTCAATGGAGTTAGGTTGCTTACAGACATCAACAAGCCAGTGAGGTGAAAAACTTGCCCATGAGAAAGTATCTTCACCAAATATTTTCTAAACTGCAACTTATTTTTTAATGTTTGGAAAATAAATCAGGGTTTAACTGTCTTTTGCACTCTAGCCATTGTAGGATTGTAATTATTTCTGCAACTAAAAATTTTTTACATTACTACTTCCCATGAAAAAGAAGTCCGATTTGGACTGATACTTCAATACATTTAGACTTCATTTAAAAATAATACTTTATAAATTAATGTATTTAGTCATTCATTATGAAATACCTGCTCTATGTCAGGTAATGGGAGTTTTGGAGATAAAAGGTCCAGTCTCTCCTTTAGTAACAAAATAATGTAAAAAATAAAACTAACTATAGATACCTACTATATCCATACAACATTCTAAGAAGCATTTATTTCAGTGTCATAGAACAGCTTATTACGCCATATAAAGATGACATTACATCAATAGATGAGGATACAAAATTCATGGAAAATAGGATTAAAATATGTTTAAAAGATTAAAAGATCTTGAATTCCATGCCTAGTTTTTTCATAATACGCATTTCCACGAACTTTTAGAGGACCTGTTATATTTTTGAACTTACAGCTGAGAGGCATGGTGGTAGCATGCAAGCGCATCCCATCAAACTCTCCCTTATATCCTAGAAAAGAAAACAGAAATGCAGGTGAACTGCTTTGTGGTGCTTTGTGGTGGATCGATTATTTTAGCCATGGGAAGAAATTTTAATGCAGCATTTTGAATGGAACAAATCCAACGAACGTACTCTTTACCACAATAGATGCATATGCTGAAAGTTCTCCTTTAACATTCATCGCCGAGGCCCGGTACTGAGCTGTGTCTTCAAAATCACACCTGAAAGAGCAGATGGAGAGAGGTGGCCATTGCGGGCAAAGCCCTTGTACTCCTGGCTGGCTGTTCTGTCGGGGAGCTCTTTGCTCACCTGGCACCCTGAAGACCCGTGGCTAACACAAGGTTCTTAGTGTCTCTGAAGGAAGCTACTGTCCCTGCTCCAACCACCTGATCTACAATCGGCCAAACTGATCTGCGGCAAGTTGATGCCAGCAGCACAGCACCATAGGCTCCTGCGACCCTAACCTTTTTCACATGTTGAAAAAGAAAAACATCAACACATCTAAGCACATGAAGTGAAGCGTGAACAACATTATGATAAATGTGGCTAAGATGACTGAGAGGAGAAAATGCCTCCTCACGTTCCTTTGCAGCAGGTAGCCACCGGCAGACACACTGGAGAGCATAGCCTCCCTGCCCTCAGGCACAGGTCTAAGTCCAGGAGCAACAAGTTTCAGGAACACGAACAAAATAGCTCTTCCCACAGCCTCCCTGGTCTTAGGTATGTGGTTAAGTGTCCCAGTTTCACAGCACAAATAAGTTATTTATGCTTCGATTCTACTGCCACTCACGCTGCACTTGCAGTTTCAGTTGATAGCACACTATAACAAGAGCCATTTGGATGTTCTTATAAGTTACTGCAAATTACAGAAACTTGCAACGTGATTTAAAAACAGAATTAAGGAGAGACTGATGTCACAGAAGGACGAACAGGCTAAGATTCCAGAGTGATTTACTTAGTGTGTCTTCACACCAATTCTCTGAATTTGTCATTGTTCATTACGGTTTTGTTTCATTTGTTACAAACTTTTTGCTTGCTGAAAATTTACAAATATCAATAGAACCCCAGGAAGGCAAACATTATTGTCTTTAGTATACCTATTGAGCTTTGAAAGCAATCATTTGGCCAGATGCCCCAACAAAATGAGTTACTGGGGCCTGGCCTGGTAACCTAGTGGCTAAAATACTCGTCTTGTACGTGCCAGGATCCCAGTGGGCACTGGTTTGTGTCCCCGCTGCTATACTTTCCTTTTAGCTGCCTGCTTGTGGCATGGAAAAGTAGTCAAGAACAGCCCAAAGCCTTGGACACTATATCCATGTGCAGACCCGGAAGAAGCTCCTGGCCCTGGCTTCGGATTGGCCTAGCTCCAGTTGTTGCAACTGTTTGGGGGAGTGAAATAGCAGATGGAAGATCTTTGTCTCTCCTTCTTTCTATACATCAGACTTTCCAATTAAAAAAAAAAAAAGCTTTTTTAAAAGATTATTTTTATTGCAAATTGAGATACATAGAGAGGAAGAGAGACAAAGATCTTCCATCCAATGAGTCACTCCCCAAGTGGCCATAATGGCCGGAACCGAGCTGATCTGAAGCCAGGAGCCAGGAGTCTCTTCTGGGTTTTCTACATGGGTGCAAGGTCCCAAGGCTTTGGGCAGTTTAGCTGGATAGAAAATGGGGCTGCTGGGATTAGAACTGGTGCCCTTATGGGATCCTGGTGCATTCAAGGCAAGGACTTTAGCTGCTAGGCCACTGTGCCAGGCCCTACATAAATAAATCTTAGAAGAAAAAAAGCAAAGACAAACAAAACAAAAACAACCCACTGACAGAAGTGCTTGACTCGAGGTCAGGGTCAGTGCTTAGTGAATGCCACAGGAACCAGGATTCTGTCTGAAGCCATGTGCAAAGCCTCTGATCTGGGTTCTTGAGAAGACTAAAAGCTGTTTGAGAATAGGCATTTAAGAATCTGACATTTCAGGCTGCCTTTGTTAGTTCTGAACTGAAAATGGTGGGAACACACTTAGTTTTTCACCCACATAATTAGGGTTATGGTTCAAATGATCTTGAGAAACGTGCTAAACCTTTGATGATGATATAGTCTATTTTTTCAAATTTTGCTTTTGACTTTGCTTTACCCTAAACATTCCACTGTTCATCCCTGTCTTGTACACGTATGGAGATTGACAGGGCACATAGATCTCATCAGTGCTTAAATAGCTGCAGAAAAAGAACCATACCTTTAATTCCAGTCTAATTTCAAGTGATATGCTATGACCAAAACTAAGCTGATCCAAGAATGCAGCTAGGTCATGCAGTCTGGGTCAGAGCAATGACTAGCACATGCAAGGTCTGAGGCTGGGAGTGGGCCTGGTAGGGAGCTAAGGAGATACACCTGCTTGGTTGCAGTTCCTACTGGTGAGCACAAGAGCAGACTTGGCTGAACATGGTTGTAACATCCTTCAGTGTGTGGGGGGGTTGGGTCTGGGGGTGTGCAGGACTGGGCTAGACTCCAGAACCCACTGGCACTCATGAGAGTCAAAGTGGATATGGGGGGCAAGCTGAGCTAGGTTTCAGCACCTACTGATCTACTTGAGAACTGGGTCTTGGGGTGGGCCAGGCAGTACTGGACTGTAGCACCCTTTGGAGAGAGCGGGAATGGGTGTGGGCTGGTCCCACAAGGCCGCAGTATCCAACAGTAAAGTTCGGGACTGAAGGTGGGCCAAGTCAAGCTGAGCCAAATACCCATTGATGTGCATGAGATCTGTGATTGGAAGCTGGTCTGAGAGGAGAGCTTAGTGAACTCTCCTGCTAAGATGCAGCCCTGGCTGGTGAGTGTGAGAACCGAGGCTGAGGCAGTTTAGGACAGGCTAGGCTACAATACTCATCAGCATACATGTGGGTCAAGTATTGGGGGTAGGCTGGGCTGGGTCAGCCTGTAACACTCACTGGCAAGTATAGGAGTCAGAATGGAATATAGACCAGGCTGAGTTCGGCCACAATACCAGCCAGTTCACACTTGGCTAGGGTAGATTGCACCTGCCAGCCAGTGAATGCTGAAGCAAGACAGGCCATGCTGAACTGGGCCGCAGCACCCACCAGCACACGCAAGACCCTAGGCTGGGAGTAAGCCTGTTGAGAAGACTGCTGATGCCCCCACTAGGCCACTGCATCCTTTGGGGAGAGTGAGAGCTAGGAATGGGGGAAGTTCCGGTTGGACATGGCTATTGTGAGTCTGTATGTGAGCTGAATTTAGGCTGGGCCAGGCTAGGCCAGGCCACTGCATCTGATGGCACATGCAAGAGCCAGGATAAATGCCAACTGGCCAGGCTTTGTTGCAGCATCTGCTGCTAGGTGCTGGGACAGGATGCAAGTCATGTCAGACTGGACTGCAGTAACCCCTGGAAAGTGCAAGATCTGGGACTGGGAGTGGGCTTAGCAGAGAAACCGGGAGCACTCCTCTGCCGGGCTGCAGCCCCCACTGGTGGGCATGAAAACCAGGGCAGCATGTGGGCTGGGCTGGACATGGCAGCAACACCAATGGGCATATGTGTAGACTAGATCATGCGATAGGGTGGGCTGAGCTAAGCTGCTACACCTATAGGTGTATATGGGAGCCCGACTGAGATGTGCCATGGACTGGACTGCCCTGCTATACGACCTGGTACTTGCAGGAACCAGGGCTTGGGATGGGTTTGGTGGGGTTATTGGGGGGGTTCACCAAACTAGGCTGCAGTTCCCAATGATATGCATAAAGGCCAGGTATGTGGCATAGGGAGTTAGGCTGGGCTGCAGCATCCATAGGTTTGCACAGGACACGAGGCTAGAGATAGAACTGACCAGGCAACTACAATCACCAGTGTGTGCACAGGTTGATGCAAGTCACGGACTTAACCCTGTACTGGCTGGCACATGCAAAAGTCAGGTCAGTCTACTGTACATGCTGGCAGGCACCAAAAATCAGGGGTGAGGGCTGGCCCAGTGTGGGTTACTGGGAATTGCTCTGACTGGGCAGCAGCTCCTGCTGGTGTATGTGAAAGCTGAGTGTGTGGTGGGCAGGGTTGGGCTTGCCCATAGTACCCATTGGTTTGCGTAAAGATGGAACTGGAGATAGATCTGATCTAGCAATTGCAACTACCAGTATGTGTGTAGGCTGTTTTGGGTGACAGACTGAGTTGGAACCCATACTGACAAGTACACATGAGTCAGATCTAGGATCACATCAGATGAGGTTTCTTTGGGGATCCTCCCCCCAACTAAAACTGCTGGACTCAGAACTCAGCCATGGGGAGAATGGCAGGACCTGTGGTCTGACTGTGGAGTGCATGTGTCAGAACTTGACCTCCTCTGTGGCTTAGATGAAGCAGTGGACAGATACCCAAATCACATGGAGGAAATGGCAGTCCACTGGGGCCTGCAGAAGTCATCTTGGTACTATAGCAGAGGAAGGAGGACAGAACAAAATGATCAACTACCCCAGACAAGTGTTGACAGTAAACTTCTGGGATAATGAAGACTCAGCCAATGGACCTTGGAAATATTTCCTCATCTTTGGATCAGTGAGACAACAGCATTTCAGTCATCGAAATCCCTTGAGCAGAACTCTTGGAGGATGTTCTACATCGGGGACCCTGGGATGACAGCAGGTGGCCATTCCCCATCCCCAGGTACTGAGGTGGCTGGGAGGCTGGGTGTGGCTTCCCCTTTTCTCCCAGATGTCAGGAGCCATGTACTATAGCCACACTGAAGCCATTTTGAATATAGAACTATGGGCCAGTGGAAAACCCCCAGTTGGTTAGATGCTTGGGAAAGAGGTTATGAAACTGGTCACACGCCTAGTTTCAATTATTTCTAGCGATTGTTTCAGAATGTGATTTATGCTGTACCTGCCGACATCCTGTTACTGGTTACCTACACTATTGTTGATATGGTGGTTACTATTGTTGATATGGTGGCTGCTCAGGAGCAATTGGTGTTGAGGCCATGGCTTGCGTCCCAGTTTCTCCTTTCCTCCCTGAGCCTTAGTTACTGAAGAATATAAAAACCCTCAGTTGAAATCAATAAAATGACAGCTTGATCAGACATACTGTCTTGCTGTCCATTCTTTGTGTCTCTTGTCTCTTCATTCTCTCCTATGTTGGTTGTGACCCCCATTGACTGTACTGCTGGATGGGACACCCAGACACAGGACGAAGGAAAGAAAAATTTGGAAACAATGGTCTTACCTACTTTCCCTTAATCCTCAACCTTTCCCACCCTAAGAAACTATGTAAACTATGTAAACATCATCAAAAATAAAATAAAGGCTGGGACAAGCCAGGAGCCTGGAACTCAATCTAGGCCTCCCATAAGACGGCAAAGAACAAAATACTTCAGCCATTGTGACCCGTTGCTTTCCAGGCTATAAATTAACAGGATGCTGGAACCTGAAGTGAAGCTGGGCCAACCCAGGCACTCTCATACATGGAATGTGGACATCTTAAGTGGTGTTATTGGGTGTTTTGACTTGTTGGGTTTTGTTGCATTTATACGGGATTGGCTTTTATTTCAAGAGTACAAAAAAAAAAAGTTGGTTTGTTACCTTAAAATAATGCCACTTATTATGATCATGCTGCCTTCAGAACAAGCAAGAAGGTGGTCATTCACTGGAGGGATGAAGCACCATCCTGGTGGGAGGGACTAAGCAAATCACAAGTATATTCACATTCTCTTACTTGTTAATCTCCAGAGTGTGCATTCCGTATCGACTTTCAATAATATACTTCTCAGGGTTGTTATGGACATTTATTGGCACTTGGTTTTTATACCTAGAAGGCAATGAAAACATGATGAAAATAGTTGGAGGTGAGTAACTTCATGGTTAAACACATACGAACATAACTCTTATCCTTGGAGGAATAAGGAATAATCTTCTCTATACAGGCATTGAGGGTATATAGAAGCACCTATTTAGCAAATTCAAATGAGATAAGCTTAAGTTATAAAATGAACTAGCAATGTAAAACCTCCAGAGGAAGTGCTTTTGCCCTCCACTGTAAACTCTCCATGGAGAAGCTCATTATCTGTGTAGGGCTGTGGGTCAGGAGGCAGGGCTCACTGCATCACACTATCATGTCAGCCACAGAGATGGCAGGCTGCCAGAAGGGATGTGCACCCCTATACCACAGACTAGGGACAAGCCAAAGGAGTCACTTATTAGAGATACATAGAATGACTGCTAAGGCCTTCTGCAGACCAGGACACTGCACCTGCAGGCAAGTGAGTCTACTGAGAGGCGTTAGTGGGATTGGACGCCGTACTTGTCCACTGGTGAGGTTCTTCGCACTCAGCAATGAATGTGAAAGCCCAAAAGTAGAGGCTGGGTGGGACTGGCCACTACACCTGTAGACACATAGGTGATCCAGTTGAGGGGACTTAGAGGATCTTCTGGACTCTCTTTTACTAATTTCCAGCTCCTTCAAGATGGGAATGGTACTGGATCCATACTGACTTCTTCCATTTCTGAAGAAGGACGAGTTATGAACAAATCTGAAGCTCTTGGTGTTGACCACATTTGAACAGAATTTTATTGTGTCACAATAGATGAACTGTAGGTTCATATTCATATATATAATTATATAGCTTCAGTAATGTATACTATGTACTTCAGTAATATGTATTACTCTATTCCTTCAGTAATATAATACAACATATTAATTATGTTAATTATATTCATTTTCTGTTTCTATACTAATGATGTATAATATTTAATGTGCTATTATGTATTACACTATATTACCATATAGTATATAAACATATGTTTATATATATATATATATATATTACTGAAGGAAGAGAATTCAATCAAACATACTTCACAATAAAGATTATCTTAATTAGGTTCACCCATAAAAGTGTGTTGAGCTGTTTTGTTTCTTGATTCCCTCAGATGTAAAAATGAAGAGTTAGATTAACTCGAGTCACAGCTATGTGGTTGGCACAGTGGCATTACTTACCCCTCCCCCTGAAGGCACTGCTAGCTGATATTATCCTGCCTGTTGCTAACCCACAAGTGGCCTCAAGCAGCTGTCCCAGGCCAGGGCTCTATGCACACAGGGATATTTGATCTCACACTGCCTGTGAAAAGAAATCTACTGGCCCCTCCTACGTGTGAACAGTCTCCATTTTGCTGACTGATAGGAAAGCATTTGTTCATTGCAAGTTCTTTTTAGTAATTGGTTTAGGTCATTTCACACTTACAAGCTGCCTCTGGCTTGGCATTTCGTGTGCTGGAGGGTTTTTGACAGTTGTTTCAGCATAAGAAGGGCTCATATGACACTACAGGATGTGGTTTGTGCTACTTAACCAAATCACTTAGTACAATTCCGTTTGGTTTGTGATAAAAAATGTTGTTCGTATTCCTACAAAGTTTGAGTTAAAACGTTATCTATAGCTCCCACAATTGCCTAGTGCTGCTTGCCTTCCAATACTACCAACTTAGCACCTTGATGCCTTTCCCCCAGCTAACCATGCACAACTTCTCGAATATGACCACCTGGCGAAGGACATTGGTTTACAATGCACAACACCTTGGCTGAGGAGCTTCAGATGTCAGTGTCAGGAGCTCCTGTGAGAAGCAGTGGAAAGGATTAAGTTAGCAAGTGATTCAGTTCTATTCTCCAAGGAATTTCACCCAGTCAGGTAGTCAGGTGTGGGAGTCACTCAAGATTGGCTGCTCTCAGTAGTTTCAAATCAAAGAAAGAGAAATAAGGGTTTAGGGTCTGCTCTGTAGACACTTCACAGCTTTTTATTTCTGGAAAGTGAAATTCCAAACTAGCCAGTCATCGGCTAATTTCAGAGAGTAACGTATACCCTGGGATTATCTGAGAAAGGCTGAACCCTTGTAAATATTCAGAGGGCCATCATTCTCCTCACCATTTCCAAGTATGACAATACATGAAAAAGTTCATGGAAAAAAATGGAATTAAAAGATGATCTTACCTTGTTGCAAAGCAGTTTTTTCTTAATATGCATTTTCCACAAACCCATGAACTTAGTTCATGAACCTGCAGTATTCTATAATATTTCTAGAACATTCTGCTACCCCAGTAACTTCATTTCTGTGTATAAATCACACACTGAATTTCTCACAGAAATTTCAGTTTAGATGTTCTAACTTTGACTTGAAAAGAGGTTATAGTAAAAGCTCATTTAAATATATGGCAGGTAATATCTTGCATACAAACTCTATAATAATGGAATTCACAAATTTTGTAACTTGAAAAATCACAATTTTCCAAATCTTCAGATTCTCCTTAACTTATATTTGTCATTATCTTGTTCTTACATTTTGAATGACTGTAACGCTTATGACTAATTTGTATATTTGACAGTAACTTTTGGGCCAAAGTAAAGAATTTCAAACCTGTATTGTTCAAATGCTTTCTTTGAAGATCTATGCCAGGATCCAACATATATCTCTGGAAACAACCGTGTCAGTTGAAAGAATGAACAACTGCCACTCACCAATATTGTTTCCCTGTAGGCCAGTTATGATTTTCTTTGACAAATTTAATTTGGCCTTCAGACTGAGAATTCAGTTGAATATACCCACTTTAAAAAGTGTAACATAAAGGCCAGGTAAAATGGTTCAGTAGCTAAATCCGCACCTTGCATGCACCAGGATCCCATATGGGTGCCAGTTTGTCTCTCAACTACTCTACTTCTCATCCCGCTCTCTGCCTGTGGCCTGAGAAAGCAGTCAGGATGGCCCAAAGCCTTGGGATGCTGCACACACATGGGAGATCCGGAAGAAGCTCCTGGCTTCCAGCTTTGGATCAATTCAGCTCCAGCTGTTGTGGCCATTTGGGAGTGAATCATCAGATGAAAGATCTTTTTCTCTGTCTCTCCTCTATGCAAATCTGCCTTTTCAGTAGAAATAAATAAAGCTTTTAAAAAAGGATTTAAAAAGGGCAAAATTAATCCAATTTTCTCCTCTGTTTAGGAGAACTTCTTGTGCCATTGCACCTGCTCCTCTATCAGGATATGCTGTTCTTCAGTTCTTAAATACCCTGCTAGAATTTCTTTATACAAATAAAACAAATATAAACACAAATGCATTTTACTTTCCCTTTTAGGCAGCTACTCTACAAGTTATCATATAAACATGATCAATTAAGTTTAAAAATGGATTTTTCCACATTATACATATTGTTCCTTGCATGTTGGCAATGCCCCCAGCAGGAAGGGCAGTTCACCAACGCACCATGATATTCCAGCAGCAGCCTCTGCTACTAAGTAAGTTTGCTCATCCAAATGCTGCACTGACAGGCTTCTTTTGGTTTTCAGAATGCTTTGGGACCAGGATGGGCTACGCAGCTGTCTCTGCCTTTGGCCTTGACAAGTGACACATGTTCCTGCATCCAGCATTCTCTGGTAAGCTCTAGGTTCCACTTAAACAGATTTGGTTGTTAACTTGGGAATGGTCAAAGAGCAGCTGCTACGTGTTCATTTTATTTGTTAGAGCTCAGAGATTCCCATGACCTAAAGGCACCCAGTGGAAACTTGGAGCAAAACCCTCTTTGGGAAGCCAGGCCCCTGGCACCGAGGCCTTGGAAGGACATGCTCAGCACTTAAGACTGCTACGAGTGGAGGCAGCACAGGCGCACGAAGCATTCCCCCGTACTTAGGCTCTAACACCTCCTGTCAGACCTGGGAAGCTGCAGCTGAGCACCACAGAGGCACCACGGCCAGCTCAGTCATCACCTTAGTTTTTGCTTGGGTTGTGTGCTCCCTGCTCTATTAGGGGAAGAACACTAGAAACTGGATACTTTGTATGACGTTGAAAAGTAAAGTTGAGCTCCAGTTAGTTATTTCTTTTCAGGCAAGAAGCACAGGAAGGTATACTAATTCCATGTAGAAGTCTACACCCAGAGGTGGCTTGACCTTGAAGCAATGAGCTGAAGTTTCAGTGTCCCTCACCAACAGGTCTAGTTTTTACTATTAACATTATGGTTTTTTGGGGGGGGTGGGGCGGGCAGAGGGATGCTTAAAGCCTAAAAGATTAATGTCCCACAAAAACAAACAAGATCTATTTATTGCCACACCCAATTGTCAGTCATCTGCTGACTGGTTATCCATAGTTTCACTTTATCCAAAGGCAAATCTTGCTCTCCCCAGGACAGCTAACTACTTAGTTGTCTTACGGTTCCTTTGCTTGAATGTCTATTTTCTATTCAGCTTGCAAGGCAACGACAAATCTTCTGGCTCATTTCTCCTGGAAGAATTTATGACAAGGAATGGAGCCACCACAACTGGTACTTTGCATGAGACTAGACTAGGTCACCTTCTATGTGCACCGTAAAGCTGTAGGAATTAGAGGAGGCTCTTGCAGTAAAAGAAGAGCTTTCCCATTCTTTCTGGGAACTAAATTTGTCTCCGTGCCTTCACTTCTGCTTGAAGTTAACCCCTAGGACGTAAAAGTCACATGCAAATGAAACCAGAGTTTCGGGACCACTTGGGAGAGAGGTGCAGGCTAATCGCAACTGAAACAATATTTATTTCTGGTTTTGAAGTTAACAGGAATTCTAAGGGGCTACAGTTTGGTCATATACTTTTGGGGAGAAGTTTTTAATCTTTTTGTTTGAGATTTCTCCTTTTCCAGGAAATAAAGTGCAACATATGGAATTTAATATCCGAGAGTAATTTTCATAAAGATACCGTACCATGTGAGACGAGGTTCTGGCCAGCCAGCTACAGAGCAGTGTAATTTTACATTCTCATTCTCCCAAACTGTGTGGGAACGAGGTTTGATGATAAACTCCGGAGCATGGAGAAGATGGTCTTCATTCAACTTTCCATGATAGGCCTCAGTTTCTTCCAACTGAATAAATGAACATATTATCAAAATACTATACATCAAAGTAACTTCTGTGCTAAAACAACAAGTAAAAGCCAAAGTATTTATTTCCTATTTGGAAACTTCCACCTATGGATAAAATGCAGTCTTCTTTCCCTCTTTATAACATTTAACATTCTAAACCTGAACCACATATTTTATTCTCCAAAGTAGATTTGTTATAATTCTTTAGAATCTCGATTTCTTTAAAATTTAAAATTCCATGGATTTTAAAACTATATGTTTGCTTTTCTTTGATTTATGTATTCCTAATTTTTTAATATGTGGACCGACATGTTGGTTCAACTGTCTAATCTTCTGCCTCCATGCATTGCATCTCATATGGGAGCTGATTCATGGCCCAGCTGCTCCACTTCTGATAAAGCTCCCTGCTCGTGGCCTGGGAAAGCAGTAGGGGATGGCCCAAAGCCTTGGAATTGTGCACCCACATGGGAGACCTAGAGGAAGCTCCTGGCCCTGGCTTCGGATCCGTTCAGCTCTGGCTGTTGTGGCATCTTGGGGAGTGAATCAGCAGATGGATTATATTGTATACTATCTCTCCTCACTGTAAATCTGCCTTTCCAGTGAAAAGAAATAAATCTTAAAAATAAATAAATAAAAGTTTATAAATGTGTTGAAAATGTGTATTTACTTAGTTTTATTTGAAAAAGAGAGGCAGAAAGGAGAGAGAGAGGAAGTGGTAATGGGGGAGAGAGAGAAACCATCCACCATTCCTAACAGGCAGGGTTGGAGTAGGATGGAGCCAGAGTCTAGAACTTCCAGAGACCCAGCTCCTCAGAGCATCCTGGCGGCATGCCTCCCTCAGGCTGAATTAACAGAAAGGTGGAGTCAGAAGCCACAGCAGGCAATCTGATGTGGTACACTGGCATCTGAATTGGCATCTTAACTACCGTGAAATAAATGACCCATGCATTCTCCCCTGCCTTTTTTTCCTTCTTACTTAGTTTCATTTCTCCACAAGACCACCTACTTCTTCATTCGTAACAAATTCATCCATTTCTGCATACACACAGCTTGTTCCATGCATTTCCACTTTCATAAGTTACATTTGATCATCTTTTCTTACTGTTTTTTTCAGCGACAGGCGTTCTGCTTTTTCTCGTATTGCAACTTTCCTTGACTTTTTCTCCAGTGTTTCTTCCTCATGGAGGATGGAGGTGGACTGTTTGGATATTGCAGACTGCTTGGAAGTCGCCAGCTGTTTGGAGGTCGTGAGTCTTTCCTCAGCAGCGAGAAGATTCTGCTGGGCTATGTAAGCTGCAGCTTCTTTAATTCTTTCTTCTTCTGTATCTGTGATTCCACTGACATGCATCTGACTAAAACACAATAACATAACATGTGGAGACTTGCATGTGCTGGGCTAACATGCCTACCTTTGCTAAATTCAAAGTACCAGTCCTCAGATATTGTCCTGTACCGAGAAAATCTGACATACAAAATCCTGGTAAGTCAGGAGACGACTTTCCACACACTGAAGTGACCAGTCCCTTAACAAAAAATGATAATAATGACATAACAATCTCTAGTAAGGCCTCAGTCACTTTTCATAAACATTCATCTTATCCCCACACAAACCTTATGAGGTAAACAAGATGTTTGTATTTTAGATAGAGGACAAATGTGACCCAGAGAAGTCAGACAACTTGCCCGGTGTTGTTACTCTGGTTGCCTTTGTAAGTTTACATGTGGTTTAGTTTACAATAAAGGATGAAACTGTGCCATCCTTTTCAAAAAAGATGACATTATAAGATGAAATACAGTTTGTATGCTGTGATACTGATGCAACCATGTGTTTGTTCTGGATTCTACAGCACAGCTGATAGAATGCATTGCACAGCTCTTCATGTATAACTATGTTCTAAATTTACACAAAATCTTTATGCCTGCTGGGTTCCTTTCCAACACAGTAAGGGTTATATATTTATACATATTAGGAGTGAGTACATCCAATATACACTCTTCATTTATGCTTCCATATTGCTCTGATGGGAAGAAATGATCAAACTTACAAGTAAAGTGGTGATATTTGTAGAACTGACTTGCTTCTATTTAAAACTGATGAAGTTGACAAGTGAATAGTAACTCTTTAAAGAGTGCTATGCTGAGTATAATAACTTATGACAGAATCTGTGCAGTGATTTGTTATTAGTTGGTAAAATATTTGGCTTATTTAATTTCCTTCAATGTCTTTGTTAGCAATCACACGAAGCTTCATTGAGAGAGTATATTAACACTACTGAAGATTCCCTTTAAATGAATCTCCTTAGATCGAAGTCAGAATTGTACATCTGATTTTTCAAAATTTAAGCAAATACTGTCATTTTGTTTAACTAGCACCTGATTCTCCACAGTTTGTTAAGGAATAGAACTCAACATTTGTCTAGGTTTGAAATTTCTCATGGAATACTAAAACATCACTAGACAAGGTTTTGCTTCTGACTAAACCTGACTAAACTCAATGATTTATAACTCTTTTTCTCTGTATCCCCAAATATTTATAATGCATTACATACAATGTAAGTTAGTGATGCTAATATATACACTATAATTTCGTGGGGGCACAGGAAGACATGGAATATTTTTAGATTAGTGTCCTGACATAAATACCTCTCATCTTTTACAAATGAGACAAGAAGTGGATTAATACAACACAAACTATTAGAAAACTATTTAGAACTCTCCACAGAAATGAATATAGAAGATTTGAAAGGAGTCTTGTGACGTGATTTAGTTTGTATAATAAAAGATGTTTTAGACCAAGCTGGGACAAAAATCCTATGTGAGAAAACTTCCAACTCTCATTTTCTTACAGTAGACATGCTGACACAGCTAAGAGGGCAGAATAAAGTTACAGAAAAACTAAATCTTGTAAAAAAAAAAAAAGAAGTCGTTATTTCACATGAGAACAGAAACACACTTTAAAATACTTTGAACCAAGGACAACAAGGATATTTTCCTTTATGTAAAGATAAGCATTATTTTTGTGGGGATGAAATGAATGTATGTGAAAAGCACATATATTCTTAAGTCTTGCTATGATCATTATTAATGCTATTTGTTACGGAACAAACCTACTTCTAAAATCTTGATACAAGGGCAAGAATACAATGCTAACATGTTGAAAAAAGTGCATTGTATCAAGTAGACACAATTTCAAACTCCGCCTGTCTCTGACAGTCTCAACTCTAAATCTGTTGTTGCCACCGAGTAAGATTTTCAGGTTTCATGTGAAAGAAATGGGATTCTTTTAAACATAAAATAATTTCAGAGGACATGGACATTGTATTGCCTTGGTCAGTTGTAGATAGGACTTCCAGCTTTTTCACAGAGAGCCAGGTGACTCTCTCAATTCACAGAACTTTGGTTTCCTTAACAAAAACTTGATAGACTAATACCTCACCAGGGTTGCAAGAAAGATTCAGCAAGACTATTTAGATAAAACATCTAGATAGAGTCTCAAAAAAACAACAGGTATTCAACAAATACTCACTTCCTTCCCATCTTTTTAGATTTTGAACAGTGCCAACATCATTGTGAAATATTAATTGCAACATAATAGTAGAATATAGGAGATTAAAACCAAAGGAAATCTGATAAAACCTCAAGGATAAATTTCTACTCCCAGTTTAATTTGCATGTTTTTCTTTTTTATCACAGTCTATTTTGTAAAGTATCGTTTCTTGAGACCAGTCAGGGAAAGACAAGATTGGTGTGGAAAGAGTAGGTAGAAGACATTTAGACCTTGAAGCTTTCTTTTGTGCCCACACAGGAAAAGATAGATGTTGAGCAAGCTGATGCTAAACTGGTATGTTTTTAAAATGATTTTTCTAAACAGAGTGGAGAATTAAAGCAAAAGACCAAGTATTTTACCTCTCTACCTTAGCTATCTCCTATAAATGAATATGAATGTATATTAAACAGCTGCAAAAAGGCTAAGTTTGCACAAGCATACTTAACAATACTTACATGTATTCCTGGAAAATTCACTTTAAATCAGGTATATAAAGACATCAGAGAAAAAGCCCAAAAACAAGATACTTATCGCCTTCCTTTCCTATTTGCATTCAGGACAATTATGCCTTTAGCAATGGAAAGAAAAACTCAAGCAACAGAATTAAGTTACCAAAAATCACAAATTATTTCCTGATCTTCAATGAGGATCTAATTTACCATGGCATTTGCCCTGAGCAAATGACCTCAATTTGAGCATCTCCTTAGCAATGGGAAAAATTTATGCAAAGAAAAAGAAGATACACACAGTGTCTGTGGAACTATGATGCAGGCATCTCAGATAAGCTTGTAGTCAAGATTCTTTATTATTATCACTCAAAAATGTTTATGTAAATATGTTAGGAAACTGGTGTTACATAGATTTGTAATTTAGTGACTATTTAGCTTGAAATGTACCTTTAAATAGTAGTCCATTCTCCATGGAACAAATATAAGCTAGATATTCAAATTCTGATTAGATTTTCCCTATTAATGATTGAAACCATATTGACAAACATTACTACCTAAACATAATATCTTACAGTTCTGAATATCTTTTTATAGTGATTTATCTCTAGTAAGTATATATAGCATATAAAGTGATTTCTCTCTAGTGATTGCATATAGTGTTCAATCATTAGCTTTCCAACCTACTGCCCTTTTCAATTAGTTACATCTGCAGTTCTAAATTCTAATCATTCCTTTTATCAGTCCTATCATCCTATGTAATGGCAAAGATATCTGAAAAGGAAATCCTTTTTTACAATTAATACATCTGGGGGTACTTGTAAAAGTCTGTGCAAAAATGAATGGAAGGGTAAGTTTATTTTGGCAAAAAATATTAAACCCACGTGCATTTTTTCCTCATATGAATTTTCAATAAACTTTTAAAAGTCTTCTTACATCTCTCAGAGCAAGGTTAAAAGCTTCTTCAGAACTTTCTCAACTATGGAGAGAGAATGTGCATGTAGTAGGTGTTTGACACATTTTAGATGTTAAATTATTATTACTATTATTATCATTGCTATCTGAAAACATCTGCCCTCACTTTCTAACAATCAAGGCCAGAAGAGGAGGCACACTCACCGTCCTGAGAAAATGGGCACCATATAGTCGCTCGGCAGGTTCTCCTTCTCTTCTGACAGAAGGCTGTGCCTGGCTCTCTTCGTCTTAGGGCTGAATTTAGATGAATAATCTTCCAACAGCAGACTAGAATCTGTAAGACTGAAATAAAATGCCTAACGTTAGACAACCAAGATATTAAAAAGTACTTAGGCCATCTTGAGCTGCTTCCCCAGGCATTTTGGCAGGGAGCTGGAAAATACAGATAGCAAAGATGATGTGGTAACAGTAATTTCATGGATTTCTACCCTTAAAGTGTCAGGGGGAAAGAACAATGCTTTTATAGCCATTCCAAATGTTGGCTGTTAAAGTAAAAATGAAAATGTAGGTAATCTGTATGAAATTCATACATTGCATATCCAACTGCAGTTGAGAAGGAATTATTAAAAATACACTCTTTATATTTTGAGATCAAGTACCACGAGCAGAGCCTGCATTTGGAGGAATACTGGTCTGGTCTAACAATACTGTTAACACGTTACGTGGACATGCAGCTTCAAGCGACTCAGGAATTAGAGTTTGATAGAGTACACTTTGGTCAGTTTTCTACCTGCCTCTGCACACTTATGCAAACAGGTACTCGAAGGCCGTTAGTAGTCAAATCAACCAAGAAATTTACTGTAGGCGTGGAAAACATGAGAACAGAGTGAAAGTAAGCTGCACTGTTGAAATTGAAAAACTTCAAATATATGCACACTATTTCTTCATCTTTGAGGAAAAAAAAAAAAAAGCAGAGGGGACTGCCCAAGTCAAAAGCAGAATACAGGGAGTATGTATTTTACCTAGCCATTCAGATTCCTGTATTCTCTTCCATGGTGCCTAGGTTCAACACCTGCCTCCAGCTTCCTGCTAACACAGGCCCTGAGAGACAGTGGTGATGATGCAACTAATTAAGTAATTGGGTTGTAACACCCACAAGTGATATCTGGATTGAGTTCTTGGCTCTTGGCTTCAGACTGGCCCAACTCCAGGTAGCTGGGAGTGAGCCAAGAGGTGGGAGCTCTGTCTTTAAACACACACACGCACACGCGCGCACGCGTGTGCACACACACACACACACAGAGCAAGAAAGAGATGAAAACATGTGCACAGTACAAAATGGATATATAATAATGTAAGAAAACAAGTAGCACAGAACTGTAAGGGATTCAGAAAGTGCAAGAGCAGTCACTCCATGTCTGGGGGTACAGCATGGACCAGTGCCTTTAATTCTCTAGAGTTGTCACATGGAAAAGCCAAATTTGTTCCTCACCACCACCACCCTAATCCTTTCCCCAGAGGGAATATCTAGCTTTTATTATATAATCAGCTAAAACTAAAGGTTGGCGACTTGAATTCGAGCTTGTGGATTGGTTACCAATTGGAAGCTGAAGTGAAATTTGTTCCTGGCTGGCTGCTCCAGGCAGCTAACTGACTACGTTCTGTATCCCCAGCAGCTCACCAAGTACAGGCTGTGCTTCCACAGGCCTAAGCTTACAGTAGTATTTTCCTTCCTCTTCATTACTTTATAAAATCAAATTAAATATAAGGCTTAAGGATTTTCCTTCCTTTCTCTTTTTACAACATACTTGGCAATTTCTCTGCTTTTCTGTTTTACACTTTTCTCTTTATACCCATTCTAGTGTTGATGGTCATATTCTCATTAGCTCATATTTTGTATATTAATTCAAATCATTATGATTTGTCATTTTATTGGTTGTGCTGCTTCTTTTTCTGGCATTCTTCCCTTTAAGACAAACCATTAATAGGAAGCATTTACTAAAAAAGAATGTGCCAAAATGTGAGTATTTTATTCTTATATGTAAATCACAGAAGCTCGCTTTTTTTTCAGAAGCTCATTTTTAACAGGTGAAATTGATGCTAAAGAATCATAATAAAAGCACCAGCTTCCATTTCACACCTCATCTGGAAGAAAAGACTCAACAAAAACAATTTTGGCATGTAGTATTTTGTGTTATTTTAAAAAATGCAAGGTTTCCCTCTTTGTTATGCCCTCTAAAGTTTTTTCAAGCCTTTTTGGGGGATACAGGTGGGTAAGATACCTACACAAGTGCATAAATATTCAAACTTTTGATTGTTTGCCGTGCAAACAGATGATTTAGTAACACTGAGCCCTTTATTGAAACCAGTAAACAAATGTAGATCAGAGAGTTTTAAGGAACCAGCTATATGATGATCAGTATGATGAGTCGAAGAACAATAATCAATAATCCATTATTTTGACATGACCCATGCTTACTTAAATCCAACCTCTTACTCTTTTAAAGCTGAATAATGTTTTAAAAGATTAAATATACTATGTGGGTTTTAAATTTGAATTTAAAATAAAGAGCTAAATAATGGTTTCTTAATCTTGCGTTGGCTGAACTGGAACTAGCACCCAACGCCAAATCTCTTCTTGATGGTATGCCTTCTTCCTGCTACACTGGAGCTTTCCAGTTTTTATGACTGAGTAATCTCAAAGTGGCAGACACAAACCCAACCATATCATTAATCTCCAAGGAACAGGCAGAAGATGTCAGACTGGATGAAGAGCCCACTCACCCACTCTATTTTTTAAATTTTTTCTTTTCTTTTCAATATTGTTTACAAAGTTGAGAGGGATGAACTCACTCTAAATGTAAAGACACACTATGTTATAGTAAGAAGCAGAAAGAAGAATGTCCATGGTAACCCTAAGGAGCTGGAGTCACTTTATTAACATCAATTTATTAACATCAATTGAATTGAGAAATATTGGTGACAAAGAGATGATAATGATAACAGGGTTCATTTCTCAAAAAACGTAATAATTATATCTGTACACATACCTAACAGAGCCCCCAAAATACATGAACAAAATGACAAAATTCAAAGAAGAGAGAAGTGAAAAAGTAAAGGCCAGCACTGTGGCATAGTAAGATAAACAGCTGTTTGTAATGCTGGTGTCCAATATGGGCACTGGTTCAAGTCCCTGCTGCTCAACTTCCAATCCAGGTTCCAGATATTCTGCCTGGGAAAGCACACATGTGGGAGACCCAGATGAGGCTTCTGACTTCTAGCTTTACAGCCATTTGAGGAATAAACTAGTGGATGAAACATTTCTCTCTGTGTCCCTCCCTTTCTGTAAGTCTGCCTTTCAAATAAGTCTTTTTAAAAAGTAAAAATAATAGTTGGAGACTTCAACATTTCACTTATACAATTGATGAAACAACTATATATAAAAAACAAATGGTATAACAGGTTTCAATAACAATAAACTTGATCCAACTGGTTTTGATAGAACGCTTTACCCAATTATCAGAGTTCATATTCTTTATTTAACATTTGCAAGGAGAGTTCACATGCTATCCTTAAAAATCTCTACTGATTTAAAAGGAATTAAATCATAGAAAATATAATGCTTGATGATGAAAGAATCTGTAACAGAAGGGAATCTTCAAACAACAGTATACTTCTAAACAATCAATTGACTTCTTAGATACAGATAAAACAGTACTTGGAGGGAATTTTATAGCTTTAGATATTTATAGCTAAAACAGAAATACTCTTAGAAGAAAAATATTGTATGATTCTGACTTAGTCACTTTTTAGATATAAGACTAAAACCATGATTCAAAATGAAGAATTGAACTTCACCCAAAAACTTTTAAATACTTTTTATGTGTAGGAGAAAGTTGGCTTCAAAAGTTGCTGAAGAGGACCTGCCTAAATTCTTGCCTTGCAAACACCGGGATCCATGTGGGTGATGGTTTGTATCCTGGCTGCTCCACTTCCCATGCAACTCCCTGCTTGTGGCCTGGGAAAACAGTAAAGGATGGCCCTGAGACCTGGAAGAAGCTCCTGGCTTTGGATTGGCTCAGCTCCAACCATTGCAGCCATCTGGGGAGTGAACTAGTGGACTAAAGATCTATCTTTCCTTCTCTCTATAAATCAGCCTTTCCAAAATAAATGAACAAATAAATAAAATAGATACAAATATAAAATTAGTTGAATGAACAGCAGCCTTGAAATTTACTGATTCATAACAAAAACAGTGCCTTGGCTTTTAATTTTTAATGGTTGTTTTTGACACTTTTTTTTTCCCTTTACTCTTTCACTCTCTCAGCCATAAGAATATTTCATTTTTGGACCCAGCACGATAGTGCAGTGGTTAAGGTCCTTCCCTTGAGCACGCTGGGATGCCATATGGGTGCCATTTACAATCCTGGCAGCCCCGCTTCCCATCCAGCTCCCTGCCTGTGGCCTGGGAAAGCAGACGAGGACGGCCCAAGGCTTTGGGACCCTGCACCTGTGTGGGAGACTCAGAAGAAGCTCCTGGCCCCTGGCTTCATACTGGCTCAGCTCTGGCCATTGTGGCCGCTTGGGGAGTGAATCATCGGACGGAAGTGAATCTTCCTCTCTGTATCTCCTCTTCTCTGTACATCTGCCTTTCCAATAAAAATAAATAAATCTTGGGCCCGGCGGCATGGCCTAGCAGCTAAAATCCTCGCCCTGAACGTGCAAGGACCCCATATGGCACCGGTTCTACTTCCGGCAGCTCCACTTCCCATCCAGCCCCTGTCTGTGGCCTGGTAAAGCAGTCAAAGATGGCCCATTTGCTTTGGGACCCTGCACCCGATTAGGAGACCTGGAGGAAGTTCTAGGCTCCTGGCTTCAGATCATCACAGCATCGGCTGTTGCGGTCATTGGGGAGTGAATCATTGGATGGAAAATCTTCCTCTCTGTCTCTCCTCCGCTCTGTATATCTGACTTTGCAATAAAAATAAATAAATCTTTAAATACATAAATAAATAAATAAATCTTTAAAAAGAAGATTTATTTATTTAAATTACTGATGGAATTTGGCATAGCAGCTAAACTGCTAAGTAGGATGCCTGCCTTACATATCAGAGTGCTTGTATGTAATTGGCTCAAGCAATTGATGTCTTCTCTTTGCTGGTTCATTTCTCAAATGCTCTCAACAGGCAAGGCTGAGGCCAGGCCATATCCAGGAGGCTGTGACTCAATCCAGGTCTCCCAGGTGGAGAGACCCATACAATTGAGCCACACCTGCTGCGTTGCAGGATGCATCTTAGAAGGAAGGTGGATAAGAAACTGAGCTGCGATGGAAATCCAGGGAC